AGCCAGGTTAGATCCCTGGCACCATGTATGGTCCCTTACCCTTGCCACAAGTGATCCCTGAATGCAGAGTCAGGAATAAGCCTTAAGAGCCGCTGGCTGTGGCCCTAAAGCCAAAAAAATTAAAAAAAATGAAAATAAAGTTTGCAGTGTAATGATACGTACAAGTCTCAAAATGCTTAGTAAGTTATAAATAAAGGGTGTCTCTTAGCAGTACAGAGCAGTGAAAATGCCACATATGTTCTCAGATTATTCTGTTCTCAGCCATTGTAAAATGAAAGCCGCCACAGGCAAGATGTAAATGAATGAGTGACTATGTTCCTGTAAAACTTTATGGAAACTGAAATTTTTTTTTAAAGATTAAAAAAAGGACCACTTTTAAGTGTACAATGTAGTGTTATGATTATATTCGCATTGAGTACCATCATTATCCTTCCTCAGAACTTTATTTTGTTTTTGATGCTGGGCTTTCGGAGAGCCTGGCAAGCTACTGAGTATTCAATATGCCGAACACAGTAACAAGAAGTCTCACAATGGAGACGTTACTGGGCCCGCTCGACCAAATCGATGAACAACGGGAGGACAGTGTTTGTTTTGTTTGTTGATGCTGGGCTTACTCTTGGCTCTTGCTCAGGGATCACACCTGGCAGGGCCTAGGGGACCCAAACTTGGGTCAGTTTGCATGCATGGCAGCACCTTTCCTGCTCTTCTCTCTCCAGCCCTCTCCAGCAGGTTTCATCTTCTTATGTGAAACTTTGTACCCATTAAACAGAACTCTCCATTTCTTCCCCCAACTTCTGGTAACAACCTTTCTACTTTCTGTGAATTTGACTCCTGAGTACCACGATAAGTGGGATCAGACATCTTTGTCCTTTTGTGACTTAATTTAGCTTTAATGTAGCCTGTGTCAGTTCCCTCTTTAAAAGTTTGTAAACATTATTTTGTTCCTCCTTTGTTAGATATTTGGGTTGATTCTACCTTTTAGCTATTGAATGCTAATTAAGTAGTTGTTCTGAGCCTTGGTTTACAAATTTTGTTCAAGCCCATACTTTAAATTCTCTAGGGTATAGATCCAGCAATAAAATCGTTTGATCATTTGGTGGGAGAGATGCTGTTTTATGAATCTGCCAGGTTTTTGTATTTGTGATGATCCACTTCAGAATTTAAGCGGCCCAAAACGTTAATGATTTGTTATTTCTTTCAGAAGACATTATTTCAGAATTTTTTTTTTTTTTAATTTGGGCTCTTGTGGCTGCATTTCTTTGGTGGGTTTTCTGGAGCTTCAGTGGCTTCAGTCACAAGTTTCGGGTTCAGTGGGGACATCTAGAAGATGTCTGCACATAATTTTGCCTCATTCGCAATCCAGCTCAAACTTACGCATTGGCATATGCGTCACCAGAGTGTGAAGGCAAACCTGATATAGGACGCCTTGAAGTCTAGACCCCAAGACACACTCATCAGTCTCACAAAAGGCAAAGTTACACAACTAGCCCAAAGTTACAAAACTGGATTCATAGGAGAAGTATACCCCTGATTCTGGCTGTGAAGATTGACCAGATCACTTGCAGGAGATGAATAACGAAGTCAGTTATACCTAATCACCTAATCACCTAATAGCAGTTCTACAGATAGAACAGCTTGAGAAATGGGTGGGGGTAGGGGGGCTGTCATTTGGGAGAGAAATAGGCTTCTGGTAGGTCCTAAATTGGATGGCTTGGTGTTATATGTCAGTAAGTAGAGAGATGTTGATGCTGTGCATGATATAGTGAGTTGTGTTTTTTATTTTCACAAACAGCTCATGGCTAGCTGGAAACTAATGTATCTCCCATGAGAAACTAGCTGACTCAGGGAGGCTGTAGATAGGCTTTACTTCCCTGGGTTGTTTTAAATAGTTGTCCTGGAATTATAGGCAAAGTTGTCCGAAGAGGCGTAATTTTTCTTAATAGGGGTCACACCCAGAAGTGCTTAGGGGCCACTAGGGCTATCGCAAACAGCAGCTCGGGCCAGGTACCTGTAGTTCCCAGGGTAGAACCCAGGGCCTCACAGAGATACCCAAAGTTCCAAACGTGTCAAGCGTAATTAATAACTAAGGACTAGACTTTTTTAGTTGCTAATTCATGTCTAAATAGTATTAACCCTATTGCTTTATTAGATGGTTAAGGGGATAATTTTATGACAGTTTAATAAAGTTTGTTGTAAAACTTTGAAGTTATGTAACTTGTCAGCACATCCGGTCATTGTATTTTTGGATTTAAATGTAGCAATTTTAGTGACTGACTAGTTTATTAGGAAACAAAAAAGGTAGATACTTTAAGTAAAATAGTGCTTCTTTGTTGGTAGACATGGTTAGAAAAACTTGAATTTTTTGTGTGCCAGGCAAGTGACCTGCCAGCTCAGTGGTCCCTCTCTTGCATTTGTATTAATCATTTAGGGTTTTTTGCTGTATTTCACAGACATAGCATATACATATACTGTATGTGTACATAGTCATATTTTTCCAAAACCTTTTCTATTTTATTTGATTTAGCAGATATTACAAGCAATCATTTATCATTCTCCCTTTATGACTTTAGTAATTTTTGTTTATTCAACATATGCTTGTAAGAGGCAAACAGTATCTCAGGTACTAGGGATATAACTATGAAGAAAAATAATCCTTCGTTGACAGCTAAAAGTACTGACAATTTTTTTCAGTGTGGGGATTTGAACTCAGGGTCTCATATATGCAAGACATGTGCTCCACCAGAACATTTTTTTAAAAGGCCCGTGATGATAAACTGGGGGAAAGGCAGGATAAAAGAGGATTAAAATGGACTGGGGAGCTATTATAGGTAGTGTGCTCAGAGAAAGCATTTGTGAAAAGAGGACATTTTAGCACAGGGTTGAAAGGGAGCAGTCCTGCTAATCCTGTACCTGAAACCAAAGCCTTAGGGCTGAGAGAATAGAAAGCACACATCCCCGCTGTGGAGTTTCAAGCCACAGTACAGATGCTTGATAGAGCAAAGAGAAAGAAGGAGGGATGTGGGAAAGAAGGTTAGAGGGAATAGGAAACCAGATGATGTGAATCTGATGGAAGACTATTGTGAGTGTGTGTGAGAGAGAGAGAGAGAGAGAGAGAGAGGAGAGAGGAAGAGAAGGAGAGAGATTGAACCCAAGAACTCACTCACTCACACATGCAGGGAAGCCGTTGTTTGTGTTCTGGTTTGGCAGCCACACCTGTGGTGCCACAAATCAAACTTGGGGCTCCAGAATGTGAAGCGTGTATGCCATTTCCCTGGCCCAGAAACCACTGTGGGTTGGTTCGTTTGTTTTTGGCTTAGGGCCACACCTGACTGTGCTCAGAGCTTGCTCCTGGCTCTGCTCAGGGATCACTCCTAGCAGACTTGGGGGACCAGATGTGGTGCCAGGGATCAGACCCAGGTCAACTGTGTGCAAGGCAAGCACCTTACCTGGCCAGCTGTGTGTGTGCTTGTCTGTTTCCTGTGTGTCCAAATTTCCTCTGCTTATAATGATACTAGCCAGATTTAATTAGGGTGCACTTTAACCACTAAGTTAAAGTTTGCCTCACTTTAAGCCCCTTTAAAGGCCTTATTTCTGAATATGTCATATTCTGAGGTACTGCAATTCACCCCAGGCCCCCAGGGCTTTGGGGGAATCAGGCTGCTGAGGATAGACCTGAGGTATGTAGGTGGAGGGGAAAGTCAGAATGTTGAGGTAGGAATGAATGTGGAAACGAGCAGCTTAATCAGGCCGCTAACATTGCCCTCAGAAGTCCTGTACTGATGTCCTTCTACATTGTAGTACCTCAGAATATAGATTTTCTAAGTTCATACTGATTTTATTCCCAAAACTAAAAACCACAACATTTCTGTTTTTCTTTTAAAATTTCTGGTTCTTTAGATTTTTAACATAGTAAGAAGATGAAACCACGTGTGCCATTTTCCATATTGAACCAAAATGTGCCCTTCCTTGTCTTTCTTTGCATGTTGATCTCAGTTTCTGTAAGGCTCAGGCTTTTATTAAAGGGAATTAATAATTTAAATATGTGGAATTTTTGTTTTAATTTTTAAGCTGGGAAGCTGGAGAGATAGGATAGCGGGTAAGGTGCTTGGATTTGATCCCTGGAACCCCATAGAGTCCCCTGAACCTGCTGGGATTAACTCCTGAGTAGACAACCAGGAGTAACTCCTGAGCACCACTGGGTATGGCCCCAAAACTAAAAAAAAGTGAAAAATAAAAAAGCAAGGATGACTTTCAGTATGGTAAAATGTTTATGTAATATCATAAGCTATAATACAGCAAGGGAGACTTAGTATTTAATTTGTTTTAATTTGTTGTATATGTTCAACCTCTAAAACTTGGTTTTGAAAAAAAAACCCTTGGTTTTAAATTGGTAAATTTATTTTCATATTTAAAAATTATTAGCTTTATTGAGAAAAATCGAGTTCGATTCCTCCGCCCCTCTCAGAGAGCCCGGCAAGCTACCGAGAGTATTCGATATGCCAGACACAGTAACAACAAAGTCTCCAATGGAGACGTTACTGGGCCCGCTCGAGCAAATTGAGAAAAGTCTAAGATGAGTAGAGAGAATGAGGAAGCGAGGGGGAGAGAGGAAAGAGGTGGTAGAGAGAATTTGTATCTGGATTTTTATTTTTATTTTTTCAAAATTGTTTTTTGGGGGGTGGGAGTGGGCAACGCTCAGGGGTTACTCCTGGTACTGCACTCAGGAATTACTCCTGGCAGTGCTCAGGGACCATCTCGGTTTCCAGGGATTGAACACAGGTCAGCTGTATGCAAGGCAGATGTGTTACCCTCTATACTATTCAGCTCTGCAAAATAGCTTTTATTAAAAGAAATTTATAGCGAGATGTGAAGGGAGAAAAAAAGAGGAATGCATGTTCAAGAGAATATGGGCATCAGAAAAAAGTCTGTTTAGTGGATCATTTGCTTTGGTGTAGTGAGTAATTTAACTAAAAGTGTTTTGTAACTTTTTTTTTTTTTAGTTACATCAAATTAAGGAATGGCTTACAGGCACTTTTGATTTCGGATCTAAGTAATACAGAAGGGAAAATGGGAGATACAACAGATGATGAAGAGGAAGATGAAGATGATGATGATGATGATGACGACGACGATGATGATGAAGATTCTGGAGCTGAAATAGAAGATGATGATGAAGAAGGTTTTGATGAAGAAGAGGAATTTGATGATGATGAACATGATGATGATATTGATACTGAGGAAAATGAATTGGAAGAAATAGAAGAGAGGGTAGTAGAAGTTAGAAAGAAAACCACAGAAAAACAGGTGCGAGTCAGGTCTATTTGACGCTTTATATTTGGGAAGGCTTTGGGATAATTTTAGCATTCGTGTTTGATTGTTTTAATGGAAAAATTCATCTTTGGATCTTTGAAAGTTCTGTATAAGATTACATTTTAAATACATTTTGCTCTGTTTATAAAAGTAATAAGTGCTCATTATAAAGACTATTGGGGGGAAAGAAAAATAGAAATAGGGACTGGAGTGAAAGTACAGAAGGGTAAGGCACTTGTGTTGCAAGTGGATGCTTCTACCTTGCTCTGGTTTGATTTCTGGCACCACATATCGTTCCCTGAACTCTCCTAGGAATCACTCTTGAATACAGAGGCACAAGGCTATCCCCCAAGTACTGTCAAATATAACAAATACTGGGAGGTGGGAATATGCTTAATTCTTATCCAGGGATACAGGAATAGGAGACTGTTAGTCTTTCAGAAACTGGAAAAAGTTAAAAAAAAATAAAGGTGGATAGTGTAGAATCCTCACCGGGGGCTGTTCCAAGAATTCTTATTTAGGTAATTCTGTATGAATCATCTTTCTTCATGGGAAAGCACCAAAAAGTGGCTCAATTAGATTGAAAGGATTGAAGCAGAAATGGGGAGTGGAGCTTAGTGAGCTTTGTGTAGCATATGTTAGCAATCAATGAAGAGATAAATTGGACTTGGTAGGAAAAAATGACTTTTTTCTTTGACTCTTTAAGAGTGCTTTCTTTTACAATGAAAAGTGCTGAAGTCAAGGATAATATTTGAAGACATTACAGTGGAATTGATCAACAAATATTTTTAAAGCTGCTTTTTTGGGCTAGTGACAGTGCTTTCAGCACGGAACAGTCCACATACAAATACATTAAGTTACGATTATTAAGACTAAAGTATAGATGTCAGATACACTGTGCTATAAAAGGTCATTTCTCAAAGATGTGAAAATGTGAGATGCAAGTAGATGGTATAACTGAAATAACCCCTCCCCCACTGCACAGTCACTTTTTTTTTCAAAGAAGGTTCCTTTTTTGCAGGAGGGCTTAAATCACATTTTCAAGAAAATATTATTTATTTGCACTCTGCTTTTGAATGATGTCTGTTTTGAAGTAGCTTATTCTTATTTTGTGATAGGTTAAGTACTTTTAGTTTAGAAAAAGCTTTGAAACTGATTGGGCCTGAGAGATAATACAGGAGGTCAGACTCTTGACTTGCGTATGGCTGATCCAAGTTTGTTCCCCTGCATCACATAATCTGGCGTCTCCCCAGCACCTCCTGGAGTGATCCCTGAGCGCAGAACCAGGAGTAAGCACACAGTCAGGTGTGTCCCCCCCCAAACATAATAATACAAATAATACTACTATGATGACTGCTACTAATAAATTTGGGACTGGAGGAATAATGCAGGAGGTGAGGCATTTGTCTTGGATGTGTCTGCTTTGGCCATGACCCTGGTTTGATCGCCAGCACGGCAAATGGTCCCCTGCTAGTGAGCATAGAATTAGGAGTGGCCCAAAAATAACAAGTTCTAAGGGTGAAAACCAAAATATTGGCGGAAATGTATGGATTTTCCATTTTTATAGAATAGTACTTTTAATTAGAGTAGTAAAGGAAAGGAAGAAATTTTTAAAGTTATGGGAAAGAACACTGACAAGAAATTTGAGTTTAAATATTTTTCTGTATGACCTTAGTCTCATATTTTCACTATTACTCCTTATTTCTAAAACAAGAGTATTAGATCATATGATTTTTGAGGTTTATTTTAGTTCCAGGAATATAACTCCATATCTGTAGGTTTCTTTTAGTATCCGATTATCTATTAACTTTTCCCAATGCTTTGAACTTTATTTAAAATTTTTTTGAGAATCAGTTATTAGTAAGACCTTATGGGGCCAGAGAGATAGTACAGGGGTTAAGTCATTTACCTTGTACAAGGTCTGCCCAGGTTTGATCCCTGGCATTACACATAGCCCTCCGAGCACCACCAGGTGTAAGCCCTGGTGTGGCCACAAAACGAGAAAACAATAAACAAAACCCAGACATTATTAAGTTACCTTAGATTTAGACTTAGAAATGACAGTGTGTGAAATCCTCTGACAAATGAGCTGTGTATCTAGTAGTTTTTGTATCTCTTATTTAGCTTATGGGCTGGAGCGATAGCACAGTGGGTAGGGCTTTTGCCTTGCAAGCGGCCAACACAGCTGACCCGAGTTCGATTCCTCCACCCCTCTCAGAGAGCCCGGCAAGCTACTGAGAGTATCTTGCCCTCACAGCAAAGCCTGGCAAGCTACCCGTGGCGTATTCGATATGCCAAACACAGTAACAAGTCTCGAAATGGAGACGTTACTGGGCCTGCTCGAGCAAATGGATGGACAACAGGAGGACAGTGACAGTGACATTGTTTTGCTTATGTGGATCAAACTCTGTTTACCTCTACTAGAAGCAAATTATCAGGTTTTAGAAATCATTACAAAGGCTTACATGCTAGTTTTGTTTTTCTGGAAACTCAGTATGATAGAGACCCTCAATCTATTGATAGTTAATTTTCTGGAATGTTAGAGAGGAGTGGAGGAACCTAATGTAGTTTGAAGAGCTTTGCTTCACTAATGGATATGAGTATGTTAGTGAAAGGAAATATTATTGTAACAGTGGAAAAATTTTTGTAATGGCTTATTCATTTATTGAACGGATAACTGCAGTTTTGAAATAAAGTAGTTTAGAAAGAGATGGTTTAAAAATACTCTAGGCGGGCCGGAGATATAGTACAATGGATAAGGTGCTTGCGTGTAGCCTCCCAGGTTCTGTAGAATGCCAGTGCTCCATAGTCCCCAGAACCCACCAGGAGTGATTCCTGACTGCAGGAGTAAGCCAGGAGTGAGCCCTGAGTACCGCTGGGGATAGCCCAAAGCCCCTCTCTTTCCCCTACAAAAGCAAAGAAGTTTACTTTCTGAGAAATCTCTTTTTATCCCCTAAATTTTCTTCCTCCTTATAGTAAAATGATTTTGATATGACAGATTTGATAGATTAGCATTGAAATTTAAGTATACTACATATCAAATTATGATTTGTTCAGGGCTTTTTTCTCCTTAAATTGTGTTTTGATTTTTTCCCCTATATATACTGTTTTTAATTTATAAAAGGTTACAATAGTGTTAACTTTTTGGTATCGATGTACAAAATTACTATACTTCCTACCACCAAAATGCCTCCTACCTATTTAGAGGTTTTTAAAGTAGTTTCTCAAGTACTAATTTCTCGAGTATGAATTTTGGGGATAGATAATTCTGAAGTATGAATTTCTTTTCTAGCAATCGCAGAACCTGTGTTTGCGGTGGTCAAAGCTGACTGATAGACTGTGGTTTAAGTCAACTTTTTCACAAATGTCTTCAACCCTGCTGGTCGAGACAAGAAATCTTTATGGGGTAGTTGGAGCTGAAAGCAGGTTAGGCACCTATTAAACATCACAGAACAGGTTAGACTGTGGTTTAAAGAGGTGATATTTTCCCCATTTTCAAACTGTGTGTATGTGCCTAAGTCTTAAAGGTAGATTTACAATGTCAAGTGATGAAACTATTTGAATCTTCTAAAGTTACACTTTTGCTTTCTGGCACGTGGTTGGACTTTATACCAGCCAGGTACATGCTCTTTTAAAAAATTCTCTTCCTAAGAGGATAACCATTAATCAAAAACAGTTTGTGTCACCGAAAGTGTTAGCCTTCAAAACTTTGTAAAGTTTGGGAAAGTTAATATTCAACCTCTAATACTTAAGGATTTGAAAGGACTTTTTCCCCCCACATTTAAAAATATTTTTTTTAACATTGACATAATGGTATACCCTAATTGTGTTAAGTATAGAGTTTTGGTGCTTTTTGATCATCTATTCTGCTGAAAGTTCTGATATTCCAAGGTAGCGTGAGAGTAGTTACTGATAGGTAATTATTCTATGTATCTTTAATAAGTAAAGAATATAAAAAGCCCCTTTTGAGTTCAGGGTTGTCAGTGGCGCCAGAAAGGTAGAACAGGGGCCAGGACCCTTGCCTTTTACACAGCTGACCTGGGTTCAGTGTCTGGCATTGTATGTGGTCCCTGAGCCTCACACAAGTGATCCGTGAGCGCAGAGCCAGGAGTGAGCCCTGAGCACCACCAGGTATGGCCCCCATATAAAAAACTAGACAACAACAAAAAGTTTAGTGCTGTGATTTTTTAATATTCAAAGATTTTTAAGGAATAATTAGGGCCGGAGTGATAGTACAGTGATTTGCCTTGCACGCGACTGACCTGGTTCAATGCCCAGCATACCCTGAGCACTCCCAGGAGTAATTCCTGAGTGCAGAGGCAGGAGTAATCCCTGAGCATCACTGGGTGTAGTTCAAAAACAAAAGCAATTTTTTTTTAACTTACTGTTTTTACGAGATATTGTTCTCATGTTATATGCTTTTTTAAAAAACAAAATTTTCTGAATAACACAGAAATCAACATCTATCACTGAGTTACTAAACATAGAGATTTTAATTGCCTAGATATTTTAGCTATCTAGATATATTACTGTAGATGTAATCTATCTAGGTATAAATACATCTACAATTTCCGAAATCTAATGCATTCAAGAAAAAAATAGAATGCATTGAGAAAAAGAAGGGAAAAAAAAACACCCTAATGCTTGAGAAACAAACTTGACTCAGAGCTTTGAAATATTGACACAAAATAGTATTTGGGTGGGCTGGCCAGTGCCCTTTCCTTTTGTTCCCTCTGTTTCTGCTTTTTCCCGTAGGTCTACACCTCTTCAGTCTTTGACAGGATGGCAAGAGGAGGAGCAGCAGGGTGAAACTGACACAGTTCTGGTGAGTTTCACTTTGCTGCTCCTCCCGATTCTCAGGGAAAGAAATTTGTTACTTTCAATGTGAAGTTTTCTACCTCCAAATGAATCCTTAAGATGAGATGGCAGCATTATCCTTCAGAATCAACTCACTGTGCCCATTTTACTTATTCCAGTCTGCGGCGGCTCTTTGTGTTGGCGTTGGCAGTTTTGCTGATCCAGATGACCTGCCTGGCCTGGCACACTTTCTGGAGCACAGTAAGATCTTTATAAAATATTCCAGGGTTCTTTTTTTTAAACCTCAAAATTAATATGAATTGTTTCAGAAATAAGTAACTGAGTTGATGGAAGCATACTTTTCTCAAGAGAAAAAGCTAAGAGTTTGTTATGACTGTAATGAGCCAATTTTAATCCCTTTGAAGGGCTGGAGCGATAGCACAGCGGTAGGGCGTTCGCCTTACAAGCGGCCAACATGGCCGACCCGGGTTCGATTCGTCCGCCCCTCTCGGAGAGCCTGGCAAGCTACCGAGAGTATTCGATATGCCAGACACAGTAACAACAAAGTCTCCAATGGAGACGTTACTGGGCCCGCTCGAGCAAATCGACGATCAACGGGAGGGCCTTTACCTTTACCTTTACCTTTGAATGTACTTGGCATAAGAATTACAGCAAAACCATTTAGACATTTATTTTTAGAAGTATTCTTCATTGTTAGTCAGGTCATTCAAAAGGTATGGTAAGACCAACAAATAAGACAGTGGCCAATCTCTAGAAATTTAGGCTATAATCTTGGAAAGGACAGCCTTCTCCTGGATTAACCAAGCTCTAGTAAATCAAAACATTAGAAATAGACAACAAAAAGACACGATTAATATAAAAACAAGACAAAATCTTTAGTTTATGAATGTACTTACATGAAACATATTTGTGAATAGCACTGTCCTGCAGCACTGTCCCCCCGTTGTTATTGATTTGCTCGAGCGGGCACCAGTAAAGTCTTCATTGTGAAACTTGTTACTGTTTTTGGCATATCAAATACGCCACACCACCGGGAAGATTGCCAGGCTCTGCTCTGCGGGTGGGATACTCTTGGTAGCTTGCTGGGCTCTCTGAGAGGGATGGAGGAATTGAACCCGGGTTGACTGTGTGCAAGGCAAACGCCCTAACTGCTGTGCTATCTGTGAATAGCTATTTAAATTCATTTTTATTTTCCTGCATTGTTGTGTTCTGGTTTTCTAAGCAAAAACTTACCTAGTGAGTTTTTCTAGTAACATTCGTCTGCATGGAACCTTATTAATATTGTAGCCTTTTTACAAATAAATCTTCATTTAAAAATAAAATGCTGGGGCCGGAGTGATAGTACAACCGGGAGGGTGTTTCCCTTGCACATGGCCGACCTGAATTCTAATCCTTGGCATCCCATATGGTCCCCTGAGCACCACCTGGAGTAATTCCTGAGTGCAGAGCCAGGAGTGACCCCTGAGAATCGCTGGGTATGACCCCCCAAAAAAAGCAAAATAAATAAAAATAAAAATATTTAGGGTCTGGTAATGTGGCTAGATTATATATTATAGATCAGTTCTATCAGTGGTGGATCATGTGCATCATTAAACAAAAAGACCTGAATTTAATTTCTGGTATCACATACAAAAAATAAAATGGTTAGTTATTTTCTGTGTAAAAGTAACATGTGATAGAAAACTATGATCTTTTGTGTTCTGTGACTTTGTGTTCTTTCCACTTAGTGGTATTCATGGGGAGTTTGAAGTATCCAGATGAGAATGGGTTTGATGCCTTCCTGAAGAAACATGGAGGTAGTGATAACGCTTCAACTGATTGTGAACGTACAGTTTTTCAGTTTGATGTCCAGCGAAAATACTTCAAGGAAGCCCTGGACAGGTAATTAACTCGAAATGTATTTTCCTTTTATTCTGGTATTTCTTTTTCAAGTACTGATTCTGTAGAATTGTCACAATACTTGATGTAAAGAAAAGAGCCAACTAAATTTGCCTTTGCTTTTAGTTTGTAATACTTAAGCTTTTGTGTTTGAAAATAAGTTGAAATTCTTAACACCTTTTAAGTTCTGTATATAATGCCTTTATTGACTTGTTTCAGTTATTTTAAAAATTTAGTAGTAAATGAAAAAAACAGAAAAAGGGGCAAGATTGCTGAGAATTTCACCATGTTGAGATAGCTATGCTATAGCTTTTGATAGTCATTTATATTATATCATGTATATGGAATCATTCATATCCTTTTAAATTTTAAAAGTCATTTTTACATATGACTAATTTACAAAACAGTATTAAGTGATTCTGTATTATTTACATTATATAGAATATACATACTCAGTTCAGTTAGTTACATATTGTACAGTGCTTCCTACTTTACTTATCTGTGATGCTGTGGTGAACATCATCTTTTATACATCCTTGATTCTCTCTGTTAGTTAACTTTCAAGAAGTGAAATTGCTGAGTTTATTTGAAATCTTTTTTCATAGTAAATTTTGATTTTGCAAAACCAATTTCCAAAATGTTTGCATAAGTAGAATTTGGTGTCATGAGGCTGCATACCAAAGATGAACTAGGAAAAGTTACTTGAGGGCTAGAGCAGTAGGGTAGGGCACTTGCTTTGCACATGACCAACCTGGGCTGGATTCTTGACATTCCATATGGTTCCCCAAGAACCACCAGGAATAATTCCTGAGCATTGCCAGGTGTGGCCCAAAAACAAAACAACACAAAAAAGTTACTTTATACCAAATTCTAAATCTTAGAATGATTTTTTTTAGAAAGATTTTTTTACATTCTAACATTATATTCCAAAAATATCTTGAATGTAATTAGGGTAATGAGGGGAGTTTTTGTCTGTCCTTTGATACATCTTTAGCATCAAGGTAGACTACTCATATTTGTTGAAATAATAGGGTTTTTCTTAGAAATGCGAAAAAATTCTCCACATGACAGTAGTCCAATTTTCTTTTAAAAATTTGTCTTGCCTCCTAGATTAAACTGACTTTAAATTCTTACATTTTGAGTAAATTCCTATAAACCCCATTGTATAAATAGGTTCTATTTTTGAATGATCACCCTCAAATTAACAGCTTTTTAAAACAGTACCAAAATTCCATTGAGATACTTTGGTGACTTAATGTATAATGTACTGTAACAGTGATTCTTTGTTTCTGTTTTGGGACCATACCTGGCAGTGGTCAGGGCTTACTCCTGGCACTGCACTCAGGGATCTTCCTGGTAAGGCTCAGGGGGTTAGATGAGGTACTAGGGATCAAATCCAGATTGGCCTTGTGCAAAACAAGCACCCTAACTGCTGTACTATTGCTTTAGCCCCAACAGTGGTTTTTACAGTGATTTATAATACTGCTATCTTACTATATTCGTTGAACTATCTTATAGATAAACTTTCTTGTACTTTAGAAAATTAGGAATATTTTGAGAATTACTCTTATTTGCTTTTGTTTCAAAGTTCTTGGTTCTAATGCTTCACAATTTCAGAAAGATTTGTATATGTGGGAAGAAATATATATATATATGTATACATATTTATGTATGTAAACATATATATGTGCTTTTTTCCTTTCTGGGCCACACCAGGTTATGCTCAGGGGTTACTCCTGGCTCTGCACTCAGGAATTACTCCTGGTGGTGTTTGGGGGACCATAATGGAATGCCAGGGATCAAACCCAGGTCAGTCAGGTGGAAGGCAAATGCCCTATCACTGTACATCACTCTAACCCCTATATGTATGGGAAGAAATCTTAAGCAGTTAATAATTTAATTCTCAAAACTTTGTATTTTTTTTATTCTATATATAAAGAGGACAAGTCACTTTATTCGAACAAGATAGGAAAACAATAGCTGAATAAATTCTAAATACCTTAGAGGTGATAAAAGTTGATAAAAAGAAGTGTAGTTAAAAAATCTGTTTTAGGGCAAAAGAGATATCTCAACAGGAGATATCTCAACAGGCTTTGCTATAACAGAAACCTGGATTCAGTCCTTGGCACCACATTGTACACACATACACACACACACACACACACACACACACACACACACACACACACAGAGCTGGGAGTAGCCCCTGAGCACCACCGAGTGTGACTCCACTTTTCAAAAATTCTTTTTAAGTAGGTTCTAAATTTTTTTTTTTTTTTTGCTTTTTGGTTCACACTCCATTGGAGACTTTGTAGAGGAGTGGAGTGGAGTGTGAACCAAAAAGCAAAAAAAAAAAAAAAAAAAAATTTAGAACCTACTTAAACTCGGCGATGCTCAGGGGTTATTCCTGGCTCTGCACTCAGGAATTATTCCTGGCGGTGCTTGGGAGACCATATGGGATGCTGGGGATTGAACCCAGATTGGCCGCGTGCAAGGCAAACGCCCTACCCGCTGTGCTATCACTCCGGCCCCGGCTCTAAAATTTTTTGATCTAAGGATAGTTTAGACACATTTATCATGAACTAAGCCAGGTAAAAAACAACAGACCAGGGCCAGAGAGATAGTACAGTGAATGTGATGCCTGCCTTGCATGGGGGCTCCCAGCTTTCATCCCCAATACCCTTTATGGTTCCCCAAGCTCTCCAGTAGTGATCCCTCAACACAGAGGAGGAGTAAGCCTTAAGCACTGCCAGGAGTGGTACCAAAACAAAGCAAACAAAAAATTGCCATAAACTTAAATATTAGGACAGATACAACTACTTCAAGAGAAAAGAAATACTGTATAGAACACGTTTTTTCAACGGAGGGTGATATTGTTCCCTTTAGTGGCAAAAATGGCTTCTTGGGATAGGGAAGAAGGAGGTTTTTGATTTTTTTTTTAATTGCTTGAGGTAATGTGATTTATAATACTGTTAATATGTTAATGATGGCCTCACGGGGCTCACAATTCCAATACCACACCCATTACCTAGGGAGGAGGTTTTGGGTGGGTGGTTTATGGCTCTCCATAGCCTTAATCCCACCTGGCAAATTCTTCACTTAATATGTAATTTCTTTTGTTTGTGTAATTTCTTGTGTTTATGGACTGGAGCGATAGCACAGCAGGTGGGGCCGACCCGAGTTCGATTCCTCTGCCCCTCTCGGAGAGCCTGGCTACCGAGAGTATCTTGCCCTCACGGCAAAGCCTGGCAAGCTACCTGTGACGTATTTGATATGCCAAAACACAGTACCAACAAGTCTCATAATGGGAACGTTACTGGACCTGCTTGAGCAAATCGATGAACAACGGGAGGACAGAGACAGACAGAGATGGGATACTTGAAAAAGTTTTCTCAAATATTCTATAAACACAATTTATATCAACAGTGAGTGATGGAAGATATACAAAGCGTATGCAACATTAGCTAAAACTGCTACGGAACTGTGGTAGGTAGTGACTGGGAATCTTTCAAATGATCGCTTGATTGCGAAGACATGACATGAGTGTTCCCCAAGTATAAAGTGCTTGCCATTGATTGCCTTATGGACATTGTTATGTTTGATATTCAGTGCTTTTCTCTGCATAGTCATTTTTAGAATTAAATTTATTTTTTATTATTAAATTCAAAAGTTATTCAATTTATTAGTTATGCAAAGTACTGAAAAGGTGTCGGGCTAGAGAGATAGCTAAACAGATTGAGCACATGCTTTGCATGCAGGAAGTCAGGGTTCAGTTCCCAGCACCACATGCTTCCCTAGGCCATCTAGGAGTGAACCCAAAGCACACAGCCAGGGATACCCCCAACCCCCCCGGGTGTGCCTCCAAAAGAAAAAGAACAAAAAAATGCTGACCTCTCTTTATTTAATAGATATAATTAAAAGTTTATTCTAAGATCACTTGATCACTTGACTTCCCGTTAATCATTGTTTTGCTCGAGTGGGCGCCAGTAACGTCTCCATTCATCCCTGTCGCATGCTAGTGTAGCCCAGTGGAGTCTGTTCATTCTAGGAACATGAAGAGCATCAAACCAATTGTTCAGGGTCTTGACAAAGAAGTCTGACCATCTCATAGGTGAGTGTCCACACGATCTTTTGACGTCCCATGGAATCCAGTCGGTAATGGCTCTCCAGCGGCCATCTCCAAATCTCATTACATGTCCAGCCCATCTGATTTTCGACGACTTGGCAAACGAGACAGCGTCCCTGATTCTTGACCATTGACGGAGGTCAGAACTCCAGATTCTTTCTCTCATTTGAGTGAAATGTCATACTCCAAGCATAGCTCTTTCGATTCCTCTTTGGGAGACACCAATAGCGTTCTCATCCTGTTTTTGTAGGGCCCAGGTCTCTGAGGCATATGTTAATGCAGGAAGAACAGTGGAATCGAAGAGATGTACCCAGAGCCGGAGGTTCTTCATCCTCTTAGCTATTTCTTCGACTCTCTCGAAGGTGTTCCAAGCCGCTATCTTCCTCCTGCGCAACTCAGGTGCCAGGTCATTTGTCATGTTGACTTCTCGACCTAGGTACACATAACTGTTGCATTCGGAGATGGTCGTTCTGTTGAGAGCGAATGGGGTGTCAGGAATGAGGCTGTTTCTCATAAACATTGTCTTCGTGAGATTTAGCAGTAGTCCGACCTTTCCACACTCACGGTCGAAGTCGGCCAGCATTTGTGCTGCTTGGCTAATGTTTGCTGTTACTAAAACAATGTCATCAGCAAAGCAGAGGTGGTGTAGTTGCCGACCATCTATCTTCACTCTCATTCCTTCCCATTCCAGACATTGCATAATGTTCTCGAGGGTGGCACTGAAGAGTTTCGGTGAAATGGTATCACCCTGCCGAACCCCTCTCTTGACATAGATGATCACTTCTTTGTAGTATGGTGAGATCCTGGTCGTGAATTCGTAATACAGCTCACAGAGGATCCTGATGTATTGAGTTTGAATGCCCTGTTTGACTAGGACTTCGATGACTGCTTCCATCTCAACAGAATCCAAGGCCTTTTTTAAATCAATGAATGTTAGACAGAGCGGCATCTTGAACTCCCAAGAAACCTCAATGAGCTTGGTTAATCGTGTGGATATGGTCGATGGTGCTGAATCCTTTTTGGAACCCGGCTTGCTCGCATGGTTGTCCTTCATCTAGTGTTCTGCCAATCCTATTCAGGATGACTCGAGTGAACAGCTTGTAGATGACAGACAATAGGCAGATTGGGCGATAGTTGCCATTGTCCTGGATGTCTCCCTTCTTGAACAGTAGTACAGTTCTGCTGGTTTTTCATTGGGACAGAACCTTGCATTCAGACAGGTAGCGCAGGAAGAGCTGAGCCAGTGTATTGATGAGTACTGATGGCAGGTTTTTCAGGTGTTTGGGTCTGACCTTGTCTGGACCAGGTGCTGTTGTTTCTTTACCAACAAAATGGCGTGTCAGATTTTGGAAGGGAGAACGTTGGTAACGACATCGAAGAGATCTGAGTAGAAGTCATGGATAATCTTCTCCATTGCCCTTCTGGAAGATGTGATAGATCCATCAGGATGTCGGAGGGCAGTCATCTTCGTCTTGTAGTTGGCGAAGGACAGGCGGGTGTTACGAATGCTTTTCCCGGCTTCTGCCGCATCTACCAGCACTGCTGCTCTTCTCTCTTTGAGGTCTTCTTTTATCACATCTCTGCACTGCTTTGCGAGCTGGGATGTTCGCTTGAGGTTGCCTGAGGCATGCGCCAAACCATGTTGGCGAATAAGCTCAAGAGTTTTTGAAGACAGGTATTTTTTTGTGGCTGTCTTTCTCTTGGCGTTCTTCACACAATCATGGAGGTGCTGAACCAGTTGATCGTATTCCTCATCAATGTTGTCAATGATGGCATCTTCCCATGTTGCAGCAATAGTTTCAAAGACCTCCCAGTTGGTAGTCGTTCTGGGAGTTCTCTTCTTAAAATTTGCACCCCTTTCTCCCCTCTCTGTGAAGTAGAATTTTGCATGATCAGCCGAAGAACTCCACATCGGGACCCATGGCCTAGAATGGAATGAATAGGGTGAGAGACTGTCTGAGTTCATCATGTCGACCAAGACCATCCATGGTAACTCACAGTTCCAGAAGGCTGAATCTAAACGTTGGACATGGGAGTCTCCTGGTGGACGGTTCCACAATGAAATTGACCACATCATATTTAATCGATGGTTTTGCCTGACCGATGTCGCTGTTGTCCCAAAATTCCAAATGGGATCAGACCACTGTCTCCTTAGTGCAAAATTCTACTTCTATTCTCAGATAGTAAATTAAAGTTAAAAGTTTATTAAATGTTGTTGGAAATTATTTAATACTTTCATTTTTTGAAAAAGTGATTGTTTCTTTACAAAAAATAACTGCTATTTATAGAAATGGATTCTTTGTGGCATATACATTTATATAAATAGATGCATGTATAATTGGCTATTGAACAATTTATATTAGTAGACAAAATACATTAAAAGCAAATAGTTACAGAGTTTAACTCAGGGCCTGAAACAGTGCAATGCAGGTGCTTGTCTTGAATGTGGCTAACCCTGGTTCTAGCCCCAGTGGGAATGATCCCTGAGTGTAGAGCCAGGGGTAAGACCCGAGTACTGCTGGGTGTGCCCTAAAAAACAAAAAAAAATTGAAAAAAGTTTAACTTCAACCTTTAAGAGCAACATTAGCACATTTTAAAAGTTTCACCTTTATTATACATTTTAATTTCAGGGCGAGGGAGCTCACTCACTTAGTGAACTGGAGTGCATGCTTTGTCTACTGGAGCCTGGGTTTGATCCTGGCTCTGAGTGCTTCCCCAATCATTTCAAGGTTTTTTGGGATTGAGGGAAAGTTTGGGCCACACCTAGTGGTGATCAGAGGACATATGAGGTGACTGGGATTGAACCTGGGACAGCCACATGCAAAGCAACCACCTTTTAACCTCTGTCATATCTGTGGCCCTGTAGCACTGAAAGCTTTTATTGAACAAAAACTGAAATGCCATTTTTTTTTTTTGCAGATGGGCCCAGTTTTTCATCCATCCACTAATGATCAGAGATGCAATTGACCGTGAAGTTGAAGCTGTTGATAGTGGTAAGAGAACTGTACTATGTCTTCTCACTATTTCTTCCATTATATCTATAATTTAGCACATTTCTCATTCTGTATCACTGGGCCATTTCTATACAAGTAAAGGGTTAGGGGTGGGAGAGATAGTACTTGTGGGTAGGGAACTTACTTTGCACAAAGCTGACACAGGTTTGATCCCTGGCATCCCATGTTGTCCCCCTAGCATTTCCAGGAGCAATTCTTTAGTGTGGAGCCTGTAATAACCCCTGAACATTGCTGGGTGTGGCCCCCAAAACATCTTCCAACCCTCTCCCCACCACTGAAGTTAAAGGACTAGCTAGCTAGAAATAGATGTCACTGTCACTGTCACTGTCCTCCCGTTGTTCATCGATTTGCTTGAGCAGGTCCAGTAACATCTCCATTGTGACAATTGTTACTGTGTTTGGCATATCGAATACGTCATGGGTAGCTTGCCAGGCTTTGCCATGCAGGCGAGATACTCTCAGTAGCTTGCCAGGCTCGCCGAGAGGGGCGGAGGAATCGAACTCGGGTCGGCCATGTTGGCCACTTGCAAGGCAAACGCCCTACCCGCTGTGCTATCACTCCAGCCCAGAAATATATGTATTATGTTTATTCCCGAAATTATAAAATGTCCAATCCAGTATGTATTTTATTTTACTATTTATTTATTTTGGCTTTTTTGGGTCACAACCGGCGATGCACAGAGCCTCCTGGCTTTGCACTCAGGAATCACTCCTGGTGGTGCTCAGGGGACCATATGGGATGCTGCGAATCAAACCCAGGTCAGCCATGTGCAAGGCAAACACCCTACCCGCTGTTCTATCTCTCCAGCTTCCCAGTATATACATATATGTATATATTTTTTCCCCCAGTATATATTTTAAATAAAAGGAAGATGGATTCCCCCCCATCTTTAACTTTTTTTAAAACTTAAGGTTTTTCATTAATTTTTGCAGGATAAGAGCCTAGTTCTTAAAGCTAATATCGGGTGTTAAAACTTTAAAATGGACTATACTTACAAAGCGATTCTCTGAGGCTTTAAGTATTATCATGATACTTAAATAGTTGGTCCTTTGTTATCTATGTGTGTAGGAACTCTGTGACTTACGTTAGTAGATCTGAAAACAATTGTGATGTATATATAAATGAATAAACTGGATTTCTTACCAGAAAATACATTTTATGTGTTTGTCTGGGCCACACCTGGCTGTTCTCAGAGTTTACACCTGCTCTGCACTCAAGGATCACTCCTGATGGGCTTGGGGAACAATATGGGGTGCTGGGGATCGAACGCAGGTCATCCATGTGTGAGGCAGGCTTCTTACATGCTGCACTATCTCTCTGGTCCCTATAAAAAATACTCCCTTGGAGAAATAGTTCAGCTATTAATACGCTTTCCTTATACGCAGCTGACCCCAGTTTGATCCCTGGCACTGCATATGGTCCCCCAAGTACCACCAGGAGTGACTCCTGAGCACAGAGCCAGGATAAGCTCTAGGTACCACTGGGCATGACACCCCGCCCCCCCCCAAAAAATTTCCTAGAACTAGAGAAATAGTATAGGAGTTAAGGTGTCTACCTTGGATGAGGCCAACCTCTGCCCTGTCCCTCGCACTACATATGGTCCCCCTAGCACCTCCAGGAGTTATTACTGAGCAGAGCCAGGAGTCAGCCCTAAGAACTTTTGGGTATGGCGCTGAAACATATATTCCTTAACCACAGAGTACCAGTAATTAGCACCTCTGTAGGTAAACCTTGATTACCTTATGTTAGCATTAGATATGTGTCATACTGAACTTAGGGGACTATTGCTTTACAGACCGCAGGCTTTGTTTGCAGCAGTTATGAGACAAGAATTCACTCTCAGTATTTTCTCTTTGGGCTTGATGATTTACTGCATCCACTAGGATGCAGAGACTGCAGGTGACTGCAGAGAACCATCAGTGTGTTGGCCAGCAGACTTGTGTTTTTCTTACAGAAGTATACCACAGTGTGCTGCCATCAGTTTGTAGAAGAGGGTCAGTGGGGTTAGATAAGTTCATCTAGCTCTAGCTCCTTGTAAGCAGGAATTAATTTTCTTCTTCTTTTTTTTTTTTGTTTTGCTTTTTGGGTCACATCTGGCGATGCTCAGGGGTTACTCCTGGCTCATACACTCAGGAATTGCTCCTGGCGGTGCTCAGGGGGACCATATGGGGTGCTGGGAATCGAACCTGTGTCGGCCATGTTGGCTGCGCGCAAGGCAAACACCCTACCCGCTGTGCTATCGCTCCAACATGGCCGACCCGAGTTCGATTCCTCCGCCCCTCTCGGAGAGCCCGGCAAGCTACCGAGAGTATTCGATATGCCAGACACAGTAACAACAAAGTCTCCAATGGAGACGTTACTGGGCCCGCTCGAGCAAATCGATGATCAACGGGAGGGCCTTTACTTACTTTTACCTTTACTTTTTTGTTGTTGTTGTTGTTTGTTACTTTGTTTTGTTTTTGAGCCACACTTAGCAGTGGTTACGTTTTACTCCTGGTTCTGTGCTCAGGGCTCACTCTTGGCATACTCATAACCATATGTGGTGCTGGAATTTAACCCAGGTTGATTCTGTGAGCCAATTACCCTAAGTACTATGCTATCTCTCCAGCTTTGAGTTGCTTAATTTTTTTTTTTTTTTTTTTTTTTGCTTTTTGCGTCACACCCAGTGATGCACAGGGGTTACTCCTGGCTCTGCACTCAGGAACTACTCCTGGCGGTGCTCAGGGGACCATATGGGATGCTGGGGATCGAACCCGGGTCGGCCGCGTGCAAGGCAAACACCCTACCCACTGTGCTATCGCTCCAGCCCCTGAGTTGCTTAATTTTTTGACTACCATATCAGATTCATCATGTTCGTTTGCCTTTATTTCTTGCCATCTGCTTATGGAAAAGATTCTTCCCTGTTTTTCTTTTTTTTTTTTTTGTAATTTACAACCATTTTCTAAAATCATCTTTTTTTTTTTTTTTTTTTGGCTTTTTGGGTCACACCCAGTGATGCTCAGGGGTTTCTCCTGGCTCTGCACTCAGAATTACTCCTGGTGGTGCTCAGGGGACCATATGGGATACCGGGGATTGAACCCGGGTTGGCGGCATGCAAGGCAAATGCCCTTCCTTTGCATTGTTTCATTGTGCCATGCGCAGGCAACTTATTTTTCTTTATTCTTTCAATGGTGTGATTGTATACATTCGTAAGCATTTATCTGCACAATGCAAAATAGATCTGTTCAACATTTGATCATTTTGAATAAATTAAAGCTCATAAATGTGTACAGGATCATATTAAAATGAGATTAAATTATTGATAAAAGAATATTATAGAGAAGAAACTTATTAATGTTTTAGCACTGTTTTAATGATAGTTCATAGTTTCACATAAACATCTGATTGCCCTTACATAGTATATTTTAGTGATTAAGAGTGAGAATATAGCAAAGTCCTAATCAAATTGACAGAATATTTTCTTGAGTGTTTCGATATAGTGTTTCTTTTTCAGGTTTAAATATCTATTATTGTCCTGTTGCTTATATGCAAATTATCAGCAATCTAGTGGCTTAAAATAAATTTTCTAAACTTTGGAGTTCCAAAATCTAAAATATATGCCAAAACTGTATTTCTTTTGGAAGATCCAGGGGATAATATATTGCCTTTTCTAGCACTAGCTGTCACTCCTAGGTTTTTGTTTTGTTTGTTTGTTTGTTTTGGGTCACACCAGTGGTGCTCAGGGGCTGTTCCTGGCTCTGTACTCAGGAATTACTCCTGTCAGTGCTAAGGAGACATATGGGATGCGGGGGAACAAACCCAGGTCCGCTGTGTGCAAGGCAAATGCCCTCCCTGCTGTACTATCACCCGGCCCCACTCCTAGAATTTTAAGCTCTGGCTTCTTTATCTTAAGAGACATCTGTTTAGGAGCCTGAAAGACTTCAAAGGGTTAGATCATAAGCTTTGCATGTTGGAGTCTCAGGCTAGATCTCCATCATTTCATGGTTCCAGAGCACTGCTGGGAAGAACTCCTGAGTACCAAGCCAGAAATAATACTGCACCCCTGCAGCATGGCCGGATTTTCCCGTCTCCCCCCCGTACCCTGCCCCACAAAATAAATAAATAAATAAATAAATAAATAAAATGTTAAAAATCATCAGTATAGGATTGGGGATGTGAGTCAGTGGCCTCACATTTGTAAGACCCCAGGTTCAATTTCCGAGCACAAAATAAAGTGGATCATTTTGTTGAGAGTACAACAGCTGTGTACTCAACAAAGTGTGATCCTCTGGTTTCCCACCTGTAAGGGTCCAGACATTTCCCAGATGATCCAGCTAGTCTCTCCTTTTCAGGATCAAAAATTTAATCAGATCTGCAAAATTACCTTAATAATTAAAGATAACGTTTTTATAGCTGACATGGGTTCAATTCTTGGCACCGAAGATAGTCCTGAGTCCACTAGGAGTGAGCCCTGAGCACTGCCAGGTGAAGCCCAGACACAAAAAAAGAGAGCGTACAGGAAGGGATTAAGGTGCTTGCTGTGCACAAAATTGACCCAGGTCTGCTGTCTGTGGTTCCCTGACCACAGAGCCAGGAATAAGGCCCTGAGCACCTCTGTCTATGGCCCAACTCACCCTTACCGACACCTCGAAGAAAGGGGAGAAAAAAATTAGACATCACTTTAGAATCTTCTGTCCTCCCTAACCCCCTTGTCTGTCTTATTCTTCTTTGACTCTGATCCCACCTGCTTTTCTCCTCCAAGGGTCCTTGTGAGTACATTGGGATGTCCCTCATAATCCAGGTAGTCTCTCCCTTTCAGGATCATACATTCAATCAAACCTGCAAAGTTCCTTTTATAATCTAAAGCAACATTTTCACAGACTGTAGAAATTAGGATATGGATATCTTTGGGGTGGGGGAAACGTTCTATATATCATGCCATATTTAATAATGGAATCATTTTTTAGTCATTTTAATTTTTTTCCAGAGATTTTTATATATATATTTTATAAATTTATTGAATCACTGTGAGAGCAGTTACAAAGCTTTCAGGTTTAAGTCTCAGTCAGTGATGAAACACCCGTCCCTTCACCAGTGCACATTTTCCACCACCAAAAACCCTAGTATAGCCCCCATCCCACACCCTCCTCTTACGTGTGTGGCAGATGATTTCCACACCACTCTCTCTCTACTTTGACCACATTCAATATTTCGACACCAGACCCACCATTATTATTTGGGATTTTACCCCAACACTCAGATCTGCCAAAAAGGTAACATTAGACGATCTGTCCTCCATTGCTGATTATGAATTTTGAAATTCTGAAATCTTAATAATTAAATCTGGAGAAATTCCTGCCAAAAGCCGCTGGGTTCCGAGATTTGTTTCTGAGTCTCTGGAATCATGGCTTACGCAGCTCAATCAGTAGCCAGAGGGCCCGTTCGTGGACGGCGACTTGGGGTCTCATTGGGGCAGGGGAGGAAAGGGCCATCTCCACCCCCATCCCGTGAGGCCACATGTGTCTCGTCACTGCGGGCCCCTACCTGGCTGTCCATTGGCCTCTGGAAGATGGCAGGCCTTGAGCCGCCAGGGAGAACAGGCGGTTGTATTTGTTTTGCATGCAGCTGACCTGTGTCTGACCCCAGTCCTCCATATTCCTGATCACAGTGCCAGTAGTCAGCTCTACTGGGGGTGGCTCAAATAACAAAGGCAAAAATTATAAACTTTTCAATTTGTCCATTTCCAGATCTGGAAATCTTCCTCCTCCCCCTCACCCCCGCCCATGTTGGACAGTGCCCTCATGTTACTGAGTTTCTGCTCATTCACCTGCTCAGAGGCAGCCCTCTGTGTTCTCTTTCCTCCTATACTTTTTCCTTATCCGCATTTCCACACTTATTCCACTTGTGGAATACTCTTATTCTAGTTGTCACTGACTGATACTACTTTAACATATGTTTGTTGGTTTACATACTGTTTCTCTCTCCTTCTAGAGTATAATTCCTTAAGGACAGACTTCTATTAATATTACTGTTTTCAGAAACTCATTCTGGAATACTTAGATCTTCAGTAAATATTTGTTGAAGGAATATATTTAATCATAATGATTTGATCATAATTATTCAGTGAGCTAGGCACAGCAATTCCATTTCATTTACTTATTTTTTGTCTCCATTGTTGTGGGGGCCAGGCCACACCCTCTGGTGCTCTGGGCAGGGTGTGGGATGTGGTTTCCAGCCACTCCTGGCAATGCTCTGGGAACTCCAAGTGCCAGGGATCAAACCCAGGGTCTCACATAATGTAGGACGTGTGTTCTATCACTGGAACCAAATGTCCGGTGGAGAGGGTGCTTGCCTTGCAGGCATTCAACCTGGATCCTGTCCCTAGCACCTTCTATGTTCTCCAGAGCTCCATCAAGAGTGATCCCTGGGTGCAGGGCAAAAAGCCCAGAACACAGCCAGGTGTGGTTCAGAAACAAGAAGAAACATAATAGCAGAAGTAGAGTGAAGGAAGTTAGATAACTTCCTTAAAGTTGTTTATTTTAGTAAAAGGTAAAGGTAAAGGCCCTCCCGTTGATCCGATTTGCTCGAGCGGGCCCAGTAACGTCTCCATTGGAGACTTTGTTGTTACTGTGTTTGGCATATCGAATACTCTCGGTAGCTTGCCAAAAATTGGATTGTGCTTGTTAATTCAAGTTCAGAATGATTGTTCCTATTACTACTTTATTACCAACATAGTTGATTTAGCAGAAATTTGTTGGTTTTACTCTGAATCACTCCTGGATGTCCTCCGGGGACGTATATGGTTCTGGGGATTGAACCTGGTTTAGCCACATACAGGACAAGTGCCCTATCTGCTGTACTCTCTGGCCGTAATTTAGTGGAAATTTGAACTGTGTATCTGTACATATGAACTGTATAAAGTTCGTAGATAGTAAAAAATTTATGGTGGGATGTTTCTCAGTGTTAGAGCACTTGACTGCTTGGGTGAAGCCCTGGGTTCTATTTTTTTTGTTTGTTTTAGGGCCACCCCAGTACTGCTCAGGGCTTACTCTTGGCTCTGTGCTCAGGGATCACTCTATGTTTAGCCATAGGGAATTTACTAGCTCATTGAGTTTTACTCTTCTTAAAACATTCATAAAATTAATTCTCTTACTGCCTTTCAGTTTCGTGAGCTTGGATTTTCATATAATTTAGCAGAATTTTGTTGTATTAAGAGTATTTCTTTAAAACTGACAGAATATCAACTTGCAAGACCTTCCGATGCAAACAGAAAGGAAATGTTGTTTGGAAGCCTTGCTAGACCTGGACATCCTATGGGGAAATTTTTTTGGGGTAAGATACTAAATATTCATTTTACTTCATATACTTTAGTTAAGGAAAGTTGTATTTTGAAAAATCTGACATAAGATGAAAGTTATAAAGTTAGGATTGCTGGGTACCTTTTACCTTTATGGAAAGTAGGTAATATTTCAAATAAAAATTAGCTACTCATGTCGTAATTGCTATCTTACAGTGGCAATATCAAGATTAGAGTCATGTTTTGTGAATGCTTTCTGGGTGGCAGATTCTCTAATGACACAGTTCAAATAATCTTCTTGATCATCACCAACAACATTGTTAATAACTGGTCACCGTTATCTCCATTGGAAGATAAATAGACTTCAAGATGTTATTCAATTTGTTTAAATGATTCACCAGTATGTGTGGGATTTGGATCTCTAATTATCTGATTTGGAAGTCTGGGTTCCATCACAAACTAACATTTCCATTTATCACTAGAGATTCAGCAATGATTTCTCTAATATACTTGAGGGATGATCTAATGATCTAATTTTGTTTGACTGGTAAGTTGTTTAAATGGTATGTGGTTTTACATGGCTTTTTTTGTAGTATTAGAATTCATTTGTGGCCTCAGAATCTTGGATGAGTTGATGTGAATGGTGCTTCATTCAAAGGATATTTTTCTTTTATGTATATTTTATGCCATTATATATTATATGTAATACTCAATAATTATGCATATTATTATAGATATTCAAAAATAAAGCTTTGATAAGCTACTTGACTATTAAAAAAGGATATGTAACACAATTACTATTATTAAGGTATTACAGATTAGAGATGAATTTTTAAAAACTTTTTTGAGATTAATTCTATTCATGCTAAAATATATTTCAGAATAATTTCTTGCAGATTTTTGTCTTATATTCCTATTATCACAGTTTGTAATAGTTCATATTATCACAGGCATTATACTGTAATCTTCAATCATGAATTAGTTTATAGTTTTATATAGTAGCAGATGATGTGATTGTTAGAGATTTTTAACACAGTAAAGTAACAGTTATTTCTATAATTTTATTTTTTATAGGAAATGCGGAGACTCTCAAACATGAGCCAAAAAAGAATAATATCGATACACATGCCAGATTGAGGGATTTTTGGATGCGTTACTACTCTGCTCACTATATGACTTTAGTGGTGCAGTCCAAAGGTAATATTATCTACTATGGCCTTAGAGTTATTCTGGTCTCCTTCCTCAGGATTTATTTGCCTTGATCAATATTGCATTGCACTGTTAATTACTCTGGTGCTTGATCCTTAGTTTACTGAAGGAAACCAGGATTAAAGGATCACTTAGCAAGTGGCAAAACTCAGGAAGTCCAAAATTGTGACTCTCCAGCCCTCTAATTTGGTTTATAGAAATAGATTTTCTCTAGGTTGGTCTATAAGTACTAATAGGTCACTAGTTGAAGTCACTTTCCCCGTGTTGCTTCTATTATCTCTAGTTCTGCATTTAATTGATCATAAGCCCTGATAGAACAAGTTGTCTTTCCACATCCCACCCGACCCCTGCTGTGCCAGGAACGGAACTCTGCCCTGCTTTATACACTCCAGGCACGTACTGTCACTGAGCTACTCCCAGCCCCAGGATGCCTGTCTTTTTTGTTCTCGTGGTTTTAGGCCACGCCTGGCTGTGCTTCGAGCTTACTCTTGGCTCTTTGCTTAGGGATCACTCCTGGGGGGTGCAGGGGACAGTGTGTGTTACAAGGAATCAAACCCAGATTGGCTGCATGCAATGCAAGTACCCTATCTCTCTGACCCGTGTATATATTTTTGTCTTTACAGAGGGCCCAGTAAATTATCATGATTAATTGATATCCATCGTGATGGTAGCTAAAGGATCTTTCATTTTTATTTTTTGTTTGGCAATCCTCCTAGCTCTTCCTTTCTCTTTGTTTTGTCATTACCTTCAGCAACTTGTGTTAACCTTTCTTCAAGAAATTTTGGCAGCTTTCTTGTTTTGTTTTTGAGCCACATCAAGCAGTGTTCAGGGCATACTTCGACTCTTTGCTCAGGAATTAGTCTTGGCGGTGCTCAGACAGGTGCTGGGATCAAACCAGAGCTGACTGAATGCAAGCAAAGCGCCTTAGCCTCTGTACTGTCGCTCTGACCCGTGGTTTATTTTTCATGTTTCAATCTTCTTAGATCTTTTCAAATCAATACCTTGCAAAACTTCTCTTTGACATAAATAGATGTATATACCCATTTCTTTTTGAAAAATGAATTCTCTCATCCTAATATTCTGCTTATAAAATCTTATTTTCTCGTTTTAAAAATTAATATCAAAAGGACTGGAGTGATAATATATTGGGTAGGATGCTTGTCTTGTATGTGACCAGTCAGGGTTCTATCCCTGACATCCCATATGGTTTCCCTGAAGACTGCCAGGAGTAATTTCTGAGTACAGAGCCTGGCGTAATCCCTAAGTATTGCTGGGTATAGCCCTGAAATATCAGAGCTGATGTTGCCCATAAATATTAAATTTCTTGGCATTTTGTATCAAAATCAATTCATTAAAGTTGACTTGAATGTGTGATAAATACGGTTAGATTCATTTGTTTAAATGACAAATATACTTCTAGATCTCTTTTAACATTTGTTAAAATGGGCAATTCCATATTCAGTATGCAATATTAATTTGCAATTTTTAATTTTTTTCAAGTGTCATGAACATGTAATATTTTGCTTAGGTATTGTTACTTTATCTTTTAAAATACTAATGTTTGTTGGGAGTTTCTAAAATAAGACTCAGGTAATTAGAGAATCTTATAATCAATTGGTTTATATTTAATCATTAAATGCCTACATAAACAGCATAGAATAAATTTATAACCTTATAGCACAGCGGTAGGGCATTTGCCTTGCACGCAGCCAACATGGCCGACCCGAGTTCGATTCCTCCGCCCCTCTTGGAGAGCCCGGCAAGCTACCGAGAGTATCACACAGTAACAACAAAGTCTCCAATGGAGACGTTGCTGGGCCCGCTCGAGCAAATCGACGAACAACGAACGGGAGGGCCTTTACTTTTTACTTATTAGCCTACTTCTTATATTTGCTATACTGAACTGTCTCTTTGGAGAATGAATGAAATTCATGTGTTTAGTGAAAATAAGCCTTCTCCAGTGATGGTAATTAGTCATTGATATAAAGCTGTTTTACTGGAAATTTCCAAAGGATTTTTCATGAAATGTAGAATCAAGGAAGTTATCTGTGCTTACTATGAAAGAAGTCCTGAGTTCCGTTCTTATTTCTGTTTTTGTTTTTGGGCCACGCTTGGCGATGATCAGGCTCTGATTCTACATGCAGGAATTTCTTCTGGCAGTGCTTGGGGCATGGTGTGGGATGTGAGGATTGAACCTGGGTCAGCTGCATGCAAGGCAAGTGCCTTGTCCTATGCTCTCTCTAGCCCCTGCGTTCAATTCTTGGCACTGAAAATCAAGAGATGGGAAAGGTGAGGAGTAGAAGAGAGAGGAGGAAAGAAGAGGAAAATAGGAAGAGAGAGGACTTAGAAATCAGATTATTTCTGGGGCTAGAGTGGATAGTACAGCTTATACGGTACTTGTCTTATATGTTGCCAACCTGGGTTGATTCTCTGACATCCCATAGGATTCCCTTAGCCTGGCATTAGTAACCCCTGAGCACAAAATGAGGAGTAAGCCCTGAGCATAGCTGGGTGTGGCCCCAAAATCAAAAAACCAAAAAACAAAACAAAGTGAAACAAAAAAACCCCAAACCAAAACAAAAAAAAAAGAAAAAAAGCAGTCAGATATTTATGAAGAAAATTTAAAAATTACAGTCTCAGCAAGTCTAAAGTAATGTGTAATAAATGGAGTTAAAATATTGGTGAAATAATAAGAAGGAGGGTTAGGGTCGGTATCATCTTGGGAATTATGAAAAATTTCCCCTGAGGAAGAAAGTGTTGACCCTTTTCACTAGCCTAATGATTTAAAAAAAAGAACAAACAAACTCTGAAGTACTTTTTTTAAATTACCAGAGAGAAATAGAGGAGTATAACAGAATTATATGTATGTTAGGATTTAAAGTTTTAATTTATGTTTTTAGTTGAAATAGATTCCATTTATTTTACATAGTACTTTAAAAAACATTTTTCCCCTGCACTCAGAGGTGCTTAGAGCTAAGTGCTCTGGGCCTGGTGCTTGTGGGCACCCCCAGCCAAGCCCAGGACACCAGATAATGCTGACTGTACGCCTGGCCTACTCCACGCAGAGCGTGTGCTCCAGTCATCAGAGCCATATCGCTCACCTGATCTTCTTTCTTTTTTCTTTCATCGTAGGCACTGTGGTTTGTTTACTGTAGGGTTTCATGCATAAAACATGCCCGCACCACACCCTCCACCAGCGTCAGCTACCTTCTGCCTTTGTCCCAGGGCCCCCTCCTGTTCGATCTCCCCCACCCCTGCTATGGCGAGCTTCCTGACGACTGTTTCTCAGTTCTTATTACCTTAAGGCTTTTATTATTTCTTAATTTTTTTGTACCCCTTATATGAGGGAGCCTTTCTCTGTATCTCTCTCTGTTTCTAACTTCACTCAGCACAATATTCTCCAGCTCCATCGACATAACAAGTTGCATGATTTCATCTTTTCTTACAGCCTCATAGTATTGCACTGTGTATTTTTGTTTGTTTGTTTGTATTTTGGGGCCACACCCAGTCGTTTTCGGGGCTTACTCTGCAGTCAGGGATTACTCCTGCTAGGCTCGGACCATATGGGGTGCCAGGGGTTAAACTGGGTAGGACAAGCCCCTTACCTGCTGTTCTGTCTCTCTAATCCTGATTTTCTTAACATTAGCATTAGTAAGGAGTTGCAAGTAATGCCCCAACTGAAATATACTCTTTTTAAAAAATAACTAAATATCAGTTAGAAATTTAATTGTATCTCCACCTTGAATGAATTCATTTCTTTTTTCCCCCCCTCCTCCACAGAAACACTGGATACATTAGAAAAGTGGGTGACCGAAATCTTCTCTCAGATACCAAACAAGTAAGTCCTTTATTTTCATAAATAATACACCTTTATAGAGTTTATATCCTCTTGTATGAGTCCCAAAGGTTCTTTTCAGTTTGCTTTTTAATAAGCATGTTATTAAGATTTAAGATGGTTTAGCATATGGCACACCTGTTGGGTGGACAATTAAGACAAGACCCTATTCCCATAGTTTTGGTAGTTCAAAATTTATAAGTTTATAACATACCTTAAGTAGTAATTCTGAAGAATTTGTGCCTTCTTAAGCATTTATTAAGTCCTTGTTTTTTTCCTATGTAGAGTGAAGTATAGAAAGAAGTATAAAAAGAAGCAAGTGTTATAGTGAGAGGCAGAAAATATAGTTGTATCCTCTGCCTCAGAAAAAATTGTGTTCTCAAATTTTTTTCTAACTCTGTTAAGAATTTGGTATGATTTTTTTCCCCCTCATAAAATAAATAAGCTGGTTGACTTTACATACTGACTAAAATCGACAGCTGAGATTTTATCTATATAAAATCTTTAGTTGAGCTAGATGACAAATTTTATTTAGGGTTCTATGCGAAAAGCCACTATTTTTCTTTTCTTTTTGGGTCACACCCAGCGATGCTCAGGGGTTACTCCTGGTTCATGCACTCAGGAATTACTCCTGGTGGTGCTTGGGGGACCATATGGGATGCTGGGAATCGAACCTGGGTTGGCCATGTTGGCTGCGTGCAAGGCAAACGCCCTACCCGCTGTGCTATTGCTCCAGCCCCACCACTATCTTTAATAACCTTAAATTAATCAAAATAGTACATATATTTAAAAGACAGTTCATTGTTTTGTTTTTCTAGTAATCCAAAAATTAAAAATAAGCATTGAACTCTTTCTACTCCTAGAAATTGTTTTTGCATTTTAGTAAAATAAATGAAATCATACACTTTTTATCTTTACGTCAGGCAAGTAAGCGTGTGTCTTTTTATAGTTCTTCATTACAGGTGTGAATTTGTTATAAAAAAGAAAAATTAGCTTAACAATTTTAGAATAATTTATAGCAATGAAAAATTGGTTATTATATTCGCTCTATAAATTTCCATTGATAATTAACACTATCTTTCATACATGGAAAGATAATGAAAGCCATGCCCATGTTGTGGGGTGGTTTTCTTTTTTTGGTCTGTTTTGATAAATGAATCTGAACTATGAAAATTTCAAATGTCAGATTTTAAAGTTTCACTTTGAAACTATTAAGAACATTGTTAAATCTTATTTCTCACTAATAACTTTTGTTCCTTAATATTATCAAATAAGTTAAAAGTATTCTACATAATACTAATTCACAAGTACCACGTTTTAGAAACAATATTAATTATAGTATTTTCAACCAAATGGGAAGCCCCTGGAAGAGTTTCAGTCTTTTAGTGTAGTGCTTTTTGTACTTGAGAATTCTTTTATATATGTTACTCTAGTATAAGTTTCCTTTTCATTATGGCTTTAGGAGGATAACTGAAGTGAAGAGGAACTGATAGAGTAAATATTGGGAAGAAATATCTTTTAAATTGTTTATATAGTCTCTAGTTGTTTTAAAGGTTTTTGAGTGGTTGGGACTGAGTAAGAATAGGTCACGTATTTCAGAATTCTGTGGCTTTGTGGCCATCCATTAGTTTATGCTTAAGATGCTTTTCAGCCAGAGTTTGTAGTATAAATTATAAATACCTATCAGCTAGGCATCCCTAAAGAAACTGCTTATAAAGGCTTTTGGCAATTAAATTTTAATGTATTTGTTTTATTTTCAGTGGGTTACCAAAACCAAACTTTGGCCATTTAACGGATCCATTTGACACACCAGCATTTAACAAACTTTATAGAGGTTCGTGAACCAAAGGTTTAAAACTGTTTGAAATAACTTACTCACATTCTCTAAAACTTGAGGCTGCCAATTTTCTTTGAAAATGAGAACACAATAGAAAGGACAGCTGGGCTGGAAAAGGAGTGGATGACCTAGAGACCCAGTTAGTGACAGCACGCCAGACCAGCTGCAGGTTGGTTTGGTACCTGCTGCTCTGAGTCCCTTCTGTGCTTCTGCCCTTGACTTCCTCTTGCTCCTTTTTCGTTCTTAGTTTTCTGTTTCTTTCCTGTTTTGTTTTTTTCTATAATCTGATTTTTTTGTTTATTGCCTTTATAAAGAAACATGAAGGAAAAAATGGGAAGGAATTTACTTTTCTCTTTCATACAAAATGTTTTTATTAAAAAATTGAAAGTGTAAAAAAAATACCATCCTTATATTTTAGATCTAGAGGAGTGATTTTGGCAGATTTCTTTTTGTATTTCTGTAATTTTTTGGTAAATATTTTCTATTAGTTTTTTAGGTATCAGTGTTACTGCACCTTTCCTAGCCAACAGAATGCCAGTATCCCTCTCCCCTGTCCCTAAGTCCCTTCTGTTCTCTACCACCCCTTCAGTACACTCAGTTCTGTTGGCAGAATCTCAGAATTTATTTTCATTAGTCATTGTCTGTTCCCATGTTTTGTTTTTTTATCCTCCAAAATGAATGAGTTCATCTGGTACTTGTCCTTCTCTTGATTCACTTTTCTTAACATGACACCCTCTAGTTCTAATCTAGTTCCAGGGGAATTTAAGAGTTCATCTTTTCTTATAGTACATTGTGTTTATACCACAGCTGCGTTATCCACTCATCTCTTGATGGGCACTTGTGTTGTTTCCAGATCTTTCCTATTATAAACAGCACTAGGCCTCCCTTCCTCCCTTCCACCTCAAATCTAAGACCTTGTCAGGTATAGTTTCTTGTTAAATGTATAAAGTATATTATTCTTTTTATTTGTGTACATAAAATTACTGCTCAATGAGCCAGTATATGAATATTATATAATAAACAACTTGTCCACAAGCGACTATTGCAGAAACATTGTTTTGGAGGATGGGGAACTTTTCAAGCAGTGATCAGGGCATTCGGGCCCTTACCCACAATTCTTGGCCAACTGCACTGGCAGTTCATTGTGGTGCTGGTTAGGCCTTGCAGTGCCAGCACACCCCAGCAATGCTCAGGGGACCAGATGATGCTGGGGATTAAATCAGGATAAGGCCTGAGCCTTACCCTGTTATCTCTGTGGCCCCTGAAGAAATACTTTTTATTCATGATTTCTCTTTCTTTGCTCTTTTCACCATGACAGTTTTTTTCTTTTCTAATTGCGTAGGTTTCTATACCACTTCCTCCATTGCAACTCTTCTTCTCTCTTTTCCTCTTTTGCTGGCTCTATTCTATGTGAGCAGACTTCCCAGAGAGAACTTATTTTCACTTGTATTCTTTGTAGCTTTTGCTTTCCTATTCATAGCATTATTAAATAATAGCACTGGGAATAATCTTAGAGATAGCTATTTCAGCCTAACCACTCACCATTCTATAAAAATAAAATTTCAGGAAGATTTAAATGTGGGTGGTTTTCTCAAAGTTGTATTAATGCATGATAGTGGTAGGATTGAATTTGCACTGTGATGTCCTTGATTCCTACTCATGAATCATTTCCTTGGAAGAGGGCTTAATCTTCAGCAGCATTTCATATTCTTATAGTTCTTTCATCTAGGATTTATCTACCTACAAAGCCAAATTGAAAAAAAAATTGTATATACTGCATTATTCGAATTGGAAAATTGGCAACTTGAAATAATAATTGCATTATATTTAACCTCCTGATTGTTGAAGGATAAAATAAGTTGAATTGCAGTTTTTGTGTGTATGTAGCAGTAAAAGTTAAGTAAAAGTCATGGAGAAACACTTATATTTACTCTTGTGAAAAATGTTTTTTGTTTAGTTGTTCCAATCAGAAAGATTCATGCTCTGACGATCACCTGGGCCCTTCCTCCTCAACAGCAGCATTACAGGTAAGAAATTACTTGGGAACAGATTTACTCCATTCAGTACTGAAAGGCATTTTTTCCCCCCTTCAGCACCAGGGGAGAGTGCAAATGCAGTCCCCAGTAACCACAAATTATGCAGTTGAGTTTCCAGTGTTTGGGAAATCTCAGGGGTCAGCACACCTGGAGTGCAGTGGATAAGTCTTGTCCTGGGAAAGTCAGTGTTATGATCATGGTATCTTTCCCACGAAAAGCATATTTTAAAGATTATTAAATAGTTTAAGTTTGGGGAAGGTCCAGGATTTATAAAAATGTGACGTGGGTGGTCAACTGGGACTGACTACTGCTGGATCTTCCAAACTTGTTCATATCTTGATATCTTCTTGTGTATGAAAACTTGATTCTTTCCCTCCCTCCTTTCCCTTTTCCCCTTTTGCCTCTCCTTTTTTCTCTCTCCTCTTCCCCTTTTCATTCCCTTTCTCTTTCTTTGCCCATATCTATCCCTCCATCCCTTCCTTTTTGCCAAGGATCAAACCAAAGACTTCATACATGCCAGGCTTATTAATCACCTATGTCTGACCCTAAAAGCAAGTTTTCTTTCTTTCTCAGTTTTTCACTTTTTGGTTTCAAAGCCATACCTAGTGGTAGTCAAGGAACCATGTGGTGTTGGGGATTTGACACAGGCTTCCTGTATGAAAAACATGTACACAAATCCTTGCAACCATCTAGTTTTCTTTCCTTTTTTTTTGTGTGTGTATTTTGGACCACTTCTGGCAGGACTCAGGGGACCATATTAATGTCAGAGACCAAACATCGCCAGTCAGCTGCTTTTTGTTTGTGTTTTTTGCTTTTTGAGTCACACCCAGTGATACTCAGGGGGGCCATATGTGTTGCTGGGATTGAACCTGGGTCGACCACATGGAAGGCAAGTGGCCCACTGTACTATCACTCCAGGCCTCGAAGTATGACTTTGACCCTTAAAGTAACTCATTTAACTTACCATGAAACTGATGTAATATAAAAAGGTTTTACGGAAATAGAGGGATTTATACCTGCGTTAGGCTCTAAGATGAAAAAATATATTTTACTTTTGGTAAGGCAAAAAAGTTTTATCATCAAAAGAAATGTGTGTTGTCTAAGAGAAAAAGTAGTAGTCTTACATATAATATTAAACTTTAGGATTACTATAATCCAGTGATTTCAGATGAAAAATGAAATTTTTTATGTTTTCTATATTTGTTATAAAATTTACTTATTTTCATTTTTATTAAACTCTGATATTGTTTATATTTACATTCAAAATATATTTTAAAAGATTTTTTGATGTAATTATAGCTTTTTAAAAGATATAATTTTTGATGTAATTATATCTTTTTAAAAGATATAATTTTTGATCTTATATCTTTTTACAGGGTGAAGCCACTTCATTATATCTCCTGGCTGGTCGGACATGAAGGCAAAGGCAGCATTCTTTCTTACCTTAGAAAAAAGCAAGTATTCAGTCAATTAATATTCTCATTGTCTCAGTCTCCGAAAGAAAATAGATCATGCATCTTATTATAGAATGCTTATTTATCTTTTAATGCATATTTACTTTTTATCTGTAAAATAAAAACTTCTCCACAGGAAACTTAGCACTAAATCTTTATAGACACTTTGATTGACTCAGATAGCTTTATTTATTTATTTTTAAAATTTTTTTCTTTTTGGGTCACACCAGCTATGCTCGGGGATTACTCCTGGCTCTCTACTACAGAAATTACTCCTGTTGGTGCTTGGGGGACCATATGGGATGCTGGGGATTGAACTTGGGTTGGCTGCGTGCAAGGCAAATGCCCTACCTGCTGTACTATCGCTCCAGCCCCAACTCAGATAGCTTTATGCCACTTTTTAAAGCCTGTGTTGGAAATATTGATACATAACATTGTAAAATACAAACATTATTGTTAAAAGTTACAAATGAATGTATAGGTTCCAGAATTATATAAAGGGTTCACAAAATTTGAATTGAGATTGCAATTGGAAATCAAATAGTAAGAGTTGTTGCCTCTCTACACCTTTCCAACCTTTCCGAAAGGTGGACTTAATCACAAAAGTTTCACTGGGCAGATAAGACATAAATATGGGGGCTGGAGTGATAGTATACAGCGGGTAGGGTGTTTGCCTTCCAGCGGCTGACCCAGGTTTGATCCCTGGCATCCCAAATTGTCCCGAGTATCCCAAATTGTCCTGAGTACCGCCTGGAGTAATTCCCAAGTGCAGAGCCAGGAGTAACACCTGAACATTGTTGGTGTGCCTTTCACCCCCCCACCCCAACCCTAACCCCAGAAAAGGGCATAAATATATGACTGAGAACGGTAATGTAGCCATGTTAGCAGAATGCTTTCGAATGCATTTAAGCACTTACTGGAATTATCTAAGCAAATTACAGACATGTAACTTTAGAATATAAACCGTTGTATTTTGGTAATTCCATTTTCTACATACTGATTTAGTAATGGGAAGGTAGATGTTAAATTGATGTAGCTTGTTTAAAAACATTGATATGTACCTGGAGCATTCAAAGAAATCTGAGAGGTTAGGGTAGTTATAAAACAAAAAAAACTGATGATATCAGGTACATATATAAGCTCTACACAAATGTGATATACTTTACCATTATGTAATCTTTCTCCCTTTATTTTATTAGAATTCAAAATTTTATGTATTCTGGCTTCCTTCCTCCTTATTCTAGTTTTTTTAATAGTTCTTAAAAAAAAAGGCCAAAACTTTATTGGCTAGAAATATATACTTTTAAAGTGCTCCACAAAAGATGTTATTCTTTTATTTCCCCATCTTCCTCTTTAACACCAGTGATATAAAGGACATTGTTCTACCTCTTGAAACTTCACACAGGTGTCCAGAGAGTATTGAATCCATATATTCTTTTGTATTTGCATGCTGCATACTCATTTAGCTCTCTGTAGATGCCATGTACTCCCTGTACTCCATCCTCCACTCAAGCTTTACCAGTGCTCGCTTTCTTGTAATCCTGAGGAAAGACCTGGGAGTGAGAGACAAAATCTTTGGGCTCCAGGCAAATGCAGTGTCCAGTGCCTTTAGGCTCTCAGGATTAGCCCAGTGTGGAGTCCAGTGTCCTGCTTCTTTCCTCCATGCACCTGCTGAGTAGCTGGGCAGCTCAGGGTGTGCAGGTGGCATTCCAGGTGGGGACATGTTGGAAGAGTTTTAAGGCTCCTCTGGGCAGACAGGTTGAAAAAGGGATGGGTGAAATGCTTTCTAGAAATCAATTTTAGTATTTGGTGCTTTTTTTAGTAATAGAAATAATGCTTTGTAAGACCTTTTATGTTATTAATATTTTCATGAAACACATGAATACAGTTATTATTTCCTTCTGGATACTCTATAGAAAGTTGTACCAAAATTTGTATTTTTTTTAGAATTTTTATATAGGCAATGATATAGCTCAGTGACTGAGCACTTGTTTTGCATGTTGAGGTCAAATTGATGTCTTAATAAATGAATAGAATTGCTTTTGGAACATGCTTTTGCATTCTAATCTGTGCTTCCCAAATTTTATGTAAAAATCCTACCCAAATTTTACGTAAGAAGTCTACCAAAATTTTATATAAAAAGCCTACCTTGTTTAGTTCATTTAAAATATTTTGGTTATTATTATTATTATTATTTTGCTTTTTGGATCACACCCAGCGATGCTCAGGGGTTACTCCTGGCTCTGCACTCAGGAATTACTCCTGGCGGTGCTTGGGGGACCAGATGGGTACCATATGGGATGCTGGGGATCGAACCCAGGTCAGCCGCGAGCAAGGCAAACACCCTACCCGCTGTACTATCACTCTGCCCCCTAAAATATTTTGTAAACTTTATCAACCCCAGGATATTAATTGGATAATTTTCCCCCCCTAACTGTAGGTGCTGGGCTCTTGCATTATTTGGTGGAAATGGTGAGACAGGATTTGAACAGAATTCTACCTACTCAGTATTCAGCATTTCTATTACATTGACTGATGAGGGTTATGAACACTTCTATGAGGTAAATGATTAAGATGGAGGGTATTTTTCTTAGGTGGAGATCACATCATACAAAAGTATAATCAAATGTTTCCTTTGTAGGTCGCTCATACTGTCTTCCAGTATTTAAAAATGCTGCAGAAGCTTGGCCCAGAAAAAAGGTAACATGTACTTACTGTATTAGGCCAGGAGCCACTTTGTGTTTTATTCTTTGGACTCTGTGCTGTAGTCCTGCTTGGAGAGTTTCCAGGCACTTCCTGCTTAGTTCCCTATGTTGGCTCCCTAGTCATGCATGCTAAGGGTTTATGCTCAGTCCATTTATTTTTATGCTGCTCTTTTCTGGCTAGTGATTCTAAGGAAATTTTAACCCCTTTATCTAAGTATTATTTTCTTCTTCTCATAGAATTTTTGAAGAGATTCAGAAAATTGAGGATAACGAATTTCATTACCAAGAACAGGTATTGAAAATCAAAAAAAATTTTTTTCTTCTCATTTTTGGGTCAAACCCGATGGTGCTCAGAGCTACTCCTGACTCTCCACTCAGGAATTACTCCTGGGCTTTGGGGACCTTCTGGGGCAGTGGAGATCGAATCCTGTTGGCCACATGCAAGACAAATGTCCTACCCGTTGTTACTGTTGCTCTGGCCCCAAATTGTTTTTGAATATTTTTTGTGACCATGCTGAAACTGGTGTGGATATAGCGCCTCTTGGAAGCGTCACTGAGGTTTTGTTCTGCTCCTCTCTGTCATGCAACCACAGTGTACTTGAGCCTATCAGAAAACTAACACTAGAGGGTTTTGTTTTTTTTATGGTTTTGTATTTATCTTGAGTTACAGAGGATTAGGCAGGTCTAACACAGATCCTGGTGGGTACCCTTTACCTATGCAATTATTTTTCTGTTTGTGCCTTTGACATTGGGGAACTTGTTATGGTACTTGATATTTTGAATATTTGATATTCTACAAGGTAATCTGTTAAATCACCATATATAGTGTTAGAAAAATAATGTGCTTTGGGACTTCAGGGAAAGGAGAGAATTTATCATGTTTTGAATAGGACTTGGGAAGAATTCACATGTAGGTACGTTTTATTTTTTTGGTCTGGGGCCACACCCATCAATGCTCAGAGTTGCTCCTGATTTGAACTCAGGAATCATTCCTGGCAGGGCTCTGGGGGCCATATGTGGTGCCAGGGATCAAACCCATATTAGTCGTGTGGAAGGTAAACGTCCTGCCTGCAGTCCTATGCTCCTGAATTTTGCCTCTTCACAGACAGATCCAGTGGAGTATGTGGAGAACATGTGTGAAAACATGCAGCTGTACCCACTGCAGGACTTTCTCACTGGAGATCAGCTGCTGTTTGAATACAAGCCAGAAGTAAGATGGTTTCTGTCTCTAGAGCTGCTAGAGGAAGAGGAGGGGTAGAAGATGCAGATAAGTGATTAAGAATCCTGGCAACAAAGAAAACTTATTGTCAGTCAGTTTTTTTTTCAAGTGTTGAAATATTTACAAAGTTAAAGGATTATGGAGTAATTTATTTCAGATACTGAGCATACTTAGTAGTTTGGTTTACCTTTGAATTTCATTGCACGCTGGACAGTTAAATTTAATCATTTGAAATGTTTAAGAAAAATGCAAGATTCCTGAATTGGACGCATCTGACTTAGAGGTATTATATCCATGTCAGGGTCTTTCCTCTGTTACCTGTAGGAGATAAGTCATCTTGCTATCTCTAGGGTAGCATTTCTCAGATAAAAGAGTTTATCTTTTGAAGATATTTGTCAATGTCTGGAGATGATTTGGTTGTCACAGTTACATTAAGCTCCAGGCCTCTGGCTCTGGGCAGAAGGCAGATACGCTACTAAATATTCCGTGATGCAAAGGATGGCAGCCCACAACACAGGAGGTCCATCCTACGTGTTACAATACCAGGGGTGAGAACCTTTGCTACAGGGTATTTCAGAAGACTGATTTTAAAAAAGACAAGGAAAGACAAAGAACAAAAGAGCAATCACACATTCTTGCCACCAATGTGTTTGGGTGTACAAGTGTTTACTGAAGAAGTTAATATTTAAACAGCAGTTAGATAATGATTGATTAATAACAAGAGTGTAGTCTTCGCAATCATACATGAATTTGGTTAGAGCCTCACTTGGTCCCTTTTTTTGGGGGGGTGAAGGGAACAAGACCTAGTGGTGCGCAGAGTTTATTCCTGGCTCTGTGCTTGGAGACCACTGCTGGTGGGGCTCTGAGGACTCTATGGGGTACTGGGGATGGAACCTAGGTTGGCCGCATGCAAGGCAAGCATGCTACCTGCTATACTATCTCTCCAACTCCACAGATTTTTAGAGTTTTGCCTTGTTTTGCTTTGGGACCATACCTGGTAATGTTCAGGACTTTCTCCTGGCTCTGTGCTCAGGGGTCATTCCTAGCAGTGCTTGGGAAACCATATGGGGCACCAGGGTTGACTGGCTGCGTGCAAGGCAAGTAGCTCACCCTTTATACTATCTCTTTGACTCCAAGATTTCTTCATATTAAACCTGAGTAAAGAAGTTCTAGCCTTGGAGAAAGAGTGGGTGTGGTGGAGATGCCCCGCCCCCCCCAATACATTTTAGGATTGGTTTTAGTAGGTTTTCCTCCCCCCCCCCCCCCGCCCCCGCACCCCTCCACAAGGGAGTACACCCAGTGGTGCTCAGGGCTCACTCACGGCTCTGTGCTTAGAGATCAGTAGTGATGGTGTTTAGGGGACTAAAGGCATTGCTAGGGATTGAATCCTGGTTGACTGCAAGCAGGACACGCACACACCCTACCTGCTGTAGCGTCTCTCCACTTTAGGATTATTTTTAGGATCGAATGAAATAACTAAAGACCTCACACATAGAAAAAGCTTAGTTAATAAATGATAGCTGTTTCCACTGAGGGTAACATTGTATGAAGGATTTAAAATGAGCACTGTTAATGCCAGAATGAAAATATGTCTAAGACAACTGTTAGACTAAGGAAGCTGTATTGATTAAAGTGTTGATGGGCTAGAGATGAGTTTATAAACACCAGGATGCTCTTGGGGGATGGAGACTTCTAGGCCAGTGTGGACCAGCTTTTTTTTTTTTTGTAACAGAGATGCGTCTTGTAAAAGTTGTGTGTGTTTCTCCCCCTCCACCCTCTTAGGTTATTGCTGAAGCCCTTAATCAGCTAGTTCCTCAAAAAGCAAATCTTGTTTTACTCTCTGGTGCTAATGAGGGAAAATGTGACCTCAAGGAGAAATGGTTTGGGACTCAGTACAGTATGGAAGGTAAACAATACCGGCAGTTGTCCTACATTCAGTTATATCTGAATCACATAGGGAATAATTTGATGGTTCTTTTGGGGGGCAGTGTATGTACTTTTGAAGCTTACGTTAAAACAAAATTATTTGTATTACTGTGCAGGAGATTATTTTCTGCTATGTTCATAGTTATATTAACCAATGAAAAATTACTGTGCTCTTGGTAGTGTGGGATAAAGTTTTGACAATATTTTATAAAAATTTTCTTAATCACCATTGTGCTTATGTATAAGCACTAGAGATTTTATTAAAGCAGAAGTGTGAAAACAAAAACAACAACAACAAAAAAAAAGAGTGGGATTCTGTAGGTTTGGGATAGGTCCTGAGATTCTGCATCTCCAGTAATCTCCCAAGCAATTCAGTGCTGCCAAGACCACACTTGGCAAGTGTGTAGAATGATTGCATATCCCACTCAGTCTTCCTAAGAAAAGAGGATGAATTTGTGAAGCTAGTCATTGATTAGTGTTTTAGTACGAGAATGATGAATATTGCATTATTGGACTAGTTTGCTTTTCATCTCTACAGATGTGGAAAACTCTTGGACTGAACTGTGGAAGAGTGATTTTGAATTAAATCCAGATCTTCATCTTCCAGCTGAAAATAAGTACATAGGTCAGTGAACGCTATATACATAATTCAGCAGTTGGTGAATGGAGAACTAGAACTTAAACACAGATCTTAGGACTCTATGATGCTTTCGCACATTCTTTTTTGGGGGGAACATACTGGTGATGCTCAGTTTGGCTCTGCACTTATGAATTATTCCTGGCAGTCCCTGGGGGCCTGATTGGATGCCAAGGATTGAGCCCAGGCGGGCCAGGTGCAAACACTTTACCTGTTGCAAACACTCTACCTGCTGCAAACACTTTATCTTTCTGGCCCTAAAAATGTTTTTTTAAAAAGTGTACAGCAGTTAAGGCACTTGCCTTGCATGTGGCCAATCTGGACATGATCCCTAGTACCTCATATAAGTCCCCCAAGTCTCACCAGGAATGATCCTGAGCAAAGAGCCTGTAGTAAGCCTGGAGGCACCATCAGGTGTGGTCCTGTCCAAAAGACATCCCAAAAACTAAAAAAAGAATTCATTTAGTTTAAGGCTGAGGTAATTTATTTTTGTGCTATCCCTGGGATGCTCAGGGGCTACTCCTTATTCAGTGCTTGCAGAGTGGAGGGGCGGGGTGTCATTCCCACCAGTGCTCTGGGCACGAGGGTATGACATGGAACCAGCCTGTTGAACTTCCTCTAGCCACAAATCCAAGGGAATCCCACCTGCCTCCTAATATGCTATTAATTTATTACAATCTAGCATTTGAAGTAGACTTAATTTCCCACAAAGTTAGACTTCTGAAACCAAGAACAGATTGCTGGGAATCCTGTTGCAATGCCTGATTGAATATTCTTTTCTCTTATAGCTACGGACTTCATGTTGAAGGCCTTTGATTGCCCTGAGACAGAATATCCTGTTAAAATTGTAAATACCCCTCAAGGTTGCCTGTGGTATAAGAAAGACAACAAATTCAAAATTCCCAAAGGTAAAATGTTTCTTTCTCTCACAGGAGTGAAATAAGCACAATACACCTTTCCCTACTCTGTTGCAACATTTCCCCTGTATTCCCCCTTTCAACCCTGTATTTCTCCCCTTCTTCCTTTGCTGTCCATTTGAGACTTTTCTGTCAGATCTAATTTCGCCTGTGCCATTACCGACATCTCTGGAAATACTGCAGATTCAGGAAAAGAAATCAGTATTCAAGCCTAACATGAAATTATTTTCAGATCGTTTCTTTCAGCTAAGTGAAAGCAGAGCCAGGGTTTTAGCCATCTGAGGGAAAAGATGGTACTTGGAATATTATTTTTCAAAAGAGAGAGAGAGGTTCAGAGTGTACTGAAGGAAATTATTCTTAGGGACAACATTGTAGCCCAGCATTACAATTGAGAAATATTTCACATTTTACTTCTTTCAGAAATATTTCACTTCTGTCTCCCTTGACAGTTTTACTTTTCAGCACAAAGGAAGAGAGTTACATAAAAACTCAAAAAGATTTTTGTCTTCGCTGTGGTAGTTCAGAATGTATTGCTTTTTAATTTTTTCTTCATGTGCAAAGCATAGGAACTTCTTGAAGCAATTTGGAATCAAAGGGCGAATGATCTTGGTTGCCATTGAACCAACATTTCTAAGACAGTTTGTACTGTAGCTCTCTGAAAGATTCCAGAGGTTGTTGGAAAGGTATTTCCTCACTTTTACTTGAAAAATTTCTAAACATGTTCTTAACATTCATTGAGCAATGGCAAGCATTACAGTAAAGAATCTCAAGGATAAAAACATAATGAAGATTCAAAGAAGATTAATAGTTTATTTCAGAGTTTTTAAACCATGATAGGGAAAATCGAATATAAATAAAATATTTGAGGTGGTGGACTGTGTTTTCTCATCAGGGGTCGTTTTTATTTATTTTAGCATATATACGTTTCCATCTGATCTCACCTTTGATACAGAAGTCTGCAGCAAAGTAAGCACTTATTTTCTTTCTAGAAAATATTTCTTATGATACTGAAAAACTTTTGTGCATTTTATTCTGAATCATTTTATTATTTTCTCTTTGTGTACTGTGTGTTTGTGCTGTGTGCTGGAGCAATAGCACAGCGGTAGGGCGTTCACCTTACAAGCGGCCAACATGGCCGACCCGAGTTTGATTCCTCTGCGCCTCTCGGAGAGCCCGGCAAGCTACCGAGAGTATCTTGCCTGCACGGCAGAGCCTGGCAAGCTCCCCGTGACGTATTCGATATGCCAGACACAGTAACAACAAAGTCTCCAATGGAGACGTTACTGGGCCCGCTCGAGCAAATTAACGATCAACGGGAGGGCCTTTTTTTGTGTACTTGAGCCATGTTGCTGAGTTATGTATTTTTTAAATGTATTTTATGTATTTTTCCATGCCCCAAACATTATTTGTATTGATAGAAAACATTAAAATAGAGTTGTGGCTGCTCTCTCTCCAGTCCCCATGTATATGAATCATGCCGGTAGTGTAGATTCTGTAGAATTATTGGATTGAGTAAAGTTCCTCAGATATGAGTTTGGGTTAGCATTTGGTGTATAATAAGAACTAATGGATTTTTTGATCCCATGTCTAGAGACTGCCGAGGAATCTCATTATACTTGGTTCTTTCCAGTGTAGATAGTTGCATTGTGGGAAATCAGAGAGCCTGAAATGTGTCTAAACCATGGAAGAGTTCAGGAATTGTTATACTTCTTTCTTTGACACTTAAAATGTAAAATTACAGCCTTAAAATGTCAAGCAGCACCATCATTCATTAATATTCCATTTACAAAGCACTTGACCCGTCCCATTCCTCAGCATTAACGGTCCAGTCAGCAGCCTAGTCTTGCAGGGATAACCAGAGCCATTAGACCTGGTGCCTTCTGCTCTTTCCATCATGAAGCACACATTTTCTCATTTCCTCTGTGTGCCTGACATGGAAAGCACTGGCAAGCACAGTGGAGGTGAAGTTCTGAGCAGCCCGGTGAAATGGTTCTGGGTGAGCTGCATTTACACCTGCATTACACCTGGGCTCAGTTAGTAGACACTTTACATTGTGGGGAAGTAGTTACCGTCCTAAAAGTGAGTTTCTCTGAGTCAGATTTATTCATGATGTTACTTGCATTTTGTACTCTCAGTGTGGTCCTCTTCGATATCTTTGTCAACATCCTTACTCATAACCTTGCGGAGCCAGCATATGAAGCAGATGTGGCACAACTGGAGTATAAGCTCGTAGCTGGAGAACATGGCTTAATTATTCGAGTGAAAGGATTCAATCACAAACTACCTGTAAGTTCAAGTGCTGTTTTTCTTCTTGCCTTTTTATATTACCTCAGGGCCAGAAAATCAGGTCAGGTGGTGAGAGCACAGGCCTGGCTCGGGAGAGACTCTAGTTCTGTCCCTGGCACGGCAGTGCCAGCCACCCGTGCTGTGTGGTGTGTCCCAGGCAGGCCCCACAGTGTTAAATAGGAAGTTAATGTTTTTTTTTTGCCGTTACCGCACCAAGCAGATAGACTTTTACATGGCATGCTCTGCATAGAAAGGAATATTTATTTCTTAATACAGCGGTATACAGCTTACTACATACATACGTGTATGTGTGTGTGTGTGTGTGTGTTCGTGCATGTGTAAAATTTAAAACTAGCTACAGTTCTGAGATATGGATGCAAACATTTTAAACATTTAATTTACTGAAAATTAAGTTTAACAGTGAAACCAAAAAGAGTAACCATAGCCAAATAATAGCATGGAAATGGCCAGTATTAGGAAGTTGATGAATACAGATGTTATAACAGAGGCCAAAAGAAAGCTATTGTGTGAATGTAGTAAAATATGTTCCAAAAGCCATTTGATAAATTTTGAGTTGATATTCCATGCTAGGGCTGGAGTGATAGATAGCACAGTGGGTGGGGCGTTTGCCTTGCAAGTGGCCAATATGACCGACCCGAGTTCGATTCCTCCACCCCTCTCGGAGAGCCCGGCAAGCTACCGAGAGTATCTTGCCCACACAGCAAAGCCTGGCAAGCTACCCTTGGCGTATTCAATATGCCAGACACAGTAACAATTGTCACAATGGAGACGTTACTGGGCCTGCTCGAGCAAATCGATGAACAACGGGAGGACAGTGACAGTGACAGTGATTCCATGTTAGAAGTAATGGAGGCAAGGAGGGACACACACACACACACACACACACACACACACACACACACACACACCTCTTTTTCTTTAAGAATTTACAGCACGGGCTGGAGCAGTAGCATAGCACAGTGGGTAGGGCATTTGCCTTGCTTGTGGCTGACCCAGATTTGATTCCCAGCATACCATATGGTCCCCTGAGCACTGCCAGGAGGATTCCTGAGTGCTGAGCCAGGAGTCAGCCATGAGTATTGTCGGGTATGATCCAAAAAGCAAAAAAAAAAAAAGTTACAGCACATATATTACTGACAAACCACTGAATTTTAAAATAGGAATAATCTGTGGATACCCACTATTACTGGCTGTATTAAGAACTATTTTAGAGGTTCTGGCTAGTATTTTAAAATGAAAAATGTACATTAAAATGAAATAAAAGTATGGGGGAAAAGTGTTTCTTTACAACTTCTATGATTATATTCATAGAAAACCTAAGATACTACCAAAATTTAAAAGAAAATGGGGCCGAAAATGTGGCTCCAGTGTAGAGCCGGGCCTTGCACCAGCGTGAGTGTCAGCAGTGCAGGCTCCACCCCCAGCACGCCAGGCTCTGGGGCTCTGACTGCCACTGGGCTATAGACCCTGATTAAAAGAAACTTGTGTGATGTGACTGGTTTTAAGATCAGTATATCAGAATGCACAGCTTTTCCCCCCTACAGTAGCAATAACTACTTAGAAATGCTGATAGAAGCAGTGTTTAATTATAATGCTGACTCAGTTAAATATCAAGGAGTAAGTAAGGAAAGTATAGGATCCATCTAAAGAACACCATCATCTTAGTCAAACATGCGAAGACTTTGGATAATGTTTAAATCACGTGTCTGGATGACAGTGTGAGAGCTGACAGTTGTCATTATTATCAAAATTGTATATGTGAATGTAGTTGTCTCAACCTATTCAGGTCACTTTTAGGGGGCTGGAGTGATGATACAGGGGTTGAGGCACTTGCCTTCCAGTCCACCAACTATAGTTTGAATCTCCAGTGCTGTATGTGGTCTGCTGAGCACTGTCAGAAGTGATCCCTGAGCACTGCTGGTGTGGGCCAAAAAGGCAAAACAAAAAATTGAAGAATGTTTAAAAATGCTCATAAAAAGATAGAGAACTATAATGTGGTGGGTAAGGTGCTTGCCGTGCACGTTCTGATCTGGATTCGATTTTGGCATCAGAAACATTACTTCGAGCATTGCCAAGAATAAGTCCTGAGCACAGCTGTGTGTGGCCCTAAGACCAAAAATAAAAAAAGAAAATTACAAGGAAAAAAAGTAAGGTAGTAGTTACTCCAAATTTGACAGTGGTTGAGCACTAGTGCCACGAGGATTGAGTCATCAGTACTTTTCATCTATTGCTGAAGTACCTGTTACCATCATGCTGTCAGGCCCATGGTAAAAAGCAGGGGAACACCAACACACCCTGCCCCAAACAGACGTTTCAGAAACTCATTGCTTGATGCTATCTCCACTCACAGTGCTGCTTCTCTGTTTAGCTCTTGTTCCAGCTTATTATTGACTACTTAGCGGAATTCAACTCCACCCCCGCCGTCTTCACCATGATAACGGAGCAGCTGAAGAAGACCTACTTTAACATTCTCATCAAGCCTGAGACTCTGGCCAAGTAGGTGCCCCGGGCCCTACTCATCTGAGACCTGCAAGTATAGGCTTCCTGGAGGGGGGTTAGGTGTGGTGAGTTTGAGGTCTAGTTTTCAGACATGTTAGAATTTTGCAAAGTGAATACCTGTTCATTGGGTTATAGGAATTCTAAACCCAAGTAAAAATCAGTGAAAATTTTTATTAGGAGAAGCTGGAGTGATAGCACGGCAGAGGAGACACTCGCCTTGCTTGTGGCCAATGCGGGTTTGAGCTCTAGCATCCCATTATGGTCCCCCAAGCCCTGTTTGGAGTAATTGGAGTGCAAAGTCATGAGTCGCCTCTCCCAGGGGCCCTGTGAAATGGTGCTGCTGGAGTCCAGTGGTGCTGGACGCCCTTGGGGCACACCTGGCAGAGCTGGCGATTGAACTTGGGGCTTCTACAGGCAAGACGTGTGCGCTAGCCCCCTTGAGCCGTCTCCCTAGCTCCTCATGATTCATTTCTTATAGGAAACCTTTATTTCTCGTCCTCTCTACAGAGATGTGCGGCTTTTAATTCTGGAGTATGCCCGTTGGTCTATGATTGACAAGTACCGTGCCCTGATGGATGGCCTTTCCCTGGAGTCTTTGCTGAGCTTTGTCAGGGAATTCAAATCCCAGCTCTTTGTTGAGGGCCTGGTGCAAGGAAATGTCACGAGCACAGTGAGTGTTGGGTACCCTGTGGCCGCGACCTGGTCTGAATGCTATTGCGAAGTCTGTAACTGTGTGAATTTGACCCTCAAGGAAAGTTCTGGAGTCTGGGCAGCCAGCATCATCACCGTCTGTATGGAAGGAAGCTGCCCACTCTGATATTGAGAAGGACCAGGAGGTCCTGGAATAACCAGGACTGGGAGTGAGACAAGTTTGGTAGATAAATGGAATTCGTTATACTGAAGATTCTGTGTGGAAACTACAGACAGTTTAAAAAGAGAGCTGGAGATGGGGAGGGATCATATTACATACAAATGTACTCCACATTTTTTTTTCTGGTTCTTAGGTCACACCTGGCTGTGCACAGGTTTACTCCTGGCTCTCTGTTCAAAGGTCACTCCTGGTGGGGCTCAGGAAACCATATGGGGTGCCAGGATCAAACCTGGGTTGGCTGCGTGCAAGTTCCCACTGTATTATCTCTCTGGCCCCAAAACACACACCCCCACATTCTTAGTCAGAATTTGTATGTCGAGCTAAGGAGCTCAGGCCGTATCTTGTTGTTAAGAGAGGGTCACTAAAGGAGTAAGGAGGGTTTGTCTAAGATCCAGAGAGACCAGTGATGGAACTGACAGAGTTGACATGAAGTGTTATTCTACTTCTTAGGTGCAGAGCAGACTCTGAGCCTGGGAACCAAGTAGAATGGGGACACTTAGGGGTGGGAGAGGGAGAAAGGGCTGTTGTTTATGGGTAATTTTAATTCTACAAAATGAAAAAGTCCTGGTGCTCCTTTTCATCCTCATTGATTATACGTAACACTGAAACTGTACTCCTAAACACGTTATGTGTTTTTACCAACAGAAAGAAAAGAACAGGCTAAAAAAATAATAAAACTAAAACGCTAAAGTGAGAAGTGATGACTAGGCAAAATAAGTGGAAAGATCCAAGAATTAGAGGATGACAAAGCTCCGGCACCAATTAGATGTGGGGATGAGGGAGAAGTTAGGGGCACCAGGGTCATGTGTTTTAGGGTCATGTGTGCCACAAATGAGAACAGTGTAATTGACCCTTGAGACTGCTGTCCCTGCTGCTGCTTTGTCCCCCACCACAAGCCCTGCTGAGTTTCTATTGTGTCCACAGAAAGAAGTGTGGGAAGCAGAAGTGTCTGCTTCTCGGAGCCGGTGGGGGTCCCCCTCATCTGGGTGCCAAGGCCTTAGTTACCATGAGTGGCCATGACAGTGGATACTCTGGAGGGGGAGGTGTCATGGGTCGGGGGTATAGTGGAGTCACGTAAGAGTGATGTGCGGTTCCCCGCACTGTTCCACAGTCTGGTGACTGGCCTGGGCTTTCCCAAGTCACAGCTGTCGTAGGGCTGCAGCCTCGAGGATGACTTGTGTGACTCCAAGTGACACAGTAGGAAATGTCAGTGTGTGGAGACGGTGCCCAGGGAGGGTGGAGGGCTTCAGTTCACTGAGAGCTGTGTGGTAAGGGGCTGTGTGAGTGTTGGTGATGCGAGGGGCCAGGAAGGAATGACCCAGTGGCTGGATCAGCCTCCATAGCATCTCCAGAGTGTAAAACTCAGACTGTAGCTGGCTCTGGAGGAAATGAATGCCAGGGAGACGGATGTTCTTACTCTCTTTTCCTTTGCCTCTTAGGAATCTACGGATTTCCTGAAGTATGTTGTTGAGTGAGTATTGGTTTTCTCTCTGGGGTTAGCTGTGTGCCTCCCAGCAGGGGGGCCTTGAGGCACAACCAAGTTACTCAGTCTGCAGTGAAGCTGCTTCTGTGGAGGGTCTTGGGGGCTGGTCACAGAACAGCAGCTGGGAAGGACAGGAAAGGTGCAGCCTCTCAGCGACTGTCCTGTTCCTCTGCAGCAAACTGAACTTCACACCTCTGGAGCAGGAGATGCCTGTGCAGTTCCAGGTGGTTGAGCTGCCCAGTGGCCACCACCTCTGCAAAGTGAGAGCCCTGAACAAGGGGGACGCCAACTCGGAAGTCACCGTGTACTACCAGGTCAGTTGGCCTCTGGTTTCCTCAGCCAGGGATGGGCCTAAGGTGCCTGCGAGGAATGACCCAGTGACCGTCAGGCCCTTTCACAGTTTCGGACTTGGGGTCACTTGTTCTTTTGAAGTGTGATGACTTTTTTTTTGGGGGGGGGGAGGGTGGAGGGTGCCACACCTGGCAGTGCTCAGGGTTTATTCTTGGTTCTGTACTCAGGGATCACTCTTGGTGGGGCTCAGGGGAATCTTAGGGGGTGCCAGGGATCGAACTCGGGTCAGCTGCATGCAAGGCAAGCGCCCTAGCTGCTGTACTACACTGTCCCCTGGAGACTACTGACTGAAAATGTAATATTTTACATTAGAAAATGGCTCTAGTCAGTGAAATGATGGGTGCCAAGGAGGGAACCAGGGGCCTCACACAGGGGAGGCAAGTGCTTTACCTCTGAGCGACAACCAGACCCAAATGTTTCTGCCTTAGTCACCCGGCCTCTAGTTTAGAGGCACCTATTCCTACATGCTCCCCTGATGCCACGCCCAAGAAGGCGGCTCTTTGTAGAAAATCCCAGTTTAGAAAGAGATGAAAGGACACAGCCAAGCAGCCAGTAGACAGCAGAGTTGCTTCAGGGTTGGAATGAAAGTTTTCAAAGCACCTGGGACAGGGGCTTTATTGGGAGCTTGTTTGGCAGGGAAATGTGAGGACCAGTGTCCCTTGTTTTCCTGCCATCAAGTTTTGTTTCTTGTATTTGGCTCCTTCGTTCCTTCCACACCACTCTAGAGAGGTGGGGTGAGGCACAAGGAACCAGGCTGGTTTACCTCAGCCTGTGGGGCCAGTGTCTGCCCACATTGATCTCAGACCTCCTGGACTTGGGGTTCTTGTGGTCGCTTTTATGGTCCTGAGGCTCAGCACGAGGAATCCCTTCTCTCAGGCCCTTCCAAACTCCCTGGTGTGCTTGAGCGGGGGCTGCCGCCGCCACCACTCAGTCATCCTGTGGTGCTTGTGCCCCGCGCATGTGTGGAGTCTCCCTCTGACCAGAGCTGCCCGGGTTCCTCCTCCCCCACACTGTAGGTCACGCTCCAGAGACTGGCAGGCCCCAGGCTTCATCAAGGGTCTGGCCTGGCCCCACATAGCTCTGCCCTCATTTCTGGATTTTTTCTGCCCCACACCTAGAGTTGTACACATTTTACACAGGATTTCCTGTTGTAGACTGTGTTGAGGTAGGGTCCATTCAGCACCTTTTAGAACTGATGGGTAATATAATTGCTTTTTAGGGAACTTCTCTCCTCACAGGTCATTTTCGGCAATCAGTTGATAAACTTTGTGGAAGATAATGTGGGGGTTAGGGTTTGTGCTTTGCATGTGCCCTACCCGTTTCATCCATGGCACCATGCGCCCCCTGTCCCCACTCTAGCATCACCGATCAGAGCCCTGGAGGCCCCCAAGCATGGCCAGGTGTAACCCCGCTGGTCCCCAGCACTGTCCTCGCTGGCACTGTCTTGCCTGCAGTGGCTGAGTGTCTCTGGGAGTTTCCCAGGCGCCTGCCGGTGTCGGAGCTTGAGCTGCGCTGGCGGTGCCCTGCCTGCTCGCCTCCTGCCCTCCCCTTCTGTTGCTGCTTTGCCAGGCTCTGGACAGCCAGGATTTGGTCTCCAAGGGAGGCACAGCTTCTTGGGCATTGAACACTCCACTCATTTGGCTCTCTGTTGCTGCAAAAGATCCAGTTCAGCCTTTCCACCCAAGGAGGTGGTCCAGGCGCCCCTGTTGATCCCTAGATACCTGCTCTCTTAAGACCTTGCTTTTTCTGTGTCCTTTGGGCCCGAGGACAGGTCGAGGCTGAGGATGTCTGGCCCCCCTCCCCCCATGACCCGCTGTTCTGCGTAAGGATAGGGAGTACAGCTGACCTAGTGTAACAACCTTGTTGAGGACCTGGGAGGGTGGGCTCCACTCTCCAGAGCAGATAGGAGGGCAGGGCTTGGGAATAAAGGTGTGCCAACGCTTACCGGGGTGCCCGAGCCTGTGAGCTGAATTCTCTGATCTGAGGCTTCTTTTCAGTCAGGTACCAGGAGCCTGAAGGAGTACACGCTCATGGAGCTGCTGGTGGTGAGTGGGCCGAGTACAAGGCAGCATGGTTGACTTATCTTCTGGGCATCGAGAGGGCAGGGAGGGAGACTGGACTTGGGAGCTGTGGAACCTTGTGGGGAAGAAATGGAAGATTCCCGTGGCAGCTGAACTGATGGGCTTGTGGTTGAATTACAGATGCACATGGAAGAGCCTTGTTTTGATTTCCTTCGAACTAAGCAGACCCTTGGGTAAGTCCCCAGCACAGCGCTGGGCTCAGGTGGAGGTTTGGCATGTGGCCTCACTCAGCGGCCTCGCAGCGCTCTTTGGTCCCTGCGGTCCCTGCAGACCTGAGAGCCCAACCCATAGCCCAAACCATAGCCTCCTGTCATCTGGCGTTTGGTCGCTTTAGTGAGAGAAACCAGGTCAGCCTGGATTCCTGAAGAGGGGGGCGGGGGGCATGCTGACTCCGACCTGAAAATGGGTGCACACACGTCATTCAGAACCACAAGGCCTAGTCTGTGGAGGCCTCTTCTTATGCCTTGGTGCCTGAGGGCCGGCTAACGATTTCCTCTCTGGCTCTAGGTACCATGTCTACCCAACCTGCAGGAACACATCTGGAATTCTGGGATTTTCCGTCACTGTGGGGACGCAGGCAACCAAATACAAGTAAGTATGCACGCAACTAGTCTTGGCAGAGCAAGTAGGCCCACGGATGCTTCCTGAAACCGTAGGCAACTGACCACTCAAGGCTGGCCTCATTCAGTCACAACTGTGGAGAGTGGCTCATCAGTGCCCTATCCAGCATGGGTCACTGGTTCTTTTTTGACTCAAACCCTGTAGTCGTTGAGCAGGACTTGTATTTCTTCTGAGAATAAGGCAGGAAAAGATGCTTTACCTGGCCTTTATGCTAGGACCAAGGTCTAAAGGTCTTCTCAGCTTTGGAATGTCCAAGCTTGGCTCACTGCAGATACCAGGGAATTGGGCAGAGGTCAGCTTCCTCCTGTAGCTTAAGGCCATTGGCCTGTTCTTTTTTGGCCTGGGCTGGGTGGTTTAGGATGGTTCACACCTGGTGATACCACGTGATGTGAGGCTTCAACGTGGGGCTCCCAGATGGAAAACCTCTGCTCTAGGCCTGAGAACCATATCCTGGGCACACAGACAACTTTTAACTGAAGATGTTTTATTCCAGCTCCGAAGTGGTTGACAAGAAAATAGAAGAATTTCTTTCTAGCTTTGAGGAGAAGATTGAGAACCTCACTGAGGATGCATTCAATACCCAGGTGACTGCACTGTTCTGGCTTACTGGCCTGTGATCCAGCTCTGCACTTGGCCAGTGTCTGTAGCCTCACCTTCATCTGACCCCCATGTCCGTGTTTTATCCCCCGCATTCCGCTAGGAGTGCCAAGTGGAAACAGCACTGCAGACCCGACTGTAGAGCCGGTGTTTTGTGGGAGAACTGGGTAATGCCACAGCTGCGCTCTTTCTGATGTAACAGGTCACAGCTCTGATCAAGCTCAAGGAGTGTGAGGACACCCACCTGGGGGAGGAGGTGGATAGAAACTGGAACGAAGTGGTGACGCAGCAGTACCTCTTTGACCGCCTTGCCCACGAGGTACAGCCACCCTGTCTGCATCACCAGTAACCAGCAAATCGATACTGTGTGGAGAGGCCTGGGCCGTGGACCCAGGATTGTCTGTCACTTGCCCCATCTCGTCATTGATTGCTCAAATGTTGGGAGTTTCTTTCTGTACTCCCTTCTCTAGCACATTAGGTGACAAGACAGCTGGATGCTAACCTTTGCCCTCTCGTGTCCTGTGCCGCCAATTTCAGTCAGAACAAACTCACTTTTGTATGACCGAGGCTGAGATTTGTGGGGGCAGAAAGGGTTTTATGTTCTAAAGAAAATTGGTCTTTGTGGGATGTTTTCAGGTCTACGTACATCATTGGTCAGTATTACTAAGTCACCCACCACTAAGTAGTAAAACCCACCAAAAGAGTTCTGGGTCCTCCAATCCAGGGCTCTGATAATATTCCCTATAAGGTGAACTAGTGAAGGCCATCTTCATTTCAGTGGGGCACGAAGAGTTTTTTACTGGGACCGGAGGGAGAGTACAGGGGGTAGGGAGGCACCTGTTCTATACAGTCAAAGTGACTGTTTACTCAGCCCAGTCCTTCAGCACTCCAGTTTTCCAAAACAGAGGTAGGACAGATCAGGTTTCTTCACCTGTTTCCCTAGTGGATTTTCTCAAGTTACCATGTGCATGCAAAGTGACACTGAGCCAGTGCATACAGCACTTAGCTGTAATTACAGCTTGCTTCTCTGCCAGGGCTGGTTGTTTCTATAAAACACAGATGTGTCACGTACAGAGAACTCATTTTTTATCCTACACTGGAAGGTTAAGGGGTCAAGCTGAGCCTTCAAAGGGCATGTTCAGGTGTGCTGAGCAGGGCCAAGGAGAGCTAGGGGTTATGTTTTAAGACCTATGGAGTACACTGTTAGTCTTTTATAGCTTGCCTTTCCTATTTTCTCTTTGCAAGATCGAAGCACTGAAGTCATTCTCAAAATCAGACTTAGTCAACTGGTTCAAGGCTCACAGAGGACCAGGAAGTAAAATGCTCAGTGTCCATGTGAGTATTTCATGCTTTACATAGTTGTCATGCAGATTGGTGCTGCAGATCCTAATAGGTCTTTGGCCTCTTTTCAGGTTGTTGGATTTGGGAAGTATGAGACAGAAGAAGATGGCGCCCCCTACAGTGAAGATTCAAGCTCTTCTTGTGATGCGATGCAGTTAACCTACCTGCCAACCTCTCCTCTGCTGGCAGAGTCCACCATCCCCATCACTGATATCAGGGCCTTTACATCAACACTTAACCTTCTCCCCTACCATAAAATAGTCAAATAAACTGCAGTCTTGTTGGCCTGAAGAACTGTGCACTTAAAAATGCGTATTTCATGAAATGTTACTATTGCCTTAGGGCTTCTGTACCTGCATCACAGAATCTGATTCATTCCTTCCAAGCCAAAGGTAGCTAGGATTGACAGGCTTGGAGGAGCAGTTTGAAACCACTGTCCCTCTCAGATTGACAGTCCCCATGTTACTGTCCTTCAGTTTACTGTTTCAGTGGATGGGCAACAAGATACTGGCAGTCCTGATGTGCACTATGAGAATTAAGAGTGGAGTAGATGAGAGTGACGGGGGTGAGAAAAGAACAGACTGTCCGTTATGGTCCATTGTCCTGGTAAAAAGTCAACTCCTATATTCAAGCTTGCCGAAATATTGGTACTGGTTTAACCATAAATACAAGAAACACATTTTTGGAAAAATCACTTTATGAAGCCTTTAAGAAGCTAGTAACTGTAGTCCAGAGTTAGATACAATTTAATAGGTCAATTCCAAAATAAAAATTATTGGAGACCATGAAATTTCTTAACACTTGATTTTAATACATACATTGCACTAATTTTCTAAAATAACTCGGAGGAAACACTATTTACAGTAAATGGAATATTCATGAAAAATCTGCCATCAGGTGTATATGTATATATGTATGTGTGTGTATATATATGTGTGCGTGTGTGTGTGTATATATATATGTATATGTATATATATATATATAACCTGATTACGTGAACTAGAAACATGTTGTACATCTCAGTAGCAGTAGTAGAATGCATAATTTGAGACCAGAATTTATAAATGCTTTTCAAAGCACAGAGTTTGGAAAAGGTGCAGACATCTTGTTTTCAAAACCTGAAGCGTTTCCTCAGGACTGAAGTCAAAATTGTAACTGCCACGGAAGAGGAAAAAAAGGAAGCTTCTCTTGCTTTAATTGTTCACCTGCATCGGAAAGTCCGGTATCCCTGAGATAGGAACCACTGCAATAAAGAAGGGAGTGAGCAGGTTCTCCCCAGAAAGGCGGCTGCTTAATTATGCCTACTGCTCTGGTCTTTGCATTTTCCAACCTAATGCTTGGCAGCACCAAGACGTTTCAGTAACGGTTCATCATAAACCCAACATTCTCCATCTTCGTGAAATAACTGTAAGAGAAAAGAGAGGAATTCAGTTGCACACTTAGAAACACAATCTTTGTACTCCGATTTTATTGCTGTATGTCTTCTCCCCATGGACCTTCACGGAGGGCAGTTTCATGCAGTGTCCCTCCCCAGGCCAATCGAAAGTGCTGTTTGGGGTAGCCCACCCCACCACTCAGAGAATTTAATGAGGCCCAGACCAGGGTGTACTGGGTGAGGAGCAGTGGGAAGCTGGCGCAGAATCTCCAAAGTCAGCTTACCCTTGTTTCCCACTGAATTTCCTTCTCCTTCCTGTCTCTAGCTTCTGCTCTCTGTCTTTCTTCAAGTCTATGTTTGGCTTCAGTTGCTGCATCAATGTCTCTGATTTTTAAGTTGAAAGTTACGTCCTTCCAAAGGCTAAAAAAAAAGCAGCAAAGGTGGTAAGTGGAAACAAGGCGCTAAGTGGAAACAGGAGGTGGAGCTGGCAGTCTTGAGAACAGGTCTAGGGCCACCCAAGCACAGCATCATTAGTCCAAATCAAATGGCATTAAGTGCTGTTTTCGAAGACAGGCGCTCTGTGGCCCCAAGGTACTGAGTTAACAGAGAGTGGAAGATTCTACTGCTAGTGTCAGGAAGAAACGGGTGGGTGGAAAGTGGAATCTACGCTGACTAGAAAGAAGAGAGGGAGCTGAGACTACTTCTGACTCCAGCCATAGCCCTGAGGGGTGTCAGCTCACCTCTCTACCTCCCATGTCCTTCACTATAGAAAAGGATTGGATCAGAAGAACTGAAGTTCCATTTCAGGGGGGGAAAAAAAGAAACGTTTTCACACCCTTAGAAATTCTCTCCCTGATATGCTAACAGAATTTTAGTGTATGATTCCTCAACCAAAGGTCTTACTTTACGGCCTGGAATGGAGCTCAGGTGGTAGAGCACATGGCTTGCAGCAACAGTAATTTAAACCTTATTTTATCATGCAAAAGGGAAAGGGGAAAATATGAGACTATTAGAAAACTGCAAGCCAATGAGCTATTTGATAATACTGAGTTTATTATTTTTGCTTCTGGTGTCAGGGATTCAAGTCCAGGACTTCATGCTCCCTTCATGGGCTTTACCTCTCCACAAACTACACCTCTCCTCCTGGAAACTTTCTTTGTAAAGCACTATAATTACACTGTAGCTAGCGTTTCTGTTTCTAAAAGTCATATTAGAGACACATACTATATACATTAAAAATACTTAAAAATAAAACTTTTTTGCAAACAGCAACAAAGACATGAAGGTATTTTTTTTTCTATCTACCTCTTAACTGGGATCCCAATGCTATGTCATATACAACAAAGATTGGGACTAGAGTAGCAGAGCAAGTATGCTGCTTGCCTTGCATATGACCAACACAGGTTCGATCCCCAATGCCTCGTAGGTAACTGGCACATGCGGGAGCTCGCTATGAAGCCAGGTGTCCTCCAGGCTGCTGTGCTAGCACAGCCCTAAGCCAGCCAGTGCAGGGCCCAGGCACACTCGCTCCCGAGCCGCTGTCTCCTTACCTTCGGGACTCGTATTCATTCTGATCTTCCAACTTCCTCACTTTCTTCTTGATTATAGGTAACTTCTTGGTATCTACAAAAACTGTATTTTCCTAGAAAGGAAAGGCAGGTACAGTTCTGTTCCCATTAGAAAGAAAGTGCAACTCTTCCTAGAAGATTTCAATTAACAGGTGTAAAACTCGTGATACGCATACCTCATCTTATCGCACTTTACGTATTATAACAAATTGGAGGTTTGTGACTACCCTGTGACAAGTCCGTCAGTGCTTATTTTCCCAACAGCCTGTGCTTAAATTTGTGTTATGTTCAGTGAATAGATGTATACCGAGTTGTAAGAATACTGCACACTTAAGGAGAGTACAACTCTGCCTTAGAACTTATTTGTGAAACTTGCTTTGTGGTGAGATTGTTTTGATTCTTTTTACAGGGTAGTCTGAGACCAAACCCACAACCAGAAGTATGCCCAAATATGTCAGTGCTGTAGACCTGCAATTCTCACTGGAGGCTACTGCAAGGGACCAACCAGGACAGAGGCAGGAAGGGGACCACTGCTGGAAAAGGCAGAGAAATACTGATGCAGATAACAGTTTCATATGTAATCTTCAGCATAAAAGAGAGTTGTGTGTCTTAAGTTTTGGTAATGATTATTCCATTCAATGGACATTTTCAATTTGGCTATGTCCTACAGATCTTGGGCTAATTACCTTGGACCCAAAACAAGTTTTTTTTTTTTATTGGTTCACACCACCAGTGCTTAGACCTTACTCCTGGCAGGCTTGGGGGACCATGTGGGGTGCTGAGGATCAAACCTGGGCCAGCAAGTGAAAGGCAACTGCCTTACTTGCTGTACCACTTCTCCAGCTCCCAAACAAGTATTAAGTATGGTCAGGTATTTTTTCACAGTTTGGACTCTCCATATAGAAAACAATTCTTTTTAAAGCATGATAATCACATTGTAGCCAGTGTTTTGTTTTTTTAAAGTCATGTTAGACACATACTATATAAGTACATACTTGTATGAAATAAAAATAAAACTTTCTTGCAAACAACAAAGACTTCTTGGCTCTTCTTGTAAGTCACATACTTCCTCCTACCATTTGTAAGCTCCTTGAGGCCCAGAACTGTCACACTCATTTCTTTATCCCTAGTGCCAGAGAGTGAGTATGTTTCTTATACAAAGTCAAACCGTGTAGAAAACACAAGCTAGTCTAGCATTTCATTAATGCATTACTAATTCTAATATGTAAGCTAACACCAACTGGATATTTGCTATGTGCCAAGCATTTTTGCTTTTCCACATGTATTCTTGGTGTTCTGACTGAAGAGGGGAGGAAACTATTCAACAGCCTGTTCTTCTGGGGAAGGGGTGGCCGAGGGAAAACACTGGCCTTCTATTAGCACTAGATTTCCAAACAAAGAAAGAGTAAAGAATAAGGTACAGTCCAATGTAACCCACAACAAGTGGCAAAAGACTTCTTACCCCTGTCGCGTATTTTGCATACATTATACCATTCCATTCCCCTTCAATTGAGCAAAAGGACTTCTTGTCATTTGGTGAACTAAACAGAAAAAGAAACATTTGTGTTAGTCTCAAGCTACAAGTTATTCTACTGAAAATATCTGGGGAACAAGGATGTGGCTCAAGTGGTAGAGCTTATGTCTGTGTTTAAGGCTCAGAGTTAAAGCCCAGAATGGCACAGCCCTCAAGCACCACTGAGTGCAGTCCCCACAAAAGTAACAAAAAGTATTAAAACCAAAAAACAACCAAGTTTTTACATGGAGGTATAAATATATATATGTACATGTGTATACTTGCACATATCCCAATGCATAAATATTACACTCTATATAATACTATATATTACATATATTATATATATATATATAATCTAGTCTATTAGCCTAGGTTTAGTATATAAAGTGCAGTATATACTAAATGCAGCATATTTAGTATATAAAGTTCTATATAAATTAGAAAAGCAACTTTTACCAAAATAAAATCTTTGGTAAAATTAGCTTAACAAAATGGGATTTCCCAGAGCTAACTTTAGAACCAGCACCCTAAGAAACTCAAGATCCCAGGAACAGTGACTGAGACGAGGAAGAGTGTCCTTTACTAGGTGCTGGGGTAAAAGCACACTACAGAATAGTCCTTGCCCTCAGCTCTTTATAGCCTTGTCACAGTCCTGCCAGGTGAGTTCATGTGCTTTAGGGCAAAACCTGTGGGGGTGAGTCAGGGAAGGCTTTGCGAAGGCGCACGATGCGGAAGACCCAGGCTTTCATTCGGATCGAGTGGTCTGGACTCTTCTCCTCAGGCAGGATCCTTCAAAGGTTCAAAGCAGCTAAGAACCCTCCGAAGGTTCACAGCACTACTGGGAGCCAGCAGTGCTATGTCATGCACATTAGAAACCTGGGAGATGCATCAAAGCAAGATTCAGAAAAAAGGATGAGGGGCCAAAAGATAAAACTACACAGATGGGGATGAGAGCTGCTTCACTGGTCCCAGACATAAAAGCTTCATGATTTAGGGGAGTGAAGGGAAAGCGGGACAAAAGGAAAGAATGATTGACGCTTACAATGTCATCATGCAGCGATTCTAAACTGCAGCCTGGGGACTTTGGGGGAGACCCATGCCTAAAGTCTAATTTATTCTCTTAGTATTAAGAAGCAATCTGCTTTAAAGCCATTTTTGTAGCAGTCTACAAAATTTTCCCAAAAGTTATTTGAGGCTTTGTAAAATGTACAGACTGACTTCAAGAAGTAGACTGGAGAATCTTGCTGTCCTCAAAATTGTGCAGCACTGCAGCACTGTCCTCCCGTTGTTCGCCGATTTGCTTGAGCGGGCACCAGTAATGTCTCCATTGTGAGACTTGTTGATACTGTTTTTGGCATATCAAATACGCCCATGGGGAGCTTGCCAGGTTCGGCCATGCGAGTGGGATACTCTTGGTAGCTTACTGGGCTCTCCGAGAGGGACGGAGGAATCGAACCCACGTTGGTCGCGAGCAAGGCAAACACCCTACCCGCTGTGCTATCACTACAGCCCCTGCCGATTATATACAGAAAAATTCACAAAAAAAAGTTTTTACAAATTTTGTTTTGGGGCCATAACTACTAGTGCTAGAGTGGTTATTTCAGAGCCCTTTTAGCTCAACTTTGAGGGTAACCTTGCTACCATCTAGTTATGAGTGATGCAGAGTTTCGGGAAACACCCCCGACCCCCTTTTCTCTATTCTACATCCTATTTTTGACCACCACCTGCTTGTTTGGGAGGCAAATGCAATTACAGTGGTGACTGTGTTGCTTGCTAAGCTTTATCTTCATTTAAAAAAAAAATTAGTGATCCTTAGTAAACTTCGCAGTCACATTCTGCTCAAAATTCGTTTGGCTGTTGATTTTGTTATCCAGATGTTCTCCCTGGAAAACTGGTTCTGTATGTTGCATCTAAAAAACTGTTTCTGGGCCGGAAAGATAGTATAGGGGTTAAGGCACTTGCCTTGCATGTGACCAACACTGTTCAAGCCCCGAACACACATATGCTCCCTGCCCAAGCACGACCAGGTGTTATTCCTGAGCACAAAGCCAAGAATAACTGGAGAATCACTTGGTTCGTCCCAAGAAACAAGATAAAAACATTACTTCTTGTGAAAGTTCTGGGGAGAGAGCAAGTCCTGCAGCTTTTCCTCTCCAAGTGACAAAGCCACCCAAAAAGTGACTGTCATTCAGAAAAGCTTGGCCTCTTTCCGCTAACTCAAGCCAAGATGAACGAGATGGTCACTGTGTTTCCCCAGTAAAGGAACAGGGGAAAAAGACACCATAAAGACACTTCAGTGGGACGGTCAGGCTATCAATGGACTAACTCAGGCCTGGTTCAATCCGTTTGAGAGTCAGAAATTCATTTTCTGGGGTAATCAGGAAGACTGGGAGCACCGGTTTCAGTTCCCTATGGCAAGGCTGGCTCCTAAGGAAATGCACTGATGACTTTGTCCTACCCAGGCTTTGGGCTGTTTTCTGAAATGCGGTATTAAGAAGAGATATGACTGAAAAGACGTGAAATACATTTTCAAAGAAAACAGCCCAATTACAACATAGAAGTACTTTTTCAAGGCAAAGGAAAATTACGAGAAGTAGAAAAGTACTGACGCGGAAAAACAAAATACCTACAAAATCTCAGCAGTTATTCTGTGCTTCTTGCCCCCATAGAAAGGTTTGGTGTGGAAGATGATAGTTGCACTATAGCCAGTTTTGGAACAATTTATATTGCATTCTCCTCCGAGTTCCACCCAGGGCACTGTGAGGATAGACCTGCAAGGATCAAGAGAATCCGGGTTAGGTAGGGCCTGATGGCTTGCTGATCAAAGTAAATGGACACAACTACTTGCCTTCCATAACCGTTGGGGAACGTGAGAATGTAATGTTCATCATAGTCTAGACACGAGACACAGCCTGTGGAGAGACGGGAAGACTCTCTGATGAGTAGTGTCAACTGGTTAGAGAGCCTTATCATCTGGCCGACAGAATCCCTGAACATTCCATTCAATTGAGGGGAGAAAACAAAAATCTTGTGCCACAACTCTACTCTTATCCCAAAACATGTGCTTACAAACAATGGCTTTCAAGGAGCCATTATCTCTAATTAGACAAGTGCCTAGCATACACAGAACACCAAACAATTCTCTCATTAAAAGATTGATCGAGGGGCAAAGAGAGCACAGAGGGTAAGGCGCTTGCTTTGCATGTGGCCAGTCCAGGTTTGATTCCTGGCACCCTATATGGTCTCCTGACCAGCCAATGATTCCTGAGTGCAGAGCCAGGAGAAATCCCTGAGCACAGCCAGGTATGGCCCCAAAACCGAAAAATAATTATTTTTTTAAAAAGAAGATTATTTATCCTGGGGCTGGAGTGATAGCACAGCGGGTAGGGAGTTTGCCTTGCACGTGGCCAACCCGGGTTCGATTCCCAGCATCCCATATGGTCCCCTGTGCAACACCGGGTATGACCCAAAAAGAAAAAAAAAAAAAGATTATTTATCCAGTGTCCAGACTTACCCTGTCCTATGTTGTGAACCCCAATTGACATCCCGAGGAATTTTGATTTGGTCCAGATATGAGCATTGAACTGTATCTTCTTGCTAAAGCATTCAGCATAAAAGGCTGAAACTGAATAAACATTGCTTTAAATTAGTGCACTATACAGCAACCCTAGAGGCTGAAAATAAAAATACTTGTTCTGGTTAGAAGCATGTTACTGATTTAACCCCAACCTTATCTCTATGGTAGTTTCAGTCTTAACACTACATCTAGCAAACAAGAATAAGCACCCCTTCTATGTCTGCAGAAATGATGTCATCTCACGGGTCTCAAAGATGCACAACTATAGATGACTTAGAAGCATTCGAAGTGCATTTTCTAGAGGCGAGAGGAGTACAAGGGTTATGTTCTCGTCTTGCATGGTTCAATCCCTCGCCCCACACAAGCCTCTCAAATACTTCCAGGGGTCATTCCTGAGCAGAGCCAGGAACAGCCCCTGAGCACGACCGAGCACTCCAAATCACCCTCAAAATACACACATAAACACCCCCACACAAACCAAAACACCAATCAACAACTTTAATGGCACTGTAAATTACGAAACCTAATTTTAAAAAGGTTTGCTTCCTAAATTCCTTCTTTTTATACATCTTGAGTCCACAAGGCTAAGAGTGTTTAGAACTTATGCAGGAACAGATATGAAGAAACAGTCCTCACAGAGTTGGGAAGATACACATCACCGGCAAACTGTCAGCAGGTGACCTCAGCAAGAGTTTCATTTCCAAATAAGCTTTTTCAGACAGAAAAGTTTGAAAGTGAATGCTGTAGAGAAGCTCTGGAACTTACTGGGTGGATGATGGGAAACCTGCTCAGCCACGAAAGTTACACAGTTCTTAGAAACCCAGGGAACTGGTCCCTCAGACACCAGCTCCTGTAAACACATAGATCATTTTCTTTGGATGTGGTTACACAATAACACTGCAGAAAATCATGTGACTGGAACTTCTGACTCTCTAGAAGTTTACCACTCCCACCTCTACAAACCCAAAGCATTAATATGACTTTTATTATGGCACTTATTACACTATTTAAATGATTTCTCCATCAATCTTCTTGAACAAGACATCCTTGAAAGCTTGGATCTAACTCTGGGCCTGGAAGAGTAAGCAGTTATCTATATCTACCGAATGACTACGCACAGAGGTACCCCGGGGGCTGGCGTGCACGCTTCACATGTGGGAGCGAGGGGTCCGAGCCCCTGAGCCCCACAAACAATTGGCTCTAAAGAAACAAAAACAAAAATAAGGGGCCAGAGAGACAGGATAGGGGATAAGGACTCAGCCTGACATGCAGCCTATTCCTGGTCTCACTGACAGCAAGCACCACAGGAGCTACTGCCAATCAGAGCCAAGATTAGTCCCTGAGCACCACTGGGTGGAGTCTCACCCCACCAAAAAATACATAAAGAGAGCGATGGTTCCCGGAGACTATTGTGACAGGCTCTGTGAACTAGGAGATTTTTTTCCCCATTCCTTCCTGAATATTCAAGTTTTCCATCACCATTTAAAATATTAGGGTTCTGAGGCTCAGGTCTCGCTGACCTACTGCCCTTAGGACCTGCTATTTCCACAGATGACTTGATCTAATCCAGGGCTACAGATGTTATCAAAATCTAGTAAACACGGTATACCTCAGCTCCATCCTGAACCTCTCCCCTGAGCTCCAAACTCCTAATTCTAACTCCAAGCCTCAGAGGCTCCACTTACCTGACTCAAAAGCCCCTCATCCTTTTAATTTCATACCAGAGTTCTTGACTTCTCATTCCCTGAGTCCAGCCTTTCCCTCTGCAGCAAAGAGCATCAGATGCCAAAATCTGGGTGCAGGGTTCCTCTCTGCCTGACGCCCCTAAACCAATGCTTGGCTCAAACTCCACACTAGCTAAATCATGTCTTTCCTAAAGGAAAGCTTCTATTTTTGCCCTTTTTTGTTTTTCCAAAAGCTCATCATAACGGTCATCAGAAAAATGTAAATGAAAGTCTCATTAAGCCATAAAATTATCATTATACAAGGCTATGTATATATGATCTGGTTTCCAAAGAGTTTCCTCCTTGCTCATTCTATTCAAAATATTCCAACCCAGTAACACTGATCATGGGTGGGAAGCATCTTTCAATCACTGCCTTTAATATCATCTGCCCCCAAGAAAACAAAATCCTGCACCTGTTCATAACTGTATTTCTTAGAAACTTCAATGCAGAACTCACCGCATTCTCTTCAGTATCATTTGGTAATGACCAGTGACATTGAAAGATCTCGCCCAAAATAGGGTTGTATGGCTTCTTGGCAACCGACCCCTTCCTTCCTGCATGAAAGGCTGAAAGGTACCATTTCACAACCTGGACCATTCGCTCTCTGGCATCCTTTTGATCACTAATGCTGCAAGGAAGAAATACCAAATTTATTGTCTTGCTTTCTGACAAGATGACGGTGCCTCTCAGACTCCATTGAGAATGGGGCCGCTGCATTGAGAGAACTAGGGCTTGTAATTATTACTTCAAAGTTGCTTGTTAAAATTGAGGTATAACAACATAATTAAATATACTTGTTTCTGATAAACCTGACAAGTATCTATGTCCAGTTAATGAAGCATCAACATCCAATTAAACCGAGAATCTTTCCGTGACCCTTAATCCTCCCGTTTCCCTATACTCCTTGCCAAGCAGTCCTGTTCCTTATCCTGCGGCAAACCCTGTTTCTGGTTTCTCATACCACAGGTTGCTTGTTCCAGAAATTCATTTAAGTGGATTGTTTAATTATCAGATGACTACAGAGTTGATTTTTGTTTTACTGGTTCTTTATTCTGTCCCCCTGGTTCCCTCATGTTACTGGTTTCTAATATAATTCTTTTTTGGTAGAAAATGTATGACTACAGTTATCTTAAATGTATTAAGTCCCCCAATATGTGGTTGATCTTGAATGTGCTACGTGCAATTCAAAGGACTAAAGCTAAACAACTGTTGGATGATACCTGGGAAAGTCAATCACGAACACTGTCTGCATCCTACAGACGTGCTGGCATTTGCTGCAGGGTTATGTGGAAATGTGTGCTGGGAGCCACTTCTTGACTTAATTCCCAAGGGAGGAACTGCCGGCCACCACCCCGCACTTCTCTGTTTCTCCCCAGGTCAGCCCAATGTTGCTTATGCACTTTTGGACACAGCTGTGCTCAGGAGGCCAGGTCTGCTGTACCTTGAGTTACTGGCTCCCCAACTCAACACTGTGAATATTTTGAAACTGTGTTATTAGGTACATGTGCACTTAGAAGTCTTATTATCCATACCCATATTTTATCATCAGAAGTATGACTTAGGTCTCCTTTGTACGGAGTGCATGCGCAAGGCCTGATTTGATCTGCAGCGTTCCCTGACCACACCGCTATATTCCCCTCGTACCCTGGAGGCTGGCACAGCCAGGTTCCATCAGCTTAGCAAAACCTGGTGAGATATGGTTAGGAGAGGCTCCAAGTACCCCTGACCTCCCCTGGGGAAGCCTCTATTAAAAAAAATAGAATTTTAATAAAAAATAAATGGGTTCTTATACTAGTACAGCCAGACTACTTTTATTATGTTCAGTGAGCATTTTGAATACTGTATTTTAATCTCTTCTTTTGTTTTTAACAAACCAATGTCTTAATACTAAAAGTTTCTCTCTTGTAAATAACATACAGATGGATTCTGCTTTTACAAAACATCCAGCAATTTAAAACAAAAAGGTTTTTGTTGGGGGGGGGACAATCGCTAGTCTCTTATATGGAATCACTCCCTTGTAAACCATTTTCACCTTATAAAAGTGCTTCTTTTATTAATATAAATATCTGTATATCACACAAATACTGATTAATTCCAATCTATAATTTGCACCCTAAACCACGAGTTCTTCAATGGCAGCCACCTGACTTTTCCCTTCTCCAGCTCTTAATAAAGTCTTTGGCAAACAGGTGCTTTAGAGGGAAAGAAAGCTCATGAGGAGACTGAGCTAGTGAACAATATCATCAGAAGTGTGACTTGGGTCTCCTTTGTACGAACTGCCGATCCCTGGCTCAAATAAGCTCAGAGCCCGAGTTCTGTAGCTGGCTACCCCTTCATGGGCTTTCTCAAAGTGTTGTGTTGAATTTGGCTGCCAACATCACAATCACCATGTAATTAATCTAAGCAAACAAACAGGCATACAACCTTCAATGACACTTTTCCCCAGAAGTATATGAAGACAAAAGAATACATATTTCCTCCCAAAGGCAAAAAGTCATTAACATTTTTAAATATCAGAGGGTATCATATTCAGTCAAATACCTCACAAACAGGTCCGGATGTGCAAAAAAGTCAGCGTACATTTCTAAAAGGGATCTTCTCTCAAGAATGAATGTCGGAAGAACTACCTGAAAAACATAAACACATTTCATCTTTTTTTTGGCCTTTTGGGTCACACCCAGTGATGTTCAGGGTTACTCCTGGCTCTGCACTCCTGGAAGTGCTTGGGGAACCATCTGGGATGCCAGGGATTGAACCCAGGTGGGCCACATTCGCTAATGCTGTACTATCACTCCAGCCTATATATTTCATCCTTGAAGATAAAATTCAAGTACAGAGAGAGACTGCTCCACCACAACAGCCAAAAGCCTGTCATTTTGGTGACCCTCACAAACCCGCCAAGTTTTGCCCAGGTGAGCATCTGACACCAATTTCCCAAACAATTCTCATTCAGAAATGCCCGGAAACCAACAAATGAAAAAACCAAACCAAACCAAACATTTGCTTTGAATGTTCAAATGTCAATTTCTCTAAATTCTTCTTTCAGAAGGAGGCATCACAATACCCTGTGTCAGATGCTATGGAGGCGGCAAAAACAAGTAGAGGAGAATCAGACTGGCATTTACTTTTTTAGGTGGAATGTCATAAATACAGACTTGCCTTTTTTTTTTTTTTTTTAACCCCGAAAGCCTGGGAGAAGGACAGACCAAGTTGTTTTCTGGCTCAGAATGAGAGCAGAACTGTTAAGTAATCCACTGAGGTGACCCGCCTTAGAGAAAAGCCTTAGAAAAGAAGGGGGCAGAAAGGAAGGCGGTATGGAACAGAAACAGGAGAAAACAAGACACTAAAGGAAAGAAAAAAAAAAAAAAAAGGAGATAGGAAATGGTGTGACAGAATGGAGCATGGAGCCCTGGGGCCTGTGAAGAGCTTTTTAAGAAGGGGGGCTGGGCAGGGGGTGTGGTTGGCACTCCCTTACAGGAGGTTGACAGGTTTCAATCACAGAACCCCCTAAAAGAGTCCCCTGGGCCCTGCCAGGAGTGCACAGAACCAGGAGTAAGCCCCAAGCACAGCTAGATTTGCTCCCAAAACCGGGGGCGGGGGGGGGGGGGGGGGGGGGAGGGGTGGTATTGAAAAGGAACACAAGCTTGGAAAGCAACACTTAGGCTACATTAACATTTGCAATGAGTCAGTTTTTTTTGTTCATTTCTTTCTTTGGGCCAGACTTGGGAATGCTCAGGGCTTACTCCTGACTCTGCTCAGGGGATCAAAGCTGGGTTGGCCACATGCAAGGCAACTGCCTTTTCCCACACTATCTCTCCAGCCCCAGAACTTTTCATTTTCCTTCCACAGAACATGTCTGCTCATACTCTGGTTAGACTAACAGATAGGCCTATGGAGTGACTATGTGACTTCTATGTGATCTCTACCTCTAGGAATACCAAGAAACTATAAATCACCAAGTAAGAACAAAAGAAGACTAAATACCTGTACTATACACTTTTCACAAATCAACAAAAGACTACCAGTAAGAAAAAAAAAATTGAACAGACAATTCAAAACAGAGGAGAGAGACAAAAATGTAAAGGTCCATTTTGTAACTAACCTAGTTAGATCCCTGAACCGCAGTCTCCTAAACACATACAGGTGTGACCCAGGTGGTCCCCAGCACCATGGGGCCCGAGTATGACTTTGCCAATCTCAGTCTTTGCATTGAACTGCCGGTCTGGCTGGCTGAGATTTTGCTGGGAGCATCCTCTCGGCAGATCTCAGCACCACTTGGGAGCACTTCTATCCCTCCTCCTCAAAAAAGAATGCTCCAAAAATATATAACAAGATTTGATGTGTAGTCAAAAGAAAAAGTGTTGCTTTTGTCCTCTCTACTAAAACCTTTTATTGAGAACTCTAAATCAAGATGTCTTTAACGCATGATACCTGTCCTTACACTAGATTGCTAGAGTTCTGTGGAAAGAGGGTAGGCGGTCTTCAAAGCTGAGTTCAAGGACTTAATTTAGATAAGGAATTCCTGGAAAATTAACTTCTTTAAGAAAGATAAAATTACACGCTCGGCGTAAATCTTAGGGCTGTTCTTAAGATCAAGTAAGGTAATGGATTATAACTGTGTAGCATTTTCAGACCCTATAAAACACTTGGAAAGTCACTCTTTTGTCACTGTTTTCTGTGTCACACCTGGAGTTACTCAGGGAGCAGGCAGCGGTGGAGACTGAACTTGGATCTCCCACAGCAAAACATGTGCTCCAGCCCACTGAGCTATCTCCCTGGCCCTGGAAATAAATCTTTTTGTAAAATATATTAAAAAGGTCTAATAAATAGAAGAATGAAATAGAAATTTTAGACATTATTACAATAACAGTTGGAAATGCATGAAAGGAATGAACATCTCAAAATCTTGCTAGTAATCACTGTCACCTATGCCAATGAAGATTTCTAAAATGCTCATTTTAACATTAGAAATTATGATTATTATTAATCATTCATAATAAAATAAGCTTCTTGTAGCTAATGACATAGTATGGACTCTCTGGCAGAGGAAATGATATTTTTAGTAATAATGATGATATATATTTATAGTAATAAATATAATTATAACTAACACTTTGGTTAATACATATCTCTCCATTATCCCATCCCCAGCAAGAGTTGGGTGACACTGAATGTGGATTAATCTATGCTGGTGTCTTCCCAAAGTAGGCAATGCTGCTGTACTGGAAAAGCCTTGGATGCAACTGGGGACTGTTTTGTTTATCTAAGGGTAGATTTCCAGGGGTGCGCTTTTTTTCCTGAAAAGCAGGTAGTAGCCCAAATAAGTTTGGGAACCTTTGATCTAAACCAATCATCTGGTCTCTATGCTACCAACATGGTCTCTAGTTATCAACATTGATCCCCTGTAGCCAATGAGATTCAATGAAAAGTGTGATCTGATGGGTCACATCTAGAAAAAAATTCCTAGTGATACCAACAAAAACACTCCACAAAAAAGAAACTATTTTTCAGTTCATAACATTTCCTTTTTGGGGGGGTTGATTTCCAAGTTGCTTGGGAGGCCCTGGGTGTGTGTGTAGGGCGGGGGGGTTTGTGGGGGGGGGGGGGAACGGGATGGGGATATCTTGGCTACCATAGGCCATAGTTCCATTTACTCCTGTTTGGCTCTGATGCTAGAATTACATCTGGAGCTCAGAGGCCTCCAGGGCAAGACCTGGTGAACTCCAGGGTTGCATTTGGTGATGCCTTGGGGACCATAAGGTGAGGGCAATAAAACCCATTCCCTTTGTAGAAGGATGTGAAGGATGTGAAGACTGAAAGCATGGCAGTCTTTTTTTTTTTTTTAAATGTAGAAGTCTTGCTATTAGTATGGCAGTCTTCTCACCATGATGAGGAAAGTCTGAGTGTGAATGGGCACTCCGCAGACAACAGCCGTGAGACAGAAGGAACCCTGGTCCTTTCTCAGAGTTCTGATTCACTGAATTATTCCATACTGGAACTACTCGACGCATTATGTGAGAGGAAATTTAGTAGTATACTGAGAAAATGGCTTACATTAAAAAGAACAAGTGTTAAAAAGGAGGTAGAGAAAAAAAGTACACTGGGTTCCACAAATTAATGCTCTTGTGTTGCTAGTTTCATTCAGATTTGGGGTAAAAGTGTAAATGCTTCCTAGGAAGTATTACAGATTAATTTAAGAGAAAGTAGATAAAAGGCACTAGTGAAAAGATTGCAAACCACGGAATCATAGACCACAATGGGTTCTAAGTTCTGCCCCTTAATGACTTAGCCAAGTTATTTAATCTCTTACGAGTTTCAAATTCATTACCTGTAAAAGGTAGCAGTGACACCTAGTTTGCACCTATGTCTACTCCGGTGATAATTTGTATGCTGTGGTGAGAATTAAGAAGAATGAGGTTTTTTTTGGTAGTACAGTGGCAAGGATAGAGAGAGACTACATCAGTTTCCTAAATTAGGCATTCCATTTAGAGCACCAAGTTCAGGGGCCACAGAGATAGCTCACAGGGGTGAGCACATGCTTTGCATTTGCATGTTCAAGGCTCTCGTTCTGGCTTAGCCCCTGGCACCAAATGTTCTCTCCGTCATGCTAGGTGCAGTTCTGGTAGTACCAAAGCAGTTCCTGAATGTGACTTTGCTGGCCCACAGCAACTTTAGGACCGAGCAACTTTCTGGAATGACAGGCCAAGCAGCTGAGAATGCTCCACAGAGTCTGAGTACTGTGGGGAAGATGCCATCCCTCCAAAATGACAGAGTTGCAAGTTGAATTAAATTCAAATACAGATCCCAATAATTGTATGGTTTATTGTGTGTCACATCCAATGTTCCATTCAGTGCCTATTCCAATCCTCTAGTCCTTACAAAAGCCCGTGAACAGGGCACTCTGTGCATTTTGCATGTGAGATTCCTAAGATCATGGAGGAAGGAATTTGCTCAAGGTCTGAGTTTGTAATAGCAGAGACAGGAAGCAAATAGAGATGGTCTATCACCAACATCAGAACTTCACTCATTTGGACCTATGAGCACTATGTTGCTTTCAGCCTGTTCAAATCACTAACCAAGTCCAATAATATTCTGGTTAAGCCTACATAAACCCAAATTTTAATCCATACAGTCCAAACTCTATGAAATTAGTTATAACGCATAAAATACTTCAGTATCCTCAACTACATTCAGTATACTCATCTAATTAAAACACGAAACAATAATCATTTATGCCATTGTCTACATTAGCAGACAGTCACCATCCGATCACTGCAAATGAGACAGGAACACAGTGAGCTTTGCAGCAAACGCCAAGTTCGCCTCTTACCTTGGTAAGATCCATTCCAAGCCGGACCTGGGACAGGAGGTGCATGATCACACTCTTGTGCTCTTCCACAGACCCAGCCTCTCCGTCATCATCTCGATCGTCATGTGAATCAAAAAGATCTGAAACAAAACAGCACCTTTTAGACCAGTGTGAAATTAGGTCCATAATCTGTGCTGCTACAAGGAATGAAAAAAAAATTTTTTTCCCCCAACTCAATCCTCAAATATCACTTACCAGCATCACTGGTTCCATTGGACATGGAAGAATTGAGCGACTCTGTCGTATCTGGACGCTTCAGACTATTTCCCGAGCTGCTGTGCGTCAAGACTGAGGCAGATCCAGAGGAGCTGAAAAACATTAATCACCTTCGTCAGCTCAAGAAAGCAATTCTGAACCACAGCGAGACGCTAGTTTTCAGAGAGCCAAGCTGAAAGAACACATACAGCGGACAGATAAAAACTTGATTCTTGGGTTGGAGAGATAATACAGTGGGTAGGGTGTTTGCCTTGCTCGCGGCCGACCAGGGTTCGATTCCCAGCATCCCATATGGTCCCTGAGCACCCCCAGGAGTAACTCTTGAGTACAGAGCCAGGAGTAACCCCTGTGCATCGCCACGTGTGACCCAAACAAGCAAAACAAAACAAAACAAAAAACAAACCAAACAAACAAACAAAAAACTTGATTTTTATAGTGAGCTGGTTACAAATACACACAGATACTTTCCAACTCTTCCCCTGGCATGTTCTGAGACCATCAAGACCGAAGACAAGGGGCTGGAGCATTAGCACAGCTGGTAGGGTGTTTGTCTTGCAAGCGGCCAACCCACGTTCGATTCCCAACATCCCATATGGTCCTCTAAGCACCGCCAGGAGTAACCCTTGAGTGCTGAGCCAGGAGTGACCCCTGTGCATCGCTAGGTGTGATCCAAAAAGCAAAACAAAACAAAACAAAAGACTGAAGACAAGGTCTCATATGTTTTGCACAGTTTGTCATCAAAAGTCAGTAAGACTGAAAAAAACACAAAAATCGGCAAGACTATCCTCTCCAGTGATTTTAGAACTCATTCTGGTAGGGAGTTTTCATAAATGTAGATTATGTCATGACTTTTGGCAACAATTTTAAGAACCTTAAAACTGCCACTTAAGTCTCAAAAGGAGTTCTTGTTTATATTTTTGAGATCCTCTGATAAAAGTCCACATGATTGTTATCAATGTTCTTCCCTATGAAGCTGAACTTGTGATTACAAAATAAATCAAATGTTTTATTTTGCAAATAAATTTATGGTAGTTGGCATTATGAAAGTTTGAGAGCCTAATAGTTGCAGGATCTAAAGGAAGCTTCCTCTTTTGAACTGAAGTCAAGTTACATACAAAGGTTACTTGGCGGAGGCCACAGAAATATTAGTGGGCGGGACATTTGCCTTGCATGTGGCCAACCTAGGTTCAATCCCTGTTGTCCCATATGGTCCCCCAAGCACTGCCAGGAGTAATTCCTGAGTGGATAGCCAGGAATAACTCCTCAGCACCACAGGTGTGATCCAAAAACAAACAAACAAACAAACAAACAAACAAAAACTCCAAAAAGTTACTTGGTGTATAAACATAGATTGGGGGAGGGGGTCTCCCAGTGGTGCTCAGTGGATCAGGCCAGTGCTGCAATGTCGGTGCCCAGGAGATGGTGCAGTTCAGGCCCTGCGGTCCCAGGGACGACTTGGGCCGCCCCCAGCTGTGCTCGGGGAACATACGAAACTGGTGAGTGACTGAGGGCTGCAGTCCACGACAAGGCATGTGTCTTAATCTCCGTACTATCTCTCCAGAACCTTCTCACAGTAGTTATAATCTATAAAATGGCACACAAAGTAGTATTTGATCACAAATTTCTATGTGCTAAACATAGTATATATTCTACTTTGAACATAATTTGCCCTAATTACTTAATTTCACCTTCATTTTTTAATTTTTAAAATTATTTGGTTATGGGCCGTAGCCAGCGATACTCAAGGGTTACTCTTGGCTCTGCTGGCGGTGCTCAGGAGCACAGATGGGATGTCTGGGATAGAACCCAGGTCAGTGCATGCAAGGCATGTGCCCTACCCACTCCAGCCCCAATTTCAGTTTTAAAATAAAACTCTTGTTTGAAGCAATTCGGAGTTCAGAGCAAACAGTAGAATGTCTTAGGGTGCTGTAGTATGTGGATTCTTCCCAGCCACATAGGTACACATGCACACATCACATCAGTGTTCACTAGCAGTGTAGTACATTCTGTAAGTCCCATCCCACCCTGCAAAAACCTTGAGGCCAGAGACTTAGCACAAAAAAAATTGAGGTATTATAGTTTATAACACTGGTGAAGCTGTTATTCTATAATTGCAGATTACCAAAACTTTTGTCTTAGGTTTCAAAACTTAACAGTATATATTTAAGATCAAAGATATGTTTTTTTCCCCTCACTCAAAAGCTGAATTTGATTGCAGTAACAAAAATTCTTAAAGCAATACAGCAATTTTCCTTATGAATTTTGAGAGCAGTTATGACACAATTTTTTGAATAAGGTATATCATAGTTTATGTGAAAACTTAAGAGAACTAGAGTCCCAGACAGTATTTCTCATTAAAAAGGAAAAGGGGACAGAGAGATAGTACAGGGGTTAAGGCAAAGACTTCACATTCTGTCGACTCTGCTTCTATCCCCTGCACCACATGATTCCCTGAGGACCAAGTACCACAGGGTAGAGCCCGGGATGCCTCCCATCATTGCTGGGGTGGCAATCCAAGTAACCCTGCATTCCTGGGCCACCATATTGAACCAGGTTGGCCTTGAGTCACTGTGAGGGGCCCCCAGGTCTCCTGAGCACCACCCTGGGAGGCCTCATGCCCCACTCCAAATAAAAACAAAACCAAAGTCAAGTAAGATTTTTCTTACAGAGAAACTCCACACTAGACTAGCACATGCTTTCCATGTAAGAGGTTGACCGGGTTTGATCCCCAGGACCTCTCGGACTCTCACAGCCAGGAGTGACCCCCCAGGCACCACTGTGTTCCAAGACACAAAACAACAATGGGGGGAGGGGAAAACAATCAAACACAGGGCCAGAGAGATAGTATAGCTGGGAGGGCATTTGCCTCACATGCCACCAATCCAGCTTCAAGCCCTGGCCCCACCTCCCGAGCTCTTCCAGAAGCGATTCTGAGAACTGAGCTAGGAGTGAGCAACGGGCACTGCAAGGGGCCCATAAATAAAAAATTAACCCTCCAAACTAAATCAAATGTATCACAAACATTAAGTAGTCTTAAAGCAAATAAATATTAATTTACTTTCTATTACAGCTTCTATTTCTGAGTGTTTATTACATGCTGGAAACTATATGAACAACCGACCCGCATCATTCTCATTTAAATGTTCACAATGACCCTTTAAAATTGAAACTTGGGGGCTGGAGCGATAGCACAGCGGGTAGGGCGTTTGCCTTGCACGTGGCCGACCCAGGTTCGATTCCCAGCATCCCATATGGTCCCCTGAGCACCGCCAGGAGTTAGTGCTGAGTGCAGAGCCAGGAGTAAACACTGTACATCGCTGGGTGTGACCCAAAAAGAAAGAGAAAAATTGAAAGTTATCTTCATTCAAAAAAATCAAAATCAGGTTTTATAAAGATAGCAACTTGTCGATATTATCCCTTGACTCAATCAGATTTTAGAGCCTATTCTTGTTGAGACTACAATTCAGAAGAGCAATTTATAATGTTCTAAAGGCTAAAACATTTAGCTTACCAGGTACCATAAAAGTCCACACAAAAATTATCACGTTAACCCATTTCCTTTACAATGGGTTAATGTGATAACATGAAATAGGTCAGATATAATTCTAGTGAAAATATCCTTCAATTTCTGTCACAATCTGCTTACTCTGGTGAAACCCACACATGTCCCTCCATTCCCATGCTATTATCTTAGCTCAGGCTGTCAGCATTTTTCAACTGAATGCCTGATTTTGCGTATGTAATGCAGTACCCAGCAGTCTCTTTCTTAGAACTAAAGACAAAACTTTTTCTTTCTTCGGAGGAGGTGAGGACGGGTGGTGCTGTCCTAAAGCCCTTCCCAGTGAAGACCTGAAGATGGGGTGTTGCACACAGACCTCCAGGGCTGCACCCTGCAATGTTCTCAGCGCCATGTCACAGCAGGGATCAACCCAAGTACAAGTCTGACGGTCAATACAAAGATTTTTTTGTTTTGTTTTGGGGCCACATCCGGCTTTGCTCAGGGCTTACTCCTGGCTCTGCACTCAGAAATTACTCCTGATGCTGCACGGGGGACAATATGGGATCCTTGGGGATCGAACCCAGGTCAGCTGTGTGCCAGGTGAACACCCTACCTGCTGTACTATCTCTCTCGCCCCATAGACAAAACTTTTCCTAAAATTTTTCTAATACAACCAAGGGGCCGGGGAAATAGCCCAAAGATTTAGTGCACAGGTTCTGTCTGCATGCAGGAGACCTGGGTTAAATCCCTGGCAAGACATGGTCCCTTGAGCACTGCTGGGGCAAGACCCAGGCACCAAACCAGAGCTGGGAGCAGCAACTGAGCACTGCCAAGTGGTGGCCCTGTCTCCCTGCACCCCAAATTGTAGTCTGATCAGTAACTGCTATTGTCTAGGACAAAATATCCAAACAACATACAAAATGAAAGAACTTTCCCAACCTAGCCCTTTTGTAGTTTTAAAATACATTGTTTTTGCTTGAAGGGAAGGAAGGTACGAACACTGGGCCCTGCTCAGGGTGGTCATGTGGCAGCAGGGATCAAATCCAGGGCCCGCCTGTGCTTTAAAACTCGAGTTACATCCAAGGCTCCTCTTAAAGTAATAAATACCCACAACTTCAATTAATACTATTGTCGCACACAGGAACGCACAACTCCCGAAAGCCCTAAGCCTTCCCTCCCCCCTCTCCAGGCCCCTCTTAGCAGGCTCCGGCTGTAGGGGGACATTTCCATTTCCCCCACCCACAAGCTGTCTCTCACCTCACACTTTAGAATCACAGCCTCTTTTCCTGGTGAATCTGTCCCTGACTTTTCAGTACTCAAAAATGATTACTTGATTTTCTGTGCTGATTCTTAACCCCCAGAACATAATCACTGGATTATAAAGGTCTGTTCCCTCAATAGATGCTAAGTTCCTTGAGTGAAGAAACTGATGATTTTTTCATTTCTGTACCATCCCTCTACCTAGTATGATGTCTGCCTTTTACAAGTGCTGACTATCTTCAACACAAAACACGTAGTATAGTACTTCACAGCTTACTTGCTACTCACTTGACTGTCTACTAATGCTGGTGCTAAAGAAATAAAACCCAGAGTTTAATTAGTAAATAACACTAGCTTATTATAACAGTTTGATGCTAATTTACTGCATTTGTATTAAGTTGGAGTAAAAATCAGTTACTATACAGCTGACTGCTCAAAAAGTCAACTAAAGATAAGTTTTAAAAAACGTCTTCCAAATAATTCAAAAGGGAGTATGTCATTAATTCACACTGGTCCAAACTCAAATTACGTTTTCAAAAACCAGGAGAATTGTTTAAATACCTATGTTAATTCACCCACTTACTCTATTAAGTGCTTTGGGGATGAACCACTTTGATGGAATTCATCGGCATCATAAAATTCATCTTCACTGCTAGAATAAGAGAATTCTGGAACTGTATTTGGAGACAAGTTGACATGGCTTGGAGAAGTGAGACTGCTACTAGGTGGCGAGTGCCCACTGCCTAGGAAGTTAAAAAAAAATTTCAAATTAGGGTGGAATGTTGCTTATAGAGGGAAAGAAACTAGAGAGATGGGGGTTCAAAGTATGCCTTTCTAAAACTAAAAGAAAGTCCACATTTAAACTAGACAATAAGGCAAATCTTAGTTCAGAGTAAGGGCAAAGCCATGTAAAGGTTCCCTGCTACGTTTCCATTATGTAGTAGTGGTCACCATCTACGTAATGTTCCCTAAAGATAAGCATACTGATTAAGTAATGAATTAAAAAAAAAAAAAGGACAAAGACTGTTAAAATAAAAGGTGTAGGAAAAAATATCTTTTTAGCCTAGAGTCTAAAAAGGAAAATGAAGAAGGGCCGGAGAGAGAGAGCTGGTAAGTTAGTAAGGCTGGGTTAGACCCCGGGTACCTGATAAGGTCCCATGAACACTGCCAACAACAGTCCCAGAACTCAAGAGCCTGTGTCCCTCAGCATAGCCAGGTGTGGCCCAAAAACAACAAAACAAAACAAAAACCAAGAGAAAGAAGACTGCAATCTAATCTCTGGAATGATCATCTGGTTGTTATTTTGTAATATTTTAATAACAATGAAAGTATCAAACAGAACAATTAGGTACTGAGACCAATTTAACAAATGTTTAACACCCAAGATTTTAAGGCAATTTATGCCAAGTAGGAATGCCTGGAGAAGATTAAATTTATAATTAAAAGCCAAGATTTTTTACTTCTAGGTAAAAAAAAACAAAACCAAGAACAGTTCTAGAGAATTCTAGAAAAACAGGATAAAAGGAATAAAAGTGAAACCAAAACCACCTTTTTAGCCCAACACTATGTCAATGGAAGAAACATTAAGGAAAAGAGTTCTACCTGTCACACTTGACACACACACACACACACACACACACACACACACACACACACACACACACAAAACAGATACTGTCCTCCCATTGTTCATCGATTTGCTCAAGTGGGCCCAGTAACATCTGCACTGTGAGACTTGTTACTGTGTTTTGGCATATCAAATATGTCAAGGGGAGCTTTCCAGGCTTTGCCCTGTGGGCGAGATATTCTCAGTAGCTTGCCGGGCTCTCCAAGAGGAATCGAACTCGGCTCGGCTTGCAAGGCAAATGCCCTACTGGATATCACACGCAAAAAACTGCCCCCTAAAAAATAAGTAAAATGAAAAACTGTCCCCTTTAAATGTAATGCTTATTGTGGAAACTCTAAAGAGAGTTAATCTCCGCATGTAACTGTAAATCCCCAATTTCCATAGTAACAATAAGATGGGACATTTTTGTCTCACTGAAAAAAAGACAAAAACAACCGAGATGATGGGGTTTTTTTTTTTTTTTTTGGTTTTGGTTTTTAGTTTTTTTTTTAATTGGCTGTTTTTCGGGCCACACTCATTGGTGCTCAGGGTTTATTCCTGGCTGTGCACTCAATAATCACTCTTGGCAGTCTTGGGGGACCATATGGGATGCTGTGGATCGAACCCAGGTCAACCAAGTGCAAAGTATACCTGCTATATTATCATTCTGGCCCAAGAATGATAAATATTAAGTAGTACATAAATACTTCAGGTGATCATATAACTGAAAATGAGTTCACAAGAAAACAGAGCTCAAATGCAAACAAAAGAACTGAGTTCTTATGAAAGCAAAGAATGTTACTTCTCAACTTTTTTTTATTAGTGAGAGAGGTAAAAAAAAAGTAAAGCAGATAGAGAAGTTAGTTGAAAATGCGAATAACATAAAATCACTTGCTAATCAAAAAAAATTTTTTTAAATTTTATTTTGTTAGGGGGCCACAAAGGCAGAGTGCAAGGTCTGACTCCTGGCTGTGTGCTATGGGATCACTCCTGGCACTGCCAGGGAAAACCATAAACGGTGCCAGGGAACAGGGATTGATCACATTCAAAGCAAGCACCTCTCTCTAGACGCAACAAAACATTTAAAGTATTATAAAATGCTGTTTTGAAATATCTTGTAAAATAATTCATCTTAATTATTATCAACACAATTAGTAATAAGAGCAAGATCACTTTTCAGTTTGTACCTAATTTTATATACCTCCAAACAGACAAATGCAACATTAAAAAAGGGGGTGGGGGCCTCGCAGATAGTCCAGTGGGTAGGGCATTTGCCGTGCACGCAACTGACTTGGGTTCAATCCCTGACATCCCATATGGTTCTCTGAGTATCTAATTCCTGAGTGCAAAGACGAGAATAACCCCTGAGCATCTCCGGGTGTGACTCAAAAAGTCAAAAAAAAATTTTTTTTTTTTGAGAGAGGACCATATAATGTGCCAGGGATGAATCTGGGTTGGTTATTTACAAGGCAGGTGCCTCAGCCACTGTACTATCTCTCCAGCCCGTTTTAAATTTCTTGACATGTATATAAAATCAGGTACTACAGTTAAAACGAACAACAGAGGGAATGGAACACATTTCGACATCATATTTAAATTGCTTATCAGCATTTTCTGAACATCAAATAAGGGATATTGATTTGTCTCAAAATTCAGAAGTCAACTATTCATGTTGTTAAATTTAAGTAAAATCAGCAACAACTTTATTAACTGACATTTTAAAAGAGGCGAGAGTCGTGTAGTAATTTTTCCTGATTACAGGAAAAAGCCAGACAAGGAGAGAAATCTGGGAGGAAGTGCTGGGCATTTTTTTATCTGCCCTAGTAGATTTGGCTTTTGCCTCCAGGTCATAACAACACAGATAAAATGAACTAAGGACTCCCCTGAGTTTAGTTTCCCAAGTGGCAACATAACTTAATTAGTTTTAAAACAAAGAAAAAAATCTAATTTTAACATTGACAGTATCTCTGTATATTAAGAGAAAATAAAGATCATTTAATCTATACAAACTATGAAAATGCAAATTAAGTAAAATATAATTAATTTTACTTAAGTATGTTTTACTTAATTAAGTATATTTTACTTAATTTGCCTAGGAAAAAAAAATCAGCAAAACAGCAACCTATGTGCCAGGCCCGGAATGTGACTGAGTTGATAGTGTAAACCTCTGGGTTCAATCCCCTGCATCACAAAACATCTCAAACAAAAATAAATACATGTGCCAAAAGTTACTGTACCAGGGTATTTACTAGTGTCCTGCTAAGAACAAGAAAATACTAGAAAAATCTAAATGCCCATCAGTGGAAAAACAAGATAATGCCTGCCCACAAAACATGATCTCACTGAGGTTAGAGGAAAACAAAATTAAAAATATGGGGCTTTATTATGTTCATATATGAAAAATAGAGAAGGAAAAGTGGAAAAGCCTTTCACTTTTTGTTCTCTGCATTGTCTGATTACTATTTTAAAAAGTACACTAGTCTAATAAGCAAAAAAAATGCAAATGAATCTTCAAAATAAATCTTAAGGTAAATAATCAAAATCCTATAGTATTTTAAATCATATTATTAAAGCGTCTTTATCACTTTATATGTGGAGCTGTAATGGAAAAACTGTTATCTCCAATAGAAATACATATTTTTTTCAACCCCCACCCCATCAGTTCCAAAACACAATCTCAGAATGTTAATGGGGAGTTGTAAGTAGCAAAAGATTTACAAAAATCTGTACCTGTACTATTTGGTGTAGGAGTCTGATGATGTCCCAGGGTAGCTAAGACGGGCCCAACGGGTAGGGAAGATGGACGCTGCTCTGACTTACACAATTGAGTGGGCTCTAGGAAATTAAACATGTCAAATGAGTTAAAGACGTAGCTGAGAACAGTATGTTCCTTATTGTGTATGATTCAAAGTCCTAAAGAGCGGGAAGTTCTGAACCTGGAATTTTTTTTCGGGGGGGGGGGGGTGGGATACACTTGTCAATATTTGGGAGTTACTCCGAGCTCTGCGCTCAGGAACACACTCCTGGTGGTGTTCAGGGGAACCGTATGGGAAGCCAGGAATCAAACCCAGCTCTGCCATGTGCAAGGCAAACATTCTCCCCGGTGGAATTTTCAAGTTCCACCATGTCAAGTTCCATTCTACTCCTCCTTTCTAACTTCCTATCCTCTTTTATTTTCTATGAAACATTGAAATCTGTATTTATAAATCTTATTTCATAATTATTTATTTTCTGACTTAACAGCCCTTGCTGAGAACACAAAGAAATGTTAAATTTTTAAAAAAACTTAAAAGGACAAATATAAAGGTGAGTGTTGGCCCTCACCTGATAGTTTTTAAAAATACTATTTGTTATTCTACTTTAAATATACACATGCGGGGGCTGGAGCAATAGTACAACAGGCAGGGAGTTTGTCTTGCATGTGGCCGACCCGGGTTCAATCCCCGGAATCCAATATGGTCCTCCAAACACTCCCAGAAGTAATTCCTGAGCGCAGAGCCAGGAGTTACCCCTGAGCATCTTTGAGTGTGACCCAAACAACAGAAAGCAAATATACACATGCACAGGAGCTGGAAAGAAGCATGTGGGAGGAATCAGGAGGGTCAGTCCCACCCCTGCATTTTCCCAAAGCACAGCTGGAGTAGCCCCCGAGGACTGTCAGGTGTGGTCTAAAAAAGCAACCAAAAAAGGGGAAGAACGTTGCTTAACAGTAAAGCACTTGCCTTGTATGTCTGAGGCCCTGAATTAGATAGCTAATACCCACTGGAAAAAAAAATCTACAATAAAAGTCCCCCAAGAAAACCATATATTGTCTATCTAACAAATTCCATAGCTTTCTTTTTAAGTCCATCATGAAGAAAGCAAATGGGAACATTCCTCGAGAAGATCACATGAAGTTGTTCATGGTATCTATGGATCTTGGGTCCGAGGATTCTCTTATTCTTTCACCAACTAATCTAAGTCTTTTTGTGTTTCATCTAACTTAAAAAACCAAAAATCCTTTAACTGAATCTAAATTGCCCCAATACCAAAATACCATCATCGTTTTCCAGTTCACTTTCAACTCTGTGTGTGTGAAAGAGAGATGCTTTTTCCTTTAAGTTAGGTCGGGTGGGTAGGAAAGGGGCCTTCCAAGTAGCGCTCAATGGGTCCCATTGGCCAACCAGGCCAGATGGTTCAATGCTCAGGCCCTCAGTGCCTGATGCCAGAGTAATCCTGCTCAGGGCCTCCAGGGCTAGTGCCAGGGATTGATCTCCGTGCCTCGAAGCTGTCTCTCTGCCCCCTTCCTTCTACATAGTCGGAAAAAAGAAAAAAGAACGAACCCCTGAGGATGAGGATGAGAGAATTTTTCCCCACATAGATAAATGTGTGGAGTATCTTCCAATACTATACCTGGAGGTAAGACAGTCTGGGAAGGCATTGTGTTGATCACAGGTTCCAAGGGACTAGGTTGATATATTGCATCTACAGGATTAATTGTACTCTGAGATAAAGAAACACAGCACAGTTATTTTTAACTAAATGCCTGTTTAGTGCTGACCCTCCCAAATATATAAAATGCCTATATTTGAAATTAAGAGCAGCTACATAGATACAATGATCAAAATGCAAAGTAGAAATAAAAATACATTTACTATCTAGCAGCCAGAGTTTCTTATTTATAAAAGCACAGTAAAGAAGGAAAATGAATGCCACAAGACGGTAAGGCTAAAGTTGGGAAGAGTTCTAAGACTGTGATGCATGGTTCCAGGAAGCCAAAATAATCACATCTAACCCAATGGAGGCTTCTCATATTCTTAATTCACCATAAATACTGTTTCACATAATGAACCATAAACACTGTTTCATACCAGGAGAAATGTTCTCTCTTTCATTGGTGTTACTGAACATTATACCAAGTGGAGCCAATTAGTATACCAATTAATAGCTAAGATCTTATTTTTGTGTCAGATACTGCTGTCACCTTTTGTTACTGTGCACTGTATTGCATAGGCATCTATTTTTACAGTCACATAAAGCAAAGAGATGGGGTTAGGAAGAAAATTTTGTTAGAATTCAAAGGAAAAAACTATTCAAATACATAGTTACAATTTTAGAGGGGGAAAAAAGGGCTTAGACTTCGGAGACAAGTACTGTCAGTATTAACAGCATTTCAAAATGAAGACCACAGACTGAATAGATAGTACAATGGGTAAGACACTTGTCTTGCATACAGTGGGCCCTGATTAATCCATGGAACAGAATAAGGTCCCCTGAGACCTACCAGGAGTGATTCCTGAGCAAGTTAAGCCCTGAGCACATCTGAGTATGGGCACAAAATGCGACTGAGAGATAAGATAAGGCACTTGCCTTGCACACAGCAGTGAGGGTTTGATCCTCAACACCTATATGGTCCCCTAAATCCCACCAGGACTTATCTCATAGTACAGGGCCAAGAGTACATCCTAAGCACTGCCCATGTGTGGCCCCCAAACCAAAAAAGGTCCCTCTCTCCACAAAAACCCAAAATAAATGAATAAGACCATGTGGCTTACTGATGCATTTTCATTTGGAGAAGGGGAGATATTAAACCACACTCTCCCTGACTAAAATCAGACCCACCTTTTAGAAGACTATATATACTCAGTACATAACTACTCTGTAATTAAAAGGTAAAATTGTGCAACTTGGAAAAACTAAAGAGAACTTGAGGTAATTATGCTAAGTGAACCAAGTAATAAATAGATAATTATCAGATGGATTCACTCACATAATAACAAAAGCAAATAAACTGGCAAAACTCGAGAGCAGTTCCTAGTTCAAGTGAAGATGATGGCACTGCTGGAGGAGGGGGTGGGGAGGGACGTAGAGGGGCTCCCTGATAGAGAACACGGGTCTTTGGTCCTGGGACAGTGAATCCTACACTCGTACAGATTAAGCTCTAAGTCTGAAATTCTATACTGTAAACGAACAAAAACCAAGAGGCCGGAACAAAAATACAGCAGCTAGGGCTTCTGCCTTTCATGCTGCCAAGCAGGGTTCATCACCTGGCATCCCATACGATTCCCCAAGTGCCACCAGGAGTATATTACTGAGTGCACAGCCAGGAATAACCTCTTAGCACCACTGGGTGGGTGAAAACACAACACACACACACACACACACACACACACACACACCAGGTGTGCCCCCAAAACAAAACACACAGACACCCCAATAAAACTCAGTAAGAAAAGAGATGGGGTGGAATTTGCTTGCTTTGCACGTGGATGTGGCCGAGCCCAGTTTGATCCCCAACATCACATATGGTCCCCTGAGCTCTGCCATGAGTGATCCCCAAGCACAGAGCCAGGAGTAAGTCCTGAGCACTGCTGGGTGTGGCCCTTAAAAAAACAATCATAAAATAGAAAACACTCAAACAGAATCTGACGAGAAATACTTTGCTTATGAAGCCAAAGTATTGGCAAAAACTTTTAAAAGCCGAAAAATGAAATGGAAAGAAATGAACTAGAACTTCTGCTGGCATAGCATGTACTCCAGCCCTTTGAGCCATCTCCCCAGGCCCATGAAGTTGGGAAGGCTTAAAGCACAAGGAAAAACAGAGATTTGCCAGGAATAAGCCCTGCACAATGCTGGGAGTGACAGGAGGAGGAGGAGGAAGGAAGGAGGGAGGGAGGAGGGGGGAAGGAGGAGGGGGAAGGACAAGGGAGAAGGATGGGGAGGAGAAAGGCGGGTAAGAGAAAGGAGAAAGGAAGGCAAAGGAGGAGGGGAAAGAAGGAGGGGGAAGAGGAAGAGGAGGAAGATGGGGAGGAGGGGAAGGGGGAAGAGGAGGAGGATGGGGAGGAGGTGGGGAGAAAAAGAAGGGATGGAGTGTGTGGATGTCTCGGACATCTTTTCTAGGGGTTGTCATAATTATTGTAATTCTAGTATGATATTGATACATTACCAAAATTCTTCAGGACTCTACTTTCAGGCACCAGAACAGGCTACAATCTCTAGACAAGTATCTCTACAAAACCTGGAACTTTCATTTCTCTGGGGCCTCACACTGTGAGCCCTGGGCTACTCCGTGTGATGTTGGGTGGTCGTCCGGCGGCGCTAGGGGGCCGTGGCTCTCCTGCATGCAAAGCCTGCACTCCAGCCCTCGCAGCCATTTCCCTGCCATGAGCAGTCCTTAAAAATAAAGCCCTTCTTTTCATGTCAGTGGGTTTTATAAAGGCAAAATCTCACCATTAATACTGTGATCCACAGAAATGAGAGAAAGTCACATCCTCTTAACCCTTCTCATTATATATGAGACCAGACTAACAAAAGAATTTTTGAAGAGGGGCCAAAATTCTTTTTCCCCCAATGTAATTTTTTTTCAAATGAAATGATCTAATACTAATCATGTCAAAGGAAACTACTTTAAACTTTCTTCATATAGGGTTGGAGAGATAGTGGGAAGGGCATTTGCTGTGTATGTGGCCAATTCGGGTTTGATCTCTGGCACCCCATATGGTTCCCGAAGCCTACCAGGGGTGATTCCTGAGTGCAGGGCCAGGAGTAAATCCTGAGCACAACCAGGTGTGTCTCCCCGCCCCCCCCCACCCCCGCAGCTCAAAAGAAACCATTCTGCATGTATATTAAAAGCACTCAGTATCTTTTATTGCTGTTAATAATAAAAAATGTAACATTTCTACTCTTAGCCACAACCCTTAGCTAATGAATTTCAGGCTAAATTATGTTTAATTCTATACCTTCCTTGAAAACGGATGCACAAAGTCCAGATGTGCAAGCAAATGATAATTCTCAGTCCTAATATGCTGGGACATTAGCAAAATTGCAATATAACATGCAGTTGATCCTTGAAGAAGGCAGGTGTCAGTACTGAAATTCAAAACAACTTTTCACTATAAAAAACTTAGCACTCATCACTTGATATCCAAGGAAATGGGTTTCCTCTCCTTCTCCCAACTCCAGCACCATGTAGGGGTAACAAAATCCACAGATGCTCAAGTCCCCTACAGTCACCTCAATTCTGCAACCAAGGATTCAAAACACAGTCAGGGCTGGAGGGCAGGCACTTGCCTTGAACATGATCAACGGGGGTTTCATTCCCAGCACCACATCTGGTTCCCCGAGCCCTGCCAGAAGTGATCCTCAAGCACAGAGCCAGGAGGAAGCCCTGAGCACTGCTGGGTGTGCCCCCAAAACAAATGAAGCAAGCTCAACCCTTCGGGGCAGAGCGCTAATGCAGCAGATAGGGTGTTTGCCTTGCGTGTGGCCAACCCAGGTTCAATCCCCGGGATCCCATATGGTCCCCAGCAACACCAAGAGTAATTCTTGAGTGCAAAGCCAGGAGTAACCCCGGAGCATCACCAGGTGTGACCCAAAAAGGGAAAAATAAAAAGCTCAACCAACAGATATCCATGTTGGCTTAAACCTGTGAATAGCTAAGTATAACTCTGAACCCTCAAAGTTAACCCATATGCTCTTGTTCAAGGGTCAACCATACATATATGAGTGTGTATAATATATATGCAAAATATACACATAGAACACATGTGTGCATGTATAATATACACATACCAGTTATATACATATATGTACATTTCCAGCAAACAATCTTCTTAGACTTAGTTTTCTTTATAGATGAAGAAACTAAGACTTAAAGGTCAAGTAACTTGCCTAAAGTCACAAGTATTGAGTGGCAGGGTTTGATCTTAGCCGTCTGGATCCAAGACCAGAATCATGAATAATTCCTTCCTTTTCTCTAAGTAAGAAACTCTCAAGGAAAAATGCCACAACCTGAATCATAGGGCTCAAAATTTTATTTCTGTAAGTTCCTAATTCCTTTTTTTGGGCTTTTTAGGTCAAACCTGGTGATGCTTAGGAGTTACTCCTTACACTGCACTCAGAAATTACTCCTAGCAGTGCTCAGGGGAACGCATGGGATGTTGGAGATCAAACCTGATCGGCCATGTGCGAGGCAAAAGCCCTACCGCTGTACTATTGCTCCAGCCCAGGTTCCTATTTTCTATGACTACAAAGTTTCTGGATTTTTAAAATGCAAAAGATCAATTTTTTTGGTATGCCTTATAAAAGTACTGATTTCTTTTCAGTATTTAATAAAAGTGACCAATATTGTTTTATAAGAAAAGAGACCAAAATAATTGCCACCATGATTTTCCTACGGTCTCTGAAATCATGAAATGCTAGACAACCTATCCTAAGAGGCTCACAATCTTTTTGTGGTGGGCGTTGCGGGTTGTGGTATGGAGTTTGGGACACAAATACAGAACTCAGGGACTGCTCCCTGCAATGCTGGTGCTAGGGAATCCAACTGAGGGTTAACCACATGCTAGGCAAGAGTCGGAACCCCTGTACTATCTTTCCTGCTCCAAGGCACACAATCTCTGGAAGATTTTATGCTGTAGTTATCTCACAAAACTGTACTGTATCACCATGGTGGAATCTACATTCTCAATGAAATGAAATAAGAATTCTAGGATCAAGAGACAGTACTGGGGTTAAGGCCTTGCATAGAGCCAATCCCAGCTCAATCCCCGGCACCAAGAACACTTCCAGAGTAACCCCGAAGCGCCTTCAAGGTGTAGTCCCCACACAAAACACTGAATAGTGTTTAATTAGAAATTTTAAAACTTTTTCTTATTTCTGCTTTTTTAAGTAAATATGCAAACATTGTATCACTTTTCATCTTGAACCAATTATAAAGATTACATGCTCTTCCTGTGAATTACAGTCAGGAGATGGTTCTGAAGATTTTAAAAAACGAGTTTCAATCTCAAACAAACTGGTTATTTAAAGGTTTTACAACAACAATAAAAACCGAGGGGGGGTGGTGGTGAGAGGGCTACAACTTCTGATTCAAAGATTCAGCCCGAAGGCAGAGAGACAGTCCAAGTGGTAGAATACATATGCCTAACATGTGCCAGGGCCTGAGTTCAATCCAGGGTCCCACCTGGTCTTCAAGCATTGCCAGTTACAGAACTGTGTTGTCCTGTCTACACAGCTACATCCAGCACTGCAGGGAGCAGCCCGGCCACAGCCCTGAAGGACTGAGGCTGAACACAAGTCACCGCGTTAGCACAGAACTTGCGTACTTCAAGCAAAAAACCTTGTAGCTCTTTTACTTCCAGTTAGGAAGTGTTAACATTTCCCCCTTTTTAAAAACAAAAACAAACAAACAAAAACACAAGAAACTGAATACAAGTAACAAGCCAAGGGGGAGGAAAGAAGAAGAAAATGGCTGAAAGTGAAAGAATTCATATGATTACTCGTCTCAGCAAAAATACAGCATATACTACAATAACAACTATATTAGCACAATACACACAAAAAAATAATAGGAACCTATAAACACTGAAGTGGATTGAGATGTTGCTTTGTTTTACCACTTCCTCTCTGCTTTCCCTGGAGAAAAATAAAGGCTGACAAGAAGCACTGTATAAGAAAAGCTGTACGGTGCACCATGATTAACCCTTTAAGTTACTGATGCATGCAGAGTGATTTAATTTGAACCAACACTTAAAAAAAATTTTGAGACTGCCATTTCCCTTCCAAATGATTGCTGAAAGATGGTCAACATTAGAAGGTCAAGGAAAATTGCAATAGTCAACAAAAAAAAGCAGTGAGTAGTGAAAAGAAGAATTTGCGCTGAATAATGAGTAGAAATTCAGGCTTCTCCTGACATGACTGGTTATAATGCTCTGCAGAAGTAAAGGGAAACAAAAAGATTAGATTAAACTTACTATAATTCCATCTGCGTGCTTCTCCGCATTACACTGGTCCTTAAGGGAAAATGTTAAAACATTAACTTAATTCTTTCAGTCACTCCTCATGTACTTTTGTCTCTACTAAGATAGCTTATTTTACTAAAAAAGTAACAATGCTAAAATAAACGTTTTTTTCTCCTTCCATTAAGATTTTAATTCCATTTGTACTTTTCTAGTCAAACACAACTCTGCCAACCTGTTTACATAACAATCAACACCAATAGCATGGCATTATTTTTTTAATACAGGGATTAAGGTGTCTGTTGTGGAAATATCCTATTGAATTATACAGTCACATTAGTACCAATAATTAAAAGCAATTATTATTAAGGACTGAAGTATTAGTGACTATCCCCATTTTTTCTAAATGTATTTTTTTTTTTTGCTTTCTGGGCCACACCCAGTGCTCAGGGGACGATATGGGATGCTGGGAATCAAACCCAGGTTGGTCGCGTGCAAGGCAAAGGCCCTACCTGCTGTGCTATCGCTCCAGCCCTCTGGATGTGATTTTATAGTAAATTATGCCAATTCCCTTAATTTGTACTAAACTTTACTATTAAAATAATTTCGCAGGAGCTGGAGAGATAGCAGAGGGTAAGGCACTTACCTTGCATGAAGCTGACCCTGGTTCAATCAATAGCACACAAGGTCAGTCCCCCGAGGCCAGCATGGAGGGATCCCTGAGCAAAGGGCCAGGGGTATACTCTGAGCACTGCCAGGTGTGGCCCAAACCCCTGTATTCCCTAACTAATCTCACAACTTTATTAATATTACTATATCTACATAATTGCTCTAATTTTTATTTTAATAAATCATCACATTCATGAAATGATACAGGAGTTAACACTGCCTGGCAGGTACCTGACATGCATTCAATCATTTATTCCACCAAGACCTCCCTAAGAAACGTTATGCTACTATTCCATTGGAGAGAGGAGTCACAGAGAACATACAGTCTGGATTACAGAACAGGCATCTAGTTTCAGAATCACATACTTATGTAATTCATTTCTCTGACTTGCCTCTCCTAGGATATACTTGTAGAGCGTGAGGAAGATAATCGGTAGTGGAACATCAATCACAAGAAAAATGGTCTTGTTCTATTAGTATTATGGAGACAATATGCTTAAGTTTAAATCAAACTAAACTTTTTTTTTTTTTGCCTTTTTGAGTCATACCCAGAGATGCTCAGAGGTCACTCCTGGCTCTGCACTCAGGAATTACTCCTGGTGGTGCTTGGGAGACCATACGGGATACCGGGGATCGAACCCGGGTCGGCTGCTTGCAAGGCAAATGCCCTACCCGCTGTGCTATTGCTCCGGCCCCCAAACTAAACTTTTAATATTTTAACTCTGTATTATTTGAAAGTTTTCCTATTTTAATAGAACCAATATTTGAAACTGGCTTTAAAAAATAAGCGAGTTGAGATCTTCTAACTCTTTTGCTTTCTCTACTGAGTTTATTCAGAAATCTACATTCCTGAAGGAGCAATCAAGAGATGTTTTAAGATATAAGGGTATTTTTTTTTATGCAGAAAAAAATTAACCTTAGGATTGCCCTAGGAAAAGGCTGCCTGTGAAACTGGCGCTCGTGAGGCCAGAGCGTCTCAGCAGGGCCCGCACACCAAGCGGTAAGGGTGGCTCCTCACAGGGAAGCTGCTCTCGCGTGACACCTGCTTTCCTTCTGGCAGCCCAGGGTCTATGCGATGGGATTTGTGCTGTAAAGAGTGCTGACAGGAGTAACCTCCAGTGAAAGCTAAACTTTCATCATTTTAAAATTATTCTATCTGAAAGTTTTCAAGTTTTCACAGAAACCAGTATTTGGAACTGGCTTTAAATTATGACCAAGTTGAGTCATTAGAGACTCAGGGGTGTTGAGTCTCTAATGACCGTCCCTGGGAGACAGAAGTTCACACGTGTTGTAACAACCCATTGCTGAGGAGTTAGGCATGTAACTCCACTGGGTGAAGACATGTAGTTTCCTCTGGATTTGGCCATAGGTCTTTCTGCTGCTTTGGATTCTTTTGCCATAAGAAGAGGGAGAGGAGGAGGGGGAGGAGGAGGGGGAGGAGGAAGGAGGGGAGAGGACGAGGTGGAGGAGGAGGAGAAAAAGACACGTATGACTGCATGTGTATCTTGAATCCTTGCGTAAGTCAATCGCCAAACCTACAGGTGGCTGGGAATCTTAGCACAGACAACACATATTTTTGCACATCCCTGAAAATACTTGCATTTTAATACAGAATATTCGATTTCCCCCTTCTATGCATAAGAGAATTATCTATGTTAAAAAAATCCAAATATCTACATTAAAAATTAATATAGCTGAAAATCCTAATGAGAATCACATACAAAAAATATTTAAAGCTTTTTCTTAGATAATTTATTTTTTTCCTATTAACACTTAAATTTATTAAAGAACTTCTTGGGAATATTGTGTCAAGAGAGACAGTATAGGAGCTAAGGTGCTGTGTAGCCCACCCCAGTTTGATCCCCAGCACCATGTTGCTTCCAAAGCAATGCAAGAGGTCAGGAGTAGTAACCGAGCTTTGTCAGGTATGCCTGAACTCCCACCTCTACCCCCCAAATAACATATATGTTATTTATACATGCATATATATGCACTATGCACTCCACTATGCATATACGCATATACACACACACACACACACACACACACACACACACACACACATATATATTACATTAAATTTTCCCAAAATGTTCCCAACAAGAGGCAGACTTCATATTTCCTATTCGAGAACCTAGGAAGGTCTCTGTGACAGTTTCTACCAAGTTAGCACAGCAGATGTGATTACTCATTATTACCCATGCTAGGCTCATGGAAATGCTACAAAATTCTACCCATTTTTCTTGGCACCCAACTACTAAACTGCAAGAAAACTCAAATAACTGTGAGACAATTATATACAAAAACAGCAGCCGCTTTGACTCCCCAAACATCCCAATTATATGAGTAATCAAATCTTGAAGGTAGATCCTCCCTAAGTCAAGCCAGGCAGGAGACACTGCATGAAGTCTACAACAAACCATGACGCTACTCAAATCGCAGATTTGAAAGCAAAATAGAAAACTGCTGCTTTTAATTCTTAACTTATTTTGGTTCCCAGAAGTTGAGGGTAGTAAAAGAGAGCAGTAAGTCTGTGTGGGCTTTTGGGTTTTTTTTTTTTTTTGGTTTGTTATTGTTCTGTTTTGTGATGTAAGGAACTAAATTCTGGGCTTCATAAATAAAATCCATGCATGCCTCTACTGAGTTATTTCCCAACCCCTGTTGCTGTTTTAAGACGCCAACTTTTGGGGTGGTTTTTTAGTGATAAGCTGCTGCTTTAGTACATTATATTATCTAAGAACACTACCACTATTAATTCTGGTATAATTAAATATCTTATCATTCCTGGCCCCTCTACCCCGTAATATTCTCAATAACGTATGAGATCAATGGGGTATTTCAAGTCAAAATTGGTATTATTTAACAATATAGTGGTTTGAGATTTAATACAGAGTCAAATCCACATGAACCTACAGACTATTCTATGCTTTGCTGTAAATTCATTCCCATAATGAACTTTAGGGATTTTGTTTTATTATTTGAGAGGCTTACGCTCATCCCTCACAAAACCTACTTTTTTTTTCTTTTCTTTTTTTTGTAAGCAAACCACTGCTGCCTTTCATCATACTCAGCTAATGTTGAATACCAAGTATTAATTAGAGATCTGACTTTTTTTTCCCTCAAAAGGGCACGGCGCTAGGCCTATTAAGTTTGGAAACCTCCACTATGCACTATGTACTAATTATGATGGTCACTAAAGATGAGCATATGATGGTTATCTTCTCAGTTTCTTAACAGTGTCTTAAGAAGCATGCAAAAAAAAAGCATGAGTATTTTAAATTTTACGAAAGAGAATGTCTAATTCCAATTTGATGACTTTAGCAAACTGTTAGAAGGCTAAATAGACACATCAAAAAAAAAAGTGAATTTAGATTCTAACTTGACACAACAATTAAAAATGGATCATCTGGTTCCATGGTACAACAGAAAGCATAGTTGCTTTACAAAATGGATTAGAGACTCAAATGTAAGAACTAAAACCATGTAATTATTAAGTAACACATAGGAGGAAATCCATGTGATCTTGTGTAAGTAATTCAGAGACATTCTCGGGTAAGCCACAAAAGGCATAAGCAAAAGAAAATTTGAAAGAATGACATCATTAAAATTTTTTAAATGTATATGCTTCTCAGGCTACTATAAAGAAAATTAAAAGATAACTGACAAAGAAAAGTTTGTTAGTATTACCTGAAGGATATCTTTATATCTATAACTTTAGATATTCAGAATATCTAAAGTTATTTCTACGACTCAGTAAATGGGCTGGAAGATATACCACTAAGAATGGGTGAAGAATTTGACAGGCGTTTCTCTAAAGAAGTTCTATAGGTCAGAAATAAAGAGGACTTTAAGGTGTAAGGTGCTGGCAAACTTGTGACAGATGATAGTTAGATTCCTGGCTCCACAACCTCCCTGCCACAGACAGGGGGTGACTGGCTTGATAAAAGCACAGGAAAAGATATTCAACATCAAGATTCTTTAAGGAAATGCAAATGAAAGTCACAAAATGCTATCACTGGAACTGCTCTTATCAAAGAGACCATCGTAAATGTCGGTGAAGATGTAAAATAAAGTGATAGCACAGCGGTAGGGTGTTTGCCTTGCGCACTGCCAGAATGGCCGAGCTGGGTTCGATTCCTCTGCCCTCTCGGAGAGCCCGGCAAGATACCGAGAGTATCTCGCCTGCACAGCAAAGCCTGGCAAGCTACCCGTGACATATTCAGTATGCCAAACACAGTCTCAGCAAGTCTCACAATGGAGATGTTACTGGGCCCGCTCGAGCAAATCGATGAACAACAGTGTGTGGACATACGAATATAAGGTAAAGCTGCTATAGAACTTGGCAGCTCCTCAAAAGGTTATTACCATGTTACCCCAAAATTCCACTCCTATATACTCAAAAGCAATTAAAACAGTCTACACAACAACACTGCAAGCAAATGCTCACAGTATTATTTATAATAATAAAGTGCAAACAATCTAAAGGTTCATTAATTGATGACTGGATTAATTAGTATTGCTCGGTGTTGTCTCAAGGTCCCTGTGTGTGTCCCTGGGGGTCCCTATACATTGCTGGGGTGGCCTAAAGCCAAATAAACACACAAAATTTTCCAAGTGCCCAGGACATTTCCCACCCAATTATGAAAGGTTTGGGAATGGAATTCAGGCATCGAAATTGTTAAAGATCCCAAGTCAATCTGATGCATAACAGAGTTTGGGAAAAGGTGAATTTTGGGAATCGGTGAATGTAATGGGCAGGAGAGAAACTATGGGACTATGGCGGAATGGAAGCTAGAATGGAAGAATAAAACTAGAAGGAGCTTAAAATTCTACTTATCGCATACTGCTGTGAAGAGGGTACTGCACTGCCCACCCCCCTTAAATAAAACACACAAAACCAGAGATAAATTAATTATCATTATACCCTTGGACGTCTGAGATAACAGCATTTTCTGAAAATAGCTGATTTCAGTATCTCATTAACTTACCAATGAAGAGAAATCTCCAAAACTGCCTATAATAATTTACATTTTCATTCACTGACAGGAAATTCCCCCATTCTTAACATGACTTTGCCACTTTAAAATTTATGCTCTCCCTAAAACATGTGAATTTAATACTTATTTAAAATTTGTTATTTGGTACTAAGAACATCAAAGACACTGAAATAGTTATTTAAGTATTATACTTGACAGTCTTACAATGCCAGTAAGCATACAGGTACTATTATCCATATTTCATATAGGAAGAAACCAAAACACGGAATCCAAGATATTGAAGATAATATAAATACTGCCTCTCATGTTACTTAAAAACCTTATATCTCAATCAGAGAGATTTAAAGATAAACTTTTTTGTGGGGGGTGGGAGTTGGGGTACTCTCCCATTCCCCATCTTTGATGTTATTGTTCAGAGGATGGGGCATCTAAAATCAAGGCAAATCAAGGTAAAGGTCCAATGGGTGGGCCCTAATTTAGTAAGATAAGTGCCTACATTATAGGAAAGCTTTCATCTACACTCCCTTATTTCCGCCCTTTCTCAGAGTACACAACAGAGAGAGGTTGTGTAAGAACACGGTGAGAAAGCAGTTGTCTACAAGCCAGAAGAGAGAACTCATTCACTGGACTGAACTGGCAGAAATCTAGATCACGGAGTGCAGCCTATAAACTGTGAAAAAAAGAAATGCTGTTTAAGCTACCAAATACAAAGTCCTTAAGGAGATTATACTACAAAAGACAACAAACAAGATTCCATAAAAATCTGGTCTGTGATGCAAGGTCATGAAGAAATGAAGTTAACAGGGGCTGAAGAGATGTTACAGCAAGATGCCCGTCTTGTGCGTAGCTAATCGAGGTTTAATTTGTGGCATCCCAGGTGGTCCCCTGAGCCCGCCAATTAAGAGAAATGGGTGATCCCTGAACACAGAGCCAGAATTAAGCCAGAGCACAGTTGGGCGTGGCCCAACCCACTCTCCCCACAAAAGAAATTAATGGAATCTGTGCAGTGTGGGCAGAGTAGTCAGGAAAACCTCTTCAAGTAAGTTTGAATACAAGTGAAACTGTGGGCCCTGGAAATCTGGGAGAAATGCTGAACAGGCAGAGAGGAAGGCGAGCACAAATTCTTGAAGCAAAAAATGCTTCGCCTGTCTTAAGAAAACAGGCCACAGTTACTGGAATGCTGTGATCAAGTACAGGTGAGGTAAAAGATTAAGTGAGAAATGGCCAAAAAGGAATAAGCAATGAAGAGTAGTTTAGACTTCGTTGGATGTGAGTTGGAAATCACCAGGGGAATTTGAGCAGGAGACAACACGGTCTGATTTACAATTTGAATAGATCTAAATTTATAAGAGTTCATACCAAGTACATAATCTGAGCTACATTTCCACATTATTTTAAAGACTTAACAAAGATAAAGTTTCTTATGAAAAACACTAAAAAGTCAAATTCCATTTACTTGCTCCATATTGCCCATTCTGAAGAACATTGAAAGGGGTTTAGTTGGATTAAAATCACAATCACGGTGCTCCCGTAATTCATCGATTTGCTCAAGCTGGCCCAGTAACATCTCCATCGTGAGACTTGTTGTTACTGTGTTTGGCATACCGCATACGTCATGGGGAGCTTGCCAGGCTTTGCCATGCGGGCGAGATACTCTTGGTAGCTTGCCGGGCTCTCCGAGAGGGGCGGAGGAATCGAACCTGGCTCAGCTGGGCTGGCTGCGAGCGAAGCAAATGCCCTATCGCTGTGCTATCGCACCTGGACTAAAATAAGCAGACAAATAACGAGTGCAGACTAAACTGTAGAAAATTACTGAAAGAAACTTTATACTTTGTTCCAAAGACAGAGCCCCAAATTTCCTAAGTAGTTAGACACAAGATGAGCTTCTGAGGAGAGAGATGTAGCTAGGTAGAGCACATACCTTGCACATATGAGGTGCAAGGTTCAAATTCTTGGTACCACTAAAAGACAAACAATGTAAGCTACTGAAAAAGCCCAGGATGGTTGTTTTTATAATATATAAAGCCTTGACAGAGTTGAAGAGCATCCTAACTGGTCTAAATTCTAATGGCTCTTCTGTTTCTATCTTCTACAGCAGGTAGCAAGAATCCCTCTAATACCTTCAGACCGTTAGACACGGTATAGGTTATTCATTATCTATATAGACATTTCATTAACTCTAGGGTATCCCCCACCTAACCATAGGCTTTCAACTTTTTGTCTCTCCAGGCCCTAGCTTCCTTTCTTCTTAAGTTTTTGAATGTGTACTGATCTATAAAAGTGGATTAGAAAATGTAGACACATATCATAATTTCCAAACCCAAATGCTAATTGTCTGCACACACCTGCTGGTTAAAAACCCAAGTGTACAATCAGGTAGAAATAATAAGGTGATATAATATGTATTTAGGTTTAACAGACCTTTCCCCCACCAAAAAGCAAATCACATCCATAAAAACTTTTGCTTAAAATAATTCAAAATATATTCATGAATAAGGGAGAGTCATTAAAGCAGTGGTTCATTAATGGAGTACAATACAAGAATTTCAAAACATTTAAAAAGTGTCTATTATATTCTTCATACGGGGAAAAAAATAAACCTCTACAATTTAATTCTTTTTCCTAAGGAAATCTTTTTTATAAAAGGTTCTTCATTGTTTCAGGAGGAGATAATGGACAAAATGAAAGGAAGGGGTGAGTCACTTGAACAGACTCCCTTCCTTCCCAGTCATGACCAGAAATCACCTTATCAGAAGCAGGAACAGTATGGGCAAGATAACATCCAATCACAAACACTGTTCAACAGTACCAGGAATCCCACAATACAATTTATGATAAAAAGGTAATAGATTTCAAAACCAAAATCTTTAGCAACTAAAACAATTTCCATTGCCATTTTAAATCCACTGAAGCGATCAAAAGCAAAATTTACTTACTTTAGCAATCTGCAGCAACACAATGCAGTGTTTAATTGATTCTACCATGCTCTATAAAAACAAAACATTAATTTTAGGACCTTACTTCCAGTAAGCTAAAAGCTTATTTGAATATAAAAGGCGGTCAAGAAGTCTCTAGGTAAGAAATACTCTCTCTAGAGATATGCTTGATAGTGTTAAGTTAAAATATTCATTATAGCAATTCTATGAATTGTTAAGGAATAACCAAAGAATGTTCATTTATACTAAATAACACCTAAATATTTTTAATTTTTTTTCCAATCCTTCAAATAGCAAAGAGTTATGAGTAAGCCTGTTAACTTCCAAATTCTTAGATTAACAACAGTCAACTCCAATGGAAGTTTCTAACACATCATCTCTCTAAGATTGTTATTTCAGAAACATAAAACTGATTCATTATACAATTTTAACTGTAAGAAAGGATGTACATGTCACTCATGGTAACAAACTTTTATCTGAGGATCTCAGACAAGACCAAAATTAAGTGATAAATGAAGCCAATTTTAATTAAACGAATCATTCTATTTAATTCCTTTGGAAAAATAACACAATTCTGAAATCTCTATAAAAATTCAAATCTTTTACTTTTTAAAATACAGGGGCCAGCCTAAAACAGAATACCTTAAAGCACTTTTAATACAAAACAGGAGTTTTTCAAGCACATAACTTACATTTGTTGTCTCTTTGAGAGTTTCAATTTTCTGTTAAAAAAAAAGTTTAAGTTTAAACAGCGATTGGTGCTTTTTATTGGTTAATTTATAAAAATCTTACCAAAGTGTACATAATACTATGAGTACAGCCAGGTTGTAAAGAGCGCATTGTTCTGCTATACTTTCATTATTTAAACACTATAAATTCTTATGAATTAACCCCTCAATTAAAACGGACATATTTCAGAGATTTTTTTTTTTGGCTTTTTGGGTCACACCTGGCAATGCAGAGGGGTTACTCCTGGCTCTGCACTCAGGAATTACCCCTGGCGATGCTCAGGGAACCATATGGGATGCTGGGAATCGAACCCGGGTTGGCCGCGTGCAAGGCAAACGCCCCACCCGCTGTGCTATTGCTCCAGCCTCTTATTTCGAGATTTTAAAGAATAATATGAGACATTCTTTTTTCGTTTGTTTGAAGGCTACACACAGTAGTGCTCAGGGCCTACTCCTGGCAGTGTTCAGAGGAGACAATGCAGTGCCAGAGGGATCAAACTGGATGGGCAGCGTGCAAAGCAAGCACCCTATAACCCCTGTACTATCGCTTGGACCCAAGGAAAACATGAGACATTCTTATTCTTTACATGAAAACACGCTTTGTCTTTACTGTACACGTCATTATGTAACTTAAAAATGCTTATTTTAGGGGTAGAGCGTATGCCTTGCATGAGGAGGATTAGTCAAATCCTTACCATCTTTTTTCTTTTAAGAGTAACTTTAAAATAAAATAATGCAAACAAAGTACATTAGAAACCAGTCAAGAATGGGAAAATGTCAATTAAAACAATAGCAGCAAAAAGTACAAGTTAGTTGTCATAAATCCATATTGGCGAGAGGGAAATAAGTGCAGTTGTAGGGATAATGTAAAAACAGAAGCAGAAAAGAATTCATAATTGTGAACTAGAATTTCTTCATAATTGTTTCCTCATCTGTGGCTTCCTATTAATTCTGAAAATGCTTGCAAGACTGCTAATATCTGAAATAATAACATGCAATCAAAATAACCTTTTCTTCAGTGAAAAGGAGATATGCAATATTTAGAAGATATGAGATGGGAGGTGGAAGTGAGGGAATGAGGAGAGAGAAAAAGTGTGGGAAGGGGGGAAATGGGAAGGATGGGAGAGGAAGGGCTAGTGGACAAGGGAAGAGGAAGAAAAGGGGGATGGGGGAGAGAGAAAAGAGAGGGGCCTGAGTGTCAAAGAAGAGAAAGTACACACCCAACTGAGATGTGAGGCAACTACAGAATAAAAGAGGCCAATAAAATCATTTTCTTTGAACATGTCTGAAGATGAAACTTATAAAAAGAGTATCATATTATTTCAATTACTTTGATTATAAAAGCACAACAGAAAAGCACCACAAGGACCAGAGTGATAGTAGAGCTGGCAGGGCACTTGCCTTGCTTGTGACTGACCAGGGTTGGATTCCCAGCAACCCATATGGTCCCCCAAGCACCAATAGGAGTAATTCTTGAGTGCAGGGCCGGAGTAACCCCTGAGCATTTCTGGGTGTGGCCCCTGCCCCCCAAAACAAACAAGTCAAATCCAAACAAAAAAATAAATTCTCTAGAAAAATTCCTTCAATGAAATTACTTACGGTAGTACCTCATAATTGATCAATAGTACTATTATAATAGTCAAAACTTTGAGATCCTCCTGTTATTTCTCCAAAAGGCTCTTACATTAAAAATGTTAAGTAAAAACTATGATTATAGAAGTTACCTTTCTCTGTTCATCATCTTTGCAGTTTTGAAGTTTGTCATCAAAGAGCTACAAGATTTAAAAAGCACATATTATTGTAAATATTTAATAAACACAGAAAAACAAACTTTAGTTTTCTGAAACACACTTTTCTAAGGATGATTTGTCAGCACTTTCAATATGATGTATTTTTCAAGTTAAATTCTACTGAATTACTTTCAGTAGCCATGATCAATTCTACTTCTATTTTTTCTTGGAGTGGGATTGTTAGGGGAAGGGAAGAGGCTTCTCCAGAATGGACATAAGCAAGCCAAGAAACAGACAAGTGGGACACCTGTTCAATAAGAAACCTGGGCTTGAAAAGCAAGCCTATTTTTAATCTGCTTACAAGCAAGAGAAAATAAATTACTTCTAGGAGAACAAAATATAGATTGAAGTCTTTTAGTGGCTTGACATCCAACTTTATGAACACTGTTTTCTTCCCAGGATTTTTTTTGCAATTAATTTTAAATTAGTGGTAGTTTAATATTAGTTAAACTCTGGAGCGATAGCACAGCGGGTAGGGCGTTCGCCTTACACGCGGCCAACATGGCCGACCCGAGTTCGATTCCTTCGCCCCTCTCGGAGAGCCCGACAAGCTACCGAGAGTATTCGATATGCCAGACACAGTAACAACAAAGTCTCCAATGGAGTCGTTACTGGGCCCGCTCGAGCAAATCGACGATCAACGGGAGGGCCTTTACCTTTACCTTTACCTTACCTAATTTTAAATTAAAAGTTAAAGAAGATAACTTCAAAAAATATATATAAAGAAGCAGAGATATCATCTTTCCGGTCCCTCAAAAAACAAACAAAAAACCAAAAACAAACAAACAAAACTAAGATGCCAGAAATTGAGCCACCTAAAATTTATAGGTTTCATAGAATGGTCTTTCAGCGGTAGGGCGTTTGCCTTACAAGCGGCCAACATGGCCGACCCGAGTTCGATTCCTCCGCCCCTCCCGGAGAGCCCGGCAAGCTACCGAGAGTATCTCACCCGCACGGCAGAGCCTGGCAAGCTCCCCATGACGTATTCGATATGCCAGACACAGTAACAACAAAATCTCCAATGGAGACGTTACTGGGCCCGCTCGAGCAAATCGATGAACAACGGGAGGACCGTGACCATAGAATGGTCTTATTTTAAAAACAGTGCATTAGTTTTTAAAAACTAATGACGCTTAGTACTAGAAAAAAATCATGATGAACCAAATCATTACTTCTAATAATACTAATAACCAAGTGTGCATTATGGGGTGTGTGTGTGTGTGTGTGTGTGTGTGTGTATATGCATATGTATACACACACACACACACATACACACTATTTACCAAAAATCAAGATCTCTGTATTAGTCACCTGGATCTTCCTATAAGCCAATCTAGAAATTGCTGAAGAACTGTGTCATGGATTAACATCAAGCAACTTTTAACAAAAAAATCAAGGTCACTGACAACTTTGTATCAACTCAGTAACATTGCCATACCTTTAATTGTTCTATCAAAATTTGTAGGTAAGCATCAGCCTCTGTAAGTTTCTTATCAAAGTCTTGTACACTAGGAACAAATCCTGAATCTAAACCCTAGGAAAAAGAAAATTTGCAATGAATCTAACAGTAGTTTATTTTTCATAGATGCATTCCCATTTTTAATGAAAATAGTACTTTATCTAATTCAATTATCTAAATTCTCCCAGAAAGAGGCACGTTCATCATCAAGAACTAGAACCATTCCTCCTCATCAATTCCATGTATTATTACTAAAAGTAGAATTCATTGTATTTCAGAATCATTTTCTTTTCTCCGAAAGTCCCCTAAACGCTTTCAGACACCTCCAGAGAACCAAAATTTAGGTAAAAGAAATATATACAGAGCAACCTGGATGATCTCCTGTTTCCCCTTAACTTTCTGCTAGTAAGTTTCATTAGTTTCTCATCTTAACTTTACATACTATGTATTTTTACTCCCTAAATTAGCCCATCATCTGTGAAGTTTTTCTCCTCTTACTATAAAAAGAAAAAAATAACCTTAAAATTCTTACCTCTTCCAAGAAGCCCAAGTTAAAGTGACAATGCTTCTCTCTTATTAATCAAGTTCTCTACTCACTTTCACCCTTGGCATGAATACTACACTCTGAATGTGGTGTAAATGTTTATTTATTTAGAGAGTTCACTTACTTCTCAGCTTAACTGTCTAGAATCTGCATGTCCTAGTTTTTTGTGCACTAAAAATATCAAACTCCAAGAGCAGGGGAATTGACTAAAAATATGCTCAGTTCATTAAGATCTCTATCTGGGAAAAAAAATCAATCCTGAGTGTAAAAGACAATGAACAGCTGCAGACTAAGCCCAATATTTTGCCATCTGTGGTGGTCCAACTATCATGCTGTTAAGGAAAAAAGGGTCACGAGCCGCTACGGTCATAGTCCCTACCCAACCACAAAATTCTGGATTTAAGGTTGAAACATGTTAGATACCGATTTGACCTTTACTTGTCATACTGTCCCCACTTTGGCCAAAACATTTCAATAATTTTTTCATGGACTTGAAGTAAGAGTTCATTTTATGGTATAGCAGCATTTCATTTCTACATATCACTGTACTGAATAACAAAACAATTTCAGTCATTATCTCAAAATATCATATTGAGACAATTTGTTATTATGAAAATAACAATGAGTTGGCAAACCTCGTTTCTAACTGCAGTCTAGCCACTAACAAGCCATTGTGTCTCTCTGAGCTTTTGTTTCTTACCTGCCAAATACAGGCATCCTGTTCGTACTATTAATGTGGCAGCTACCACCTCTACTAAAGACACAACCATTACTGTCACAACTGTTGCTCTTGCAAAACTGAAATCCAAATTCCGAATCAAAACATAAAACACTAGTCCATTGAAAGAAAAAGTTAACTTATATTGTAATGCATTTTCTTTATCAAATGCAGAGGCAATAAAACTGCCCTTTTTGTTTACCTATTTATTTGGCTTTGGGCACACATCTTGCATGCTCTGGCTTACTCCTGGACCATTAGGGATGCCCAAGATTAAACTAAGGTTGGCTGCAGGCCAAGGCAAGCACCCTAATCACTATACTGCTCTGGTCACAAAAAAATGCCCTTTAAAAAATACACATATAAAGAAAATGCTAAATATTGAAAAACCTCTTCCCAACGAGGTAACATAAAAAAACCCACAAAGTTTATAAAAGAAATATCTTATAGATCAATGCACATGTCAGATTATTTATAAAATTGCAATTAAGCTTTGTTTCAAAAAAAGATAATTCCCCAAAACTTACTATCAGAAATACATATTATGAAAACAAAAGATGAAAAAGAAAATCTAACTCCATTACATTGCTGAGATGCTAATTAGTAAGAAAGGAGTAATTACCAAGTTCTGTATCACAAGAAATTTGAAGTAGTTGGCTTTGGGTTTTCTCTCACAGAGCAATACAATATGATTATCAGTAATTTAACTCTACAATGCAGTTAAAATCAGACATATTGTTCTTACCAAATACTATGTCATTATTTAAGTAGTTATAATTAAAAAGTGAAAAATTAAGACAAGGGAATTTAAAAATTTTCTTTCTAAATCAATTTAGAACCACCACTGTTAAAATGTAATATAATTTTTAATAAATCAAAATCCAATTTAAAATTTTCCAGTAAATAAAACAAATTAGATTTAAATTACTGAGATCTAAAACCCATCTTAATTATTTGAAAATGATCTTTTGATGTGACTATAATCGTAACAGCCTTCTCTTTGTTGGTTCTATCATTAAACCTACTTCTAAGTCTTCTACAATATTCTGATGTTTTCAGAGTAAACTCCACAGGACACAATAAACAAATCAAAAATCCCCTGGCAATCTTTTTTCTTTTTTTCCCCTGCAGTGCCAGGGATTGAGCTCAGGGCCTTACACAGTGCTCTATGGCAGTCGCACTCCTGGCCTTTCGTTTTTCTTTATGTGATGTATAGTAGGGGAGTCATAGTTGTTAGAAGAATCACTGCAGTCCCTTCCATAGTAATCTACAAATCTTTGGTATACTCAAAAAGAAAATCTACATATATATACCTAGTCCATCTGCACACATATAACTGACAGTAATTAACTGTTATCTGAAATTGTATATGAAAAATAACATTAGGGGAAACCCCAAGTTTCCACTAGTGACTTACAGATACACAGACTCAAAGTCAGTGAGTCCAACCTCTAATAGCAGACACTTTAATAATGTCTTTAAAGGTCATCTAAATCTCTTCTTGAGTATCTCGAGATGTGAAATTCCTCACCTCTTATGACTATTTCATAATTAAAATTTACGCTAGTTGTAACTTCCTCTTCCCATTCACTAATTCAGTATGTCACTATGATTACACATAACATTTTTAGTGATTTTGTTCAAAACAGAATATACAAAATAGAATCAAGTCCTTTATTATGCTGACTGTTATCTTCCTTTGGGCAAAAAACTCCCAATAGGACAGACCCTTTGAGACACAGTGTAACTTCATACTTCTTACAGTGGTATCTTAAGAGTAGCCCATGAGAACAAGCAAACTGGAAGTCAAACAGATGAATCCTCCCGGTGTATTAGCCTTAACTAACAATTGTCACGGGTTATAGGTAAATATTTCATTGACAACTTCTCTTAAGTATTATAAACTCTATGAGCCCAGGAACTGTGTTCATTCAACATTGTATGCCTCAAGCTAGCTCAGTGCTGAATGAATGGGGACACTGACAGCAGCCTCTGGCAAAGGCTGACGTTAGTACACAAACCAATCTTCACAAATGCTTTCCCCTTTATTTCTCCTACCTTTCTGTTCTCTTTCTGCTGTCCACTGTATACTCCCTCACTCCCTTCCTTGTTTTACTTTCCTTCTCTTTGATCCATGTCCTTCAGGACTAATAGATATGTAAGCTTGCATTTTCGATAATCAGGACCAAAAAAGGTTTCTAGCTGCTTCCTAACCTACTATATTGATAAACCATTGTTCTAATCTGATGATTTCTGTATGAATTAATTTAAAGTTTAAATTAAACACTACACAGAGAAATAAAGAAAACGTGGTTTGTGATATATAAGAACTGAATTAGAAGAAATAAAACAGACATTAATCTGAATCTCACTGTAAAACCAGAAATTTACTAGAAAAATAAAAACCATTTATGTAGATACATGCAGTAAAAACAAAGTAGTTTCTAGTGTTTTAAGAGCCTTTTGCTAATAAAAAAATAAAAAGCTAAAGCACAAAGATAAAGTCAAGAAAATTTGGTAACATGTATCAGTCAAGGACACACCAAGATAAAAAATATAAACAGAGAAAGAAATACCATCTGGCTTGTTTTTATTTTATTACTGTAAGATTTTCAGTATTGGGGAAGGAACACTTGGGAAGAAAACATCAGATTTGAAGAAAAACATCAAATTGCTCAAAACTGTACATAAGTACTTCACACTGACTTTCTAATCATTATGCTGAATAGCATCGGTTTTCTCAGAAAACACTTCAAAGAAACTAAGAATTATCAGAAAACTAGGGCTGGAGCAACAGTACAGTGGGTAGGATATTTGCCTTACATATCGCAGACCAGGGTTAGATCCCCAGTACCCCATTTTGTCCCATGAGCTATCAGCGCAGAGACAGAAGTTAGTCCTGAGCACTGCTGGATGTGCCCCATGTCCCAAAGAACTATCCTAAAACTTAAATGAATTCCTATTAATAACTTTAGTTGGAAAATTAAATATTATCGTTTATAATACACATAACCAAATGTTTCATCCAATATAAAGAATACTGAAAAGATGTTCTTAAACTATGAATTACACAAACCACATATGTAGTACATACAGATTATATACAAAGTACCTATGAATTACAGTGCTTTGGAGAAAGACTCCTTGGGTAACAGGATGAAAGACATCTTTTGGGGTAGAATACCAAAGCACTTAAAGCAATTCTTGACAACAAAGGAGGGGGAAACGAATAGGGAAAGTTAAAGCCAGTGAAAGGTATTTTAAGGTTACTAGAGGTCAAAACCAAGAAACAGGTAAATTTTGGGCAATTTAAGGAACTGAGGAAAATAATATCGAACAGGAAGGGCTAAAGCTGAGTAATATTGGAAAGAGCCACAAATGAGTTCAGAGTCACGATCCTCCCGTTGTTCATCGATTTGCTCGAGCGGGCCCAGTAACATCTCCATCATGAGACTTGTTGTTACTGTGTTTGGCATATGGAATACTTCACGGGTAGCTTGCCAGGCTCTGCCGTGCGGGCGAGATACTCTCAGTAGCTTGCCGGGCTCTCCGAGAGGAGCAGAGGAATCGAACTCGGGTCGGCCGTGTTGGCTACGTGCAAGGCAAATGCCCTACCACTGTGCTATCACTCCAGCCCATCACAAAAGAGTAATTATTCTATTATATCTTATTTCACAGTGAAAACTTACATGACTACTCCTATGTGCAGTGTTTCTAAATATAAAACAAATATAGTAAAGGTAAGTTTCATAAGAAAAATTTTAGAAATAAAAAATTTTTTTCCTAAGTCTCATCAAAAAGTTTAGACCAACAGAATTACTAGAACTATAAAAGAAAGCAACAACTTAAAATTTTAAAAGTCTCCTAATAAAAAATGTCATTAATCTAGACAGAAGCAGTTGATTTTTAAAAATTAGCTAAACATATACCCTGTAATTAAAGTAATTAAAATTTGCAGAATTGTCATTTAGGAGTATTTGGATAGTTCATGTGCACAATCAGCAATCTGAGATGACATTCATTACAGATATGCTTTCATCCAATGAAAAAAGTATAGGGCATACTTACAATTGAATCACTTACAATTATTTTTGAAAATTCAAGAACTGGAGAGATACCAGAAGACTGGAAAAAAGCAAGTGTGGTACTGATCTTCCATAAAGGTAAGGAAAAGAGAGAATAGAAAGTTACCATGCTGTGAGTCTCACATCAATAATTAAAGGAATAATAAGAGAAAAATCTGTAATTATACAGAGGAAAAGTAGGTACATGAGCAGCAAGTGGCAAGTTAAAAATAAAAACATATTTGCCCATTTTGTTTTTTCTACTTCTTAGAAATTTGTTAGCAAAATAGTTTTTTTAGAAATGATACCATTTTGCCTCATCAAGTAACTTAAAAGTTGGATTAGTAATAAAACAGAAGTACAATCAAGAAACCAGAAATACGAACACAGTGAGTTTTGGGGGAACTCCCAAAACAGTGCTCAGGGGGCCTAGAGGCCAACTCCTAGTGATACTCAGCCAAATGGGGTTGGGAAGAACTTTTCAAAGCTAGCCCTACAATGCAGTGCTGATGCGGCCTGGCAGTGCTGGGTCAGCACCTGCAGGGCTACATCTGGGAATAGAACTCAGGTCCCTGCGCACGGCTGGTTCCTAACCAATCTCCCCAGCTCCAATGCCTCGGCTATATGTGCAGTATTGTAATTTCCTTGAGGCTACTGAAAAACTGGAAGCAACTGGATTCCCTGCTTTCTCTCTGACGTATCACTTCAATTAAATGAACAAAATTTGGAGGACTAGAAAATTTCAAAGGTAAGAATGTTCTCCTATTTTTTAATCACAAATAGTTTATAACTGTTTTTTCATTTGGAGGAAGTATTTTTAATTCAAAAATGCTCATAAAATTGTATTTGTTGAAATGTGTATATGCTGGGAATCAAACCCAGACCCTTACTCGTATGTGGTATGTGCTCCCCTCTGAGTCACGTTTCTGTTGCCACACCCACCTGTTCCCAAATTCTAAGCAGTTTTTCTAGTCATAATGGATTTAGAATATATTTTAAATTTTCTTTCAGGTGTCTTTAGTCCTCTGCTACACACTTTACAGGCTTTCTTTATTATCACAGCACAGTATGATTAACAATTATCCAACTCTGTATATGCTTATCCAAATTATCCAGTTTCGTTTTCTTCTCTATGTGGATTTTTATGTATTTTTTGTAGTGCTGGGAATCAAACCCAGGGTCTCACACATGCAATGCAAGTGCTTTACTGCTAAGATATATCCTAGGCTTAATGGAAATTTCGACCAGTTTTCTGACAACAAATACATTATTTTCTATTAAATAACAGTATTTTTTTGAGGTGAAAATCATGGCTTGTCCAAGAAACTTATGGCTGTTCAAGAAAAGGCTACCGCCACTTAACATATGGAATGCCCAGATCATTCAGAGGTACTACTATACTAATACTTATTATAAATTTTTAAATCTCTTTAGCTGTCCACTTAATAGATCTTCAATTTTCAACAGTCTGTAGGTAACTAACAACTGTCTGCATAATCTGACAAAGTTACTTTTTCAGTCTACAATTTCTCATCTAGAGATGGCATGAAAATAAACCAAAGTTGATAGATAAAATAATATTCAATATTCACAAAATAACAATAGTGTATGTTCTAATTCCTTTTCACAATATGAATCACAGTCATCAGGAATCACTATCACATCCCTAGATCTTAAATTACTACCTCGGTAAAAGGAACTTGATTAGTACTTGATATATGAAAAAAACAAATTAGGCAATGCTATAAAATTTTCATGGTGATCGATCAACTATCAAATAAATTATCTAAGTTAACAGCTGAGCTGTATTTAACATTCCTTTAAAAAATAAAAACATGGGCTAGAGAGATAGTAGAAGAGTTAAAGTGCTACTCCTGTTCAATCCCGGGTACTGGACTTGGTCCCTCAAGATTCCCCACATATGGTCCCCAAACCCAATCCACCCCCCAAAAAATGCTAAGAGCAACAAATAAAACATATAGCAAAATATCACATTGGAAAATATATTCCTTCCAAAAGCCCAAAAAAGACTTTCAGAAAAGCATTAAGCATTAGGCTTGCTTTTGAACCACAAGAAGCAAATTGTACTAATTATTTTGGTCACAAATAAACATAAGGAAGGGTTCCCCCCTGTAAAATAATAATATAATAATAATAATGATATAGTACTGTTCTAAAACTAGAATCACTTTTATCTTTAAATTTACATAGAAAATAATCAAAGCAATAATGAATTTGTTTTTCTTTTAGAAAAGCCCTGGCCAAGGGGAGAGAGTTGTGGGGGAGGGGTGCACTCCATCCACGTGACCATCCCAAACTTAACCCCAACAGTCCCTGCAGTCAGCCCCCCATCCCCAGACTGGCAGATCCAGGCAGCATGTCCCTGGGCTTGAGAACTGAACTGTGAAGCTGAGAGTCACTAAGAACGGCCGCCACACCCATTGTATACTACCTAGAAAATCCAAAGGGGAAAAAGTTGTTTTAAACACGTGCGGGCCCACACAGATGGGCCTACACAGATACACACACACAAACACACATGATGAATCTGAACTGAAACAGAACCGAGCTGCTATTTCAAAAGCAGTCAAGCACAGAGCAGTACAGTGTACAGCAGTATGGAGGGTGTGTGCTGCAGTTATACTGCAAGTATGAAACAGTAATTAGTAGCACAGTAGGCCACGATACCTCAATAAAAACAAAAATAATTTCATTTGATAAGGATTAGAGTGAATATTATGCAATTATTAATAATATAAAGTATTAATCTATATTTAATTATAGATTATTAATATATAGTTATTTAATTCTAATCTGTAAGTACAGAAAATCCATGAAGAACTTTTTTCAGAGCTAAAATTTTGAGAACTTATTTAAAACTCAGCATCACTACTTGTTCTTCTTGATTTCTTCATCTAATACAGGTACCCTGACTTACAGGAAAAGTATTAATCCGATTCCATAAAGTAGCCTGTTACTCAAACTATACATACACGTTTGAGATAGGTACCATTTCCCTTTATGTAAGTCATTACTCATTTGTCTTTCCAAAAGACTTCTCCCAATTTATTCAACAGACATATGTCAAAATTAAATAAATAAAAAATCCTAAGGATTTTTAGGTGACAGTAGGATGGCCACATCTCCCAGTTTACCTGGGCAGCTTCTCTTCATGTCTATTACAGCAAATTACCAACAGCTGCTACTTACAAAATTCCCCCCTACGGACAATATATTTCATGCTCCCCCCTCTATAAAGTATGTAACTAGATTTCACAAATAGCATGATGGGACCTGGAAAGCAGCACAGTGGGAGAGGCACCTCCTGGAACACAGCTGACCCAGGTTCATTCCCCAGCACCACACATGGTCCCACAATCCCCACATCAGCAGGCCCGAAGCACAGCTGGATGCATCTCATCCCCACCCCTGGCAACAGAATTCAACAAATTTTTTAAAAGAAGAAAAAGAACAAAAGGATAAACAAGAACAGCATTTAAAAATACCTAAAAATTAGCAATCACCACTCTACTAGAATGCTGGGAAGAAAACTAGGCAGTGAAACAATGCAGAATACCTAAAGTTTATTCCCATATCCTTTCCACGAATACCATGAACATGACTCAACATTCATGAAACCAAAAATACCAACTTCACTCCCTCTAACAAAATAGTTTTAGCACATGACTTTGGCAATTAGCCCAAGTTTTCTTCTCAAGACACCTGTAGGTTAGCTAGCAGCCATGCAATTGTGGGAAATCACAGTTTAGGGTCTGGGGAACCCTCTGCACAGGGGTCAGAGGGCACATGCCTGCAAGCCCAGTTTGAGCCAGGGCACCACGTGCCCACTCTCAACACTGCTGCAAACAGCCCTGGAGGCCCCTGAGCAGTGCCAGGGTGGCCCCATAGTCTCTGCACTGCCGCTTTAGAGCAGCTCTGCTTTCCTGGTCCCAAGCACTGAATGGTCTGACCCTGCTGGCAGAATATCTCCAAGAATGGCCCCCTGAGCACTGCTTGGGAGGCTGCCCCAACACCAGAACCTAAACAAGCCAAAGGTTACATCAGTGGTTACAACCACCAGTCCATGTGCTGATTGGCTCTCGTCCCTGAAAAAGCTATTGCCATTCTTGCATACACAAGGTATGCCTGGGTCAAACCGGCACTATGGCACTCATAGATAAACATTAACTTTTAAGTAAAAGCTGTTATTTCTGCCTTGGCAGTCTGCAAAGTATTTTATTCTCACCAGTTCGCAGGTGTAAGAAGGCTGAAAACTCACCAGACTGTGTCAATTCAGGATTGAAATAGTCTCTGAGGCCTTACTAGGATGACATGAAAAAATAAAAAACCAAACTTTATTACACAGTAAAGGAACAACAAATGGCCAAATGCAAGGGCATCTTAGAGCTAGCTGGTAGGGGAGGGGAAAGTGTGAATTCAAAGGGTCTTTGCACCACTGGTGGAGGAAGCAGTACTCTGGTGGTGTTGGAATGATGTATGCATGAAACTGTCTATCAGTACTGCAAATCACTGCATCAGTAAGGAAGGGAAGCAGCAAAAAAAAAAAAAAAAGGAACTTTCTTACCACTCTAATGGGATATTCAGTTTGGAAGCATTTTACAAGGTAAAACAACTTCCTAATTTGAAGGATTCATCAAAAATAGAAGTTTTCAACAACTTTCCGTGAAAACTGATCAAAGAGAAATTCAGTTTCTCATATAACCAAGAGAATTTACTTAGAATATGCAAATCCTTAAACTGCATATTTCAGTAGTTCAAATTTAAAATAAATGCAGAATTTTCTTAACAAAAAAGCTTGCTGAAAAAGTAGGTCATAAAACGTTTTGAAAACCAAAATGCCAGAACCTGAGAGATAGCCAACGAGGCAGGCTGCTTGCCTTGCATACAGCCAACCTGGGTTCAACCCATAGCATCCCAAAGCACCACCAGGAGTGATCCCTGAGCGCAGAGCCGGACTAAGCCCTGAGCATCGCTGGGTGCAGACTCAAAACCAAAACCAAGCCAACAAACAAAAGTGATATATATAATCTAACAATGTTGAATGTCTGTGTATAGCAAAATAGGACA